TTCACATTTTCTTACCATTGTACCTATTCATGATCAAAATATTTTAGTATATAATTTTCATCAAAAATTGCATTCCTACTTATCATAATATTTTTGGTTGTAAGATACCACAACTTATACCTTTTTACACCATTAATGTATCACAAGAAAATACACTTCTTGATCTTTGGGTCAAGTTTAAATCTCTCATAACTAGGAATATAAATATATCTAATACATCAAAATATACGTAAATTTGAATAGTTTACTTCTCTACTTATTTGTACTTTCTCAACTAATTTTCCTTTAAGAAAAATATTAGACGACTTATTAATTACATAAATCATCATATGTATAGCTTTAGCTCAAAACTCTTTGGGTAAATTAACATTCAATCTCAAGCATCTTGCTCTCTCAGTAATTATTATGTTCATTATTTCAACTACTCCATTATGTTGGGTTATTTCTATGATTTTTTTTAATTCTTTGATCTTTATAGTACTTAACAAACTTAGAATTTGTATATTATGTCTTATTGTTAATTCTTAACACTTTTCTTACTCCTTTTTTGGTTTTCAAATTAAAATTTTCACAAGTTGAAACTTCACAAAAACTTCCAACTTATACTTCATCAATAAACCTAGACCTTTATACAATAATCATCAATAGAAGTCGAAAAAAATAAGATCCTTCATTTGACATTACATCAATAGTATCTCATACATCATAATGAATATAATTTATCACTCTTATACTAGTATGATTGAATTTTTTTAAAATTTATTTTACATTATTTTTTCATCACACAAATCTTATAAAAATCAAATTTATAAGTTTTGACTCCCCTAAGTAGTCCACACTTATAAACTTCTTTAATACTGACCATCACAAAGATGGCCCAATCTCTTGTGTCACAATAGTATGGTATCTTCTAAGGGACCAACATGTGTTGCTAGTGATGTTCCACTTATGACAATATTTCAAGTTTGTAAATATTTCTTTGTAGTTGTCTACCTTTCATCACTACAAGTACTCTTATGTAAACTTTCAGAATTCCACATTCACCTTTCTAAGTGTAACTATTTGAATCTAATGTTCTCAAAGAAATTAAATTCTTCTTGAGATCAAGGACATGTCTCACATTCCCCCAATGTTCTCACGATCCCTCAAACAACTTGATTTTGATGGTATCAATTCAAACAACTTTGTATGACAACATAACCTGTATCACATGTTGTGTAAATGTCAAATCAATCACTTTTATGACACATATGATATGAACACCCTAAGTCAAGAATTGAAGAATCATTTAGCCCATATGTTGCTACCAAAATAGAAAGTATTCCCAAACATTGTATTTTGTTTCTTTTTTTGTAATATTTTTTAATTTTGAAGAGCCGTTATAGTGCTCTTACCTTGATTTCTTTTGAGACAATCTCTCCTCAAGTGTCCATTTTTATGTCATTAATGACATCCTTAATTTTTAAGTTAGTCAACTCTAGACTTTGATTTTCTCCTCTCCAAAGTCTTTTCTTTTTTCTTTTACCTTCTTCTTTCTTCTCTTCTCTTTACCATCAATCCTTCATACATATCATCATATTAACCTTTTTTTTGATAATATTATAGCATGGTTGATATTATCTCATTACACTTTACTATTTTCTTTTCATACAAGAATGTTGTAATTAAATGTTGATGTTAATTAGGGAGGGAATTAAGAAGATAGATGGCCTTATCTTCATAGTCATACTTCACTTCTAGTCTCATAGATCACTTAAAATATGATTAAAAGAGTCTATGTCTTGCAAGATTAGTACCTTCAACCATCTTTACTCCATATATTTCTTCTAGAAAAATAATTACTCATTAATGATTTTGACATTTATTGACTTTCTAATTTCTTCTAAATTTCAAAAAGTGATTTTTCATTAAGAACATGCTATAAAACACCATATGCAAGACATAATATAATAGTGATTGCAGAATTTGTTTCTATTTTTTTCCAATCATTATTTGTGACATTTTCATGTTTACTTCATTTTCCTATTAATGTTAATGCAAGATACTGCTAAATAAATAAATCTTTCAACCTATATTTCTACAAGCTAAAATTAGAAGTTCCATCAAATTTCTCATTGTCAAAATGAGATGAAGAAGAATTTGTCATTTTCTGTCCCTAACAAATTTTTTATGCTATGATACCACTTGTCATAAAAAATAGCCAAGATCTCTAAGAAATAGAAACTAATATTCTCAAATAAATTGTGACTAAAAAGTAATTGAAGATATAATGAATATTTAAGGTAAAAATCAAGAGTATACTCCAAGTATATGAGATGTAGAAAATACATCATGTAGACAACCTTTCACATGTTGTGTATCACCTCACTTATACATGTATTTTGCTAGTCTATAGCTTCTAAAAACAACCACCTCAATATATCTTTCTCTCCTCTATCTATGTTACCAACAACTTCTACTATAGCCTTTGAGTTTGTAGTCTTGCTTCACAAGGACAACTAAACTTGAAAGGATCAAACAAGATAACAAACTAGTGGGAGAGAGAGGGGAAGAGATATATGGATCAATAAGATATAGAAGAAAAAGGAAAAGAACTATAAATCCCAAGGGTTTTCATACTTAGTTCATGACCATTGAAAATAGAGCTTGTAATAAGGTATAAGGTTTTTCACCTTCTCTCATCCCCTAAGAGAGTTACATTTTTCCCCGTTTATATGGGCCATAAGAAAGTCCATACAAAAGAGGCCTCGCTCCTCTAAGTTTTGAGTTTATTTTAGGCATATATAATTAAAATATGAAGCCATATCCCAACAAAAAAGATGCATATGTAATTAATAACTTCATATGAAGTCTCAAGACATACATGGTGTTAAATATATATTTAATATAAAAAGTATTTGTGACTAATTTATACCTTAGTATATACTGATGTATGTTGGCTGATGCGAATGGAGAATTGTAATTGAAAGCTCATTGCCTCTCAATTGAACTTCTCAAAAATAAATAAACAATTATGTCCCACAAATAATACATTGATAACTCATGAGACACTATATCAACTTAAATTCATAGACATGGTACATGAATATGTGGATGAATTAATGCCCTTATTATTAGAAGTGTATGACATGAGGGAGGTAGATAAATTGTATAAAATCACAACATGATTAGAATCATGAGTGTAATTTGAGCTCCTACAAAAGGGATCAATGATCTTCTTAATATAATCATATCAATAAAGGTTCTACAAGATCACTGTAAAATAGTATGATGTAGAGATTGTGGGCACATAAAACTTGTAACCTCAAGGAAGACGAGGCCAAGAAAATGACTATAATTAATATATGTACAACTACTAAAGATAGAAGATAATCATATGATAAATACTATTGTGGGCCAAGAAGGATCAATGATGTCATAGTGCAATGTACCATTGAGGTAGGCTTAATCTTATAGCCACAAAAAATCTTCTTCTCCTAAATATTAAGAAACTATTAACACCAAATCTTTTTTAATATTGAGAGTTATGAAAGGAAAATGATATTTGATATATCATGTTCATTTCTTTTTTAATGATGGTGGATAGTGGAACAACCTAAAACTTTTTATGAAAATGAGAGGTCAACAAACTAGAGCTAGAGTAAACCTATGGAGACATCTATGTAAAGGTAATCAACTTTGAAGCCTAAACATCAATATGAAAGGCATGAATAAAGGTAGTCATAAAGGATTTTCTTACCTTTAGTTAAATTTCAATTTTCTTATCCTATTATGTTTCCTCTCTATATCTCTCTCAAATATTCTTGATTGTAATTTATCTATTTCATAGGCCATGGTATTATGATACACGGGACCAACAAATGACATGACAACTGCATGCAGCACAACGCCCGCACAGGGCACGACGTCAACATGGAGCACGACATCCGTTACAAGGGCTCAATAATAAAGGATGATGTCACAAGCTTGACATCAGCCAATAGAGGAAGACCATTACCTTAAAGGGGTGGGATCTAAACCTTAATCCCACATCGAAATTAAAGGGAGGACCCACCAAGAGACCTTCTTTAAAGAAGGACCCCCGACCCCATGTAAGATTATCTTGGGAGAAGTCCAGATCCTCCATGTTTTGGAGAACTTGAGCCCTTAGCGTATTAGCTCGGGAGTTCACCAGGGATCTTGTGCAAAGCAGCCAACATTCTTGTTATAGTGGTATTAGAACCAGGTTTTGAAGCAAGGTTAGGATTCTCTACATCCTCTTCTTTTTTTTTTTTACTTACCATAGATAATGGAGAGGAGGGTAAATTGAGTACGAGTGGTACCCAAGGGCAAAGAATTGCTCGATTAGTAGAGCAACAAGAGACCACAGCTCATGTTGTGGAGACTTTGACAGAACAATGATAGGTCGAATCGGGTTACCTACGAGAAGAAGCAACTCAATTGAGCCTAAGGGAGGAGCAAGACTGAGTAGCAATTGAAACACTCTCGACAAAACTCAATGAGGAGACACGGTCGATCTATGATTAAACATGGGCTATGGCCACTGCTTACGAATCCCATAAGGAAGATATATCGACATTATGGGAGAAATTTTTCAAAAGGATGGAGGAATTGACAAGTAAGTTTCAAAGGTTCCTCAACTCGAAAGCAAACCTTGGCTCAACTCAAGTCAAGGCCCCATAGCCAAAGGCCCACTTAGGAGAATAGGATGCCATGTTAATCGAGAACTTCATTTGAGATCTCCAAAGGCACTTCAACTCTAACACTACCTTCGAAGAAGAGAAAGTATTTGTGGGAAACCTATTCCTTGCCGGACATGCAAAGATTTGATAGATACTTCGAACATAAGATTTCTTAAGGCCACCAATCACTGATTGAGAAGGATTTATGCGGGAAATTTGAGATCAATTTTGTCTAGCAAACTCAGCCAAGCTACTCGGACTATGATGAGGCAACTTAAACATGTCGGGTCTATCTGAGAATACGTGGAGAAATTCTCCATGTTGGTATTGGAAGTACCTCGGATGGATGAGGAAGACAAGTTTCACTATTTCATGGAAGGACTTCAGACATGGGCGCAAAATGAAATCCACAGACAAGGAGCCCACGACATCTGAGGAACAATGATGGTGGCAGACGGACTGATAGATAACTAATGCCAACAATCATATGACAATGACACATCTCAAGGGGGTTGAGGTCACAATGCCAATCAGGGACAAGGAGGACCGGCCCAAATAGGAGCGAGTCAAGGCAACCACAACCAAGGTCGAAATGAGACCCCTCTATAAATTGGGAGACCCAAGTGGACAGGGTGCCACGTATGTGGGGGCCCTCACCAAAGTGCATACTATCTCGACTGAGCCGATCAACACATGGTGAGAGCTTGGCTCAATCCCATCTTGCCACCAATAATTGAAGAGGTACCACATCTAAACACCATTTAGCTTATGAATGTGGTACAAGTGAAGGCCATACATGAGGCTCTTAGGAAATTACTCTTTGTAGAGGCAATTATCAACTCCACTCTGATGAAGACATTGGTAGACTTAGGGGCCACTCATAACTTTCTATCAGAGAAAGAAGCCCATTGCCTTGGGTTGAGCTGGGTTTGCACTAATAATCAGATCAAGGCTATCAACTCTAAAGCCTAAACTTCAGTGAGACTGACCCAACACGTGAAGACACATATGGGTATATGGGAAGACTAGTTGGACTTCTTCATGCTACGAATAGATGATTTTAATGTCATTCTTGGGGTTGATTTCATGACCAAAGCAAAAGCAAAAATATTCCTCCACTTCATGGCATATTGATATGTGGAAGGAAACATTCCTACTTTGTACAAGAGACCACTCATGAGGGAGTAAGACCACAAATTATCTCAACCATGCAGCTGAAAAATGAACTACAACATGAGGCGGACACATTCTTAGTCACTCTACAAGAAGTTGAGGGAGAAGGTCAGAAGGTGAGACATCCACAAGTATTATCTTTACTTAACGAATTTCAAGACATCATGCTAGATAAATTACCTACTAAATTACCACCTAAATGAGATATAGAACATATGATTGAATTGTTATCAAGAGAACGTCCATCGACTAGAGCCTCATACAAGATGTTGCCAGCCCACTTGGAAGAATTGAGTAAACAATTGGAGGAGCTATTAGAGACATGACATATATGACCCTCACATGCACCATTTGGGGCCCCTGTCCTTTTTTAATAGAAGAAAGATAGAACGTTGAGACTCTATGTAGATTATAAAGCCTTGAACAAAATTACAGTAAACAACAAGTATCTAGTTCCTAATGCAGAAGACTTATTTAATAGGTTGGGAGCAGTAAGAGTGTTCTCGAAATTAGACTTGAAAGTTGACTATCATCAAGTCCGCATCAAAGAGAGGGATGAGCAGAAAACAACATGTGTCACATGATATAGATCATATGAATTTACAGTCATAGCATTTGAGTTGACCGATGCTCTGATAACATTTTGTGCTTTAATGAATCATATATTTCGTCCATTTATAGACAAGTTTGCAGTGGTCTATCTTGATGATATCTTATTATATAATTATAATTTAAGAGACACCTATTGCACTTATGTCAGATATTAGAGATATTAAAATGACATCAATTATATTTGAATCCTTTTAAATGTACATTTGTGATGACGGAAGTAGAATTTCTAGATCATGTGATTAGAGGTGGAAAAGTGTAAATGGACCACAGAAAGGTGTTAGCAATCAAAGATTGGCCTGAACCAAAAGGAGTAGTAGAGTTAAGATCATTCATAGGGTTGGCTAATTATTATCGTAAGTTTACCAAGAGTTTGTCTTATATAGTAGCCCTATTGACAAAACTCTTGAAGAAAGATCAACGATGAGAATGGTCGGATAAATGTCAACAAGCCTTTGACAACCTTAGGTCAGCAATCATGCAGGAGCTAGTCTTACAACTTCCCAACTTTAGCAAACCATTTGAAGTATACACAGATGCTTCAGAAATGATCATCGGAGGAGAGAAAGTTAAATGACACAGAGCAACAGCAACGGTACTTAGTGCATGAGAAGGGGATGACAGCAGTGGTCCATTGTTTGCGAGTGTGGAGGCATTACTTACTTGACCAACACTTCACCATCTATACTAACAATGTGGCAACAAGTTGTTTCAACTACTAGAAAAAATTATCACTTAAATAAGCAAGATGACAAGACCTTTTAGTAGAGTATAACTTCACACGTAAATATAAACTAGGATAGACCAACGTGGTTGCCGATGTACTGAGCCGTCAAGGAGCCATAGTAGAAATAACTACATTATTAGTAAGTGTAGAAAATCTTTTGGATGAAATTCGGGTAGCATATAATACGGACCTCACCATTAAATAACTAATTCAATAGATAGAGTCTAGTGAGACATGTCGATTTTAGATGGGGGAAGATATCCTTTAGACAGAGGGCCAACGACCTTTTGTCTCACAAGGGAGACAACTACGGTGTCGACTACTTTGAGAGACACACGATGTGCCCTTTGCTGGACACTCGGGGCAATAGAAGACACTAGCCCTCTTATCATCTAATTAATATTGGCCAAACATAGAGCGGGATGTGGAAACATATGTCCACTCTTGCCTAATATGTCAATAGGACAAGATAGAGCGGCGCTGCCCAGCCAAAATATTGGTGTCGTTACCTATCCTAGAAGGACCGTGGAAATCTCTATCAATAGACTTCATCATAGGACTACCACGAGTGGGGGACCTAGACACCATCTTGGTGGTGGTCAACAGGTTCTCTAAGTATGCCACATTCATACCAACCCACTCAGAATGCAAAGCGGAAGAAGTGGCCGGCTTATTTTTGACACACATTGTCAAGCTATGGGGCCTTCTATGAGACATTATTTTAGATCACGACCCCCACTTCACTGGAAGATTCTGGTCAGCCCTCTTTACTCTTTTGGGTATTGAACTAAGCTTCTATACAACATTCTAGATCGATGGATAGACAGAGAGAGTCAATGGCATGTTGGAAGATTAATTGAGACAATTAGGTGGAGCTCTTAGATGCGGCATAGTTTGCTCATAACATTCAACAATGTGTCTCTACTGGACACTCCCCATGTGAACTAGCTATGGGAAGGTAATCATTGACGCCTCCAGAATTGGTGAAATAATAAGAATCGGGATACCTACTAGCCACATACCGATTTATTAAGAACCGCCATGACCGACTAGAGGAAGCTCGCAAAGCCCTTGCGAGAGCTGCTCAACAAATGAACAAAAATGTGGATCGCTACAGACGAGAGGTTGAATACGACGTCGGAGACTAGGTACTACTACGCATATATCCTACCCACAAGAGTATGTAGAGATTGAAGCGCCATAACGAATTGGTCCCTAGATACGACAGGTCTTTCCAAATCGTCGCCTACATAAGCCACCTGTTGTACTATCTATGACTCCCGCCATGAGTCTCAATCCATCTAGTATTTCACATCTCCCTATTAAAAGCTTACAATGTAGATGTGAATGACCTAGAATGTAATTGGCCCCACTGCCCCCCACCAATGGTACAAACACACTATGACCAAGCAGCAATCACCATTTTGAATCACCAGGTCATCAACAAAGGAGGGTGCAACCATGCCCACCGCAACACATTCTATCTAGTGCAATGGGCAGAATAACCTCGGGAGGCTGCCACATAGAAGAAAGAGGTGAACCTATGACAATTTGAGGATCTAATCCAGGCCTATTGGTAACACCATCCAACAAGGACGTCGGACTTCACTAAAAGGAGAGAATGGTACACTGGACCAACAATTGACATGACAACCATGTGCAGCACGGCACCCATATGCGGCACAGCGCCCGCACAAGGCACGGCATCCGCATGCGGAGGAACGACATCCGTGTGTGGCCCAGTGCCTGCATGTGGCACAGCACCCACGCGCGGCATAGTGCCTGCACAAAGCACGGCGCTGATGCGAAGTACAACACCCGTTACAAGGGCTCAACGATGGAGGATGACGTCACGAGTCTGACATCAGCCAACGGAAGAAGACCATTACCCTAAAGGGGTGGGATCCAAACCTTAATCTCACATCGGAATTAAAGGGAGGACCGACTAGGGGACCTTCTTTAAAGAAGGATTATCTTGGGAGAAGTTCAGATCCTCCACGTTTTGGAGAACTTAAGCCCTCAGCATATTAGCTCAGGAGCTCACCAGGGATCTCGTGCAGAGCGGCTGCATCCTTGTTACATATTACCCTGGGAACAATGTTAGTAGGATGAGCCATTGGCACTTTATTTGCAGATGGGTTTCACTATCTAGGACTTGGTGCCTTCCACAACAATAGGAGAAACCACGTCCATCATATGTTTTGGAGGCAGAAGAAGGTCAAAAAGCATGAGAAATTAAGAAAGCATGGGATATTCAAGATATAAAAGTGATGGGGGTGTAGTGTATGAGCTTGTGATCCGAGACACTCGGATTCTCTGCTGTTCGGGGCGGGCGGCGGTCTACGGGAGAGAGGATTTGGCGGTTCTACGCCGTCGCCTTCGGCCGGGTCTCGAGCTCGCCTCGAATATCCGCAGTGGCGGCGGCAGCGGATGTGGAAGCGTGCGAGTACGTTCCTCCGTGTGCCGCACGAGGCGGAGAAGGGAACACATCGCCCTGATGATTCCCAAGAGGATGCATCCACGCCGCGGCACGTACCGGAGGTCAGCTCCCCCCTGAAGCGCCCGGAGATCCTTCATTGGTGGCAGAACTGGCATGCTTCAGTCGGCGGCGGGGCGGCGGTGGCGACGGCGAGGCGACGGAGCAGTGGTGGCGGCGGCGGAGGGAGGCAGAACCCACGTCGGCTGTGTTGAGTCCAGCACTGTAGGCCCTGTCGGGGTTCTTATAAGACTCGAATTCAAGGACCAGGTCAACCTTGAAGGAGTATGCTGACACGGAAACGCGGATATGGAATTCGAGGCTCTCTCTGCTTATGGACCAGGTCAACCATGGCCCCCACCCAGAGAGAGAGAGAGAGGAGGTCCCGCTGTTCGTCTCTCTCTGTCTCTCTCTCACTAGAGACTTAGATAGAACAGGTCAACCTTGTTGAAACCATGAAATATTAAGGCGACCCAATCAAAGAATACGTTGACCAGAGCATCGTGCATCTTTGTGATGATTAAGCTCAAGCACAAAGAGGGTGCATCTTTGTGATTAATTATCATTCTTAAGATCACCAGTAGTCGCCGCAGGAGCAGCGGCCGCCGAGGAAGCGGTTGGCGTCCCGGAGGAGGATCTTCCGCCCGGTGACCTTGGAGATGAGCTTGACGGCGTTATGGCAGTCGTTGCAGACGCAGAGGTTTTTGATGACTCTGATCCTCTGTGGGGAAGGCACGGGCATGAGGCCGTAGGCGATGGCCAGCCTCTCGCTGTGGAAGTATAGCGACCGCTCCTTCTCCTCCCTCTCCACGTACAGGAGAACGGAGTCCACCTCCGGCGAGTACCCTTCCTCGATCCTCTTCATCAGGGACTCCACCTCGGCGGCGATGGCGACGCCGTCGGGATGAGACCTGTCGTCGACCAGGAACAAGTGCATCCTGTTCCTCACCTCCAACCAGCTGTACCCTGGGTCCTTCCTCACCTTCCTGCTCCTCATCGTCTTCCTCGCTTCCGCCGCCGCATCCCACCGCCCGGCGGCGGCGTAGATGTTCGCCAGCAGCACGTAGGCGGAGGAATCCAGCGGTCTAAATGGAGGAGTTTGTTCGCCGCCCATCTGCCGATCTCTCCGGCCCCTCTGCTCCGGCAGGCCCCGAGCAGGGCCCGGCACATGGCAGCCGACGCCGGGAAGGGCATCTCCTTCATCATCGCCACCGCCTCCTCGAGCAACCCCTCCCTTCGTAGGGCGTCCACTATGCAGGAATAATGCTCAATCTCCGGCTGGATGTTGAAATCCCTGCGCATGGAGGCCATGAACTCGCGAGCTTCCGCCACCAGACCGGCATGGCTGCAAGCGGACAGCACGCCCACGAAGGTGGTCTTGTCGAGGGGCAGACCCTGCCGCCGCATCCTCCGGAAGAGCTCCAGAGCTTCTGCTCCATTCCCGCGCTGAGCGAAGCCCAGAATAATGGCGTTCCTAGCCGCCGCCGCCTGGGGATCCGTCCTCTGGAAGAGCTGGTAGGCCTCATCCACGTTCCCGCACTTGGCGTACATGTCGATCGTCGAGGTCGCCACAAACGGGTCGAACCCGTGATCCATCTTGCCGGCCCTTCTCCAGCGCCGTCAAGGAGGAGCAGGCCTTGATCAGAGATGATTACTTTATTTATGTAATATTTAAACTAAATGCCCTTTAGGACCAACATTGTTCTCATAATTTCTCTAATGGTACCCCAAATTAAAATAGAAAAATATTATTATAATTAAATACCAAAGGACTATCGCTTTGGTAGTATATTCTAGACTATAGGTTAAAATAAGTATAACATGGAGAAGAGTGTACTTATCTATACAATGCTTGTTATGAAAAATATATTTATTTATTTAACTTTTAATCCTACCATATAATATATATATATATCCATAATTATATTTTTTCCGAGCCAATGGAGCTGGATTGTTCTCCTATATAAAGGCGCCTTAGATTAGAAAAACGGGCAGCCGTTAGATTCGCGATAGGCGACGGTCGCCGGTGTCACGCCAAAACTAATAGGTGGTTTAGCGGGAATCCGTGCGGTGTGGACGACGGATCCGTCGGATCAGTTATCGGGCGACTATCACCGGTTCGGGTTGCGGATCCGCGGATCGGGTGGATCGGTGAAAGCGGACTCGCCCGAGTTAACTCGGAAGCCGTTCCGAGTTTACTCCGTTGGCAACACGGGTCGGCGATCTCCATTTTTGAATTCCCGCCTGTCGTCTCATCCCCTCACCCCCCCCCCCCCCCCCCCCCCCCCCCCCCCCCCCCCCCCCCCCCCCCCCTCCCAACCTTCGAGTGCTCTCTCCGAGTCTGCCCGCTCCCACCTTCGCTCGGACTGGAGAATGATGTCGGGCTGGTGCCGAAGGTCAGCGGAATAGAGGGTAAGAGGGCGTCTCCCACGGAGGAAAACCATTCGTTGCGCCGAGCGATGGGTCTGTTGTCGTTTTAAGACGCATTTTGCTTTTGATATTCTTCTTGGTTCAGCTCACTCGTGCTGTCGTTGTTGGTCCCTTGGACGTGGTTCTTCTCGATCCTGGATCTATTCACTCATTTCTTGATCCTGGAGCGGGCTAGTCTTATTTGGTCCAGCTAGAAGTAACTGTGGATTGATTACAATATACCCGGAGCTCGTCCCCTGAACTGGTGGCAGCAAATTAAGGGGATGGGTCTTGAAGATTACCACGTAATTGAGTTGGTCGGGGAAGGCTCCTTCGGAAAAGTTTACAAAGGGAGGCGCAAATACACTGGAAAGGTAAAAATTATCAGGTTTTTGAACTTTACTAAGTTTTCTATGACGCGTTGTTTTTGATTATTTATTATAACCCTTGACACCTTTTTTCTCAGACTGTTGCGTTGAAATTTATTCTTAAACATGGGAAGAGCGAAAAGGATATACACAATTTACGTCAGGAAATCGAGGTATCGTAATTTTAATCGTTTTAGTATAGTAATGATACTTGTTTTGTGTGTTATATGTTTCAACTTTGAAAACCTAGGGAACCGAATGGACTGGGGGAGCAGTATGATCCAGCCTCTCTATAACCTTTCAAATATGAATCCTTTGAAGATCCTAGATGGTCTGTCAGGATTTTGGATGTGGGGTACGGTGTCTGGAACGCATGACATTTGGGTGGGGTTATCATCGAGGTTTCATTAAAAGTCAGACGCTTTGCATCCATGTTAATCACGTTATTTTTGACATGATTCTGTAGGCAGCTTCTGTCGAATCTTCTCATTAGCTAGAGCTAAATCTATGCCCAGAAATTTTCAATGGGGAATAAGCTGGGTCCAATTGACACGGTCTTTCTTCATATTTTTTTAATTCAAACACAGGATGTCTATTGACTAGAATACACAAAGAGTCGGTGTTTTAAGAGTGACAGGGTCCATGGCATGTAGATGAAATCATATTTGAAATCTTTCATACACCTGGTTGGATACTTCCTAGAAAAGCTAACACACAATTGTTTATTCCCTTGTGTGACGAAGGGAACAACTGTTGACATCATCTACTTTTTTTGTCCACACGTTGAAATTTTGAATGAGAAATTATAACCGGAATGTCAAACATCAATGACTAAGAGGAATTTAGTTCATTTTTTTCTAATTTTTAAGCCCTTACCCAGTGCATCATGTATCCTCTTTTGGCAGTGGTTACTTTGATGAGTGGTTCATACTTGGTCTCACAACTGTTTCTCATAATCCACTTTGATGTTAATTTTTTTATCATCGATGTATTGGCGTAAACTAAAGTTTACATTAATTTCGATAACCTTGGTAACTGTGTACTGAATAGAAGTCAACATTGCCTGACATTCTAGATTTACTTTTAGGAGACTACCATCTGCTTAATTCTATTTGTACATTTCACAGATCCTCAGGAAGTTGAAACATGAGAATATAATTGAAATGCTTGATGCCTTTGAAACTCCTCAGGAGTTTTGTGTTGTTACAGAATTTGCTCAGGTAAATTTTTAATCGGATAACTGCACATTTTAGCCAGATGCAGTATAGTTGGTGATTATCAACCTTTGATTAAAATACCACAATTACTTTTCAGGGAGAACTATTTGAAATTCTTGAAGATGACAAGTGCCTTCCAGAAGAGCAAGTGCAAGCAATTGCAAAACAGCTGGTATAACCTTGTTTTGTTTTTTTTTATACTTCTACTTCATATCACATGTCAGCAATGAACACTATCTTATTTTCAGGTCAGAGCACTGCATTACTTACATTCCAATCGCATCATTCATCGGGATATGAAGCCACAGAACATTCTCATTGGACCTGGATCTGTTGTCAAGGTTTGCTTTTGACATGGAAAAAGCTGTTTCATTTGACATTTGATTCATGCTTCCATTGATTGACTCATCCACACGCTATTTTAGTTGTCCATTCAGTACACTGGGAATCACAGGGACCTACCATGAACTCCGACACACTTTTTTTGTGAGCAGTTTTCCAGGATTTTATTCATCCATGGTTTAACATAGTTTCGAAGTATGATACCATCCGCACTATCTGACTGGGTTGATATTGACTTTCTAAAGAGTAAATTGTCCTGAGTAGCTTCACGAACTCCGAGGATAAAAATAATCAAGGTCATCTTACACGTACATCTAGTTTTCATCAGCTTTTGCGTTTGAAAGTTTCCCCTGTCTGGATACATGCGCTATATTTTATGCATAGGGTGCTACATTCGTATGTCGTTAGATAGCTATTTAGGTTCTGGAGTTAAATCAACTTTCTTCCCTATTATTCCAAAGCTTCATATGTCATGTGGCATCTCTGATTACAATCATACCTCGGTTTTACTCAATTTCTTGAATATCATTGAGGAGGCCCGTCATGGATTAACTGGTTTAATAAACACATGAAAAGGATTGGCAGTTAGATTCAATCTCTGTTACGCATTTCTAACTTAGATTTTACCCCCTGCATTAAGTCATAATGAGTGCAGTAGTAATTCCTCTAAGTGGGTGCATGATCGCTTAAAAACATGTAATTCCTAATTGTTGATTGAGAGACTGTGGACAAATGAAATATGATTGTTATCGATTTATCTATCTTTGTTTTTTATTCATTAGTCACTTAAAAAATCTTCTGGGCATGAGAATTAAGGAAATCAACCTTAGTTTAGCCTTACATTCCTCTAGCTGTAGTCTGCCATTTGACTGTTTCCCCTCCTACTAAGTGTTATGAGAAGAGTTGCTCTTTGGAGAGCACAGTGCAATGAAAGTTGTAAGCTGTGTTCGGGGGGGAGTTATTGTCTATCGTTGGCCTCTATAGTAGAGTCAGTTGGAGAGGCCTGAGAGGCTGTGGTTTACTCCGTTGTCGATGTCAGCAGTTCAAGTCCGCTTATCTCCAGCCCATGAACTTGGCCGAAACTCTGAAATGAGTAGGGTGTCCTCAGGTTCTTTGAATTTGTTGCTTTTTTTATTAACATCACTTCTTTTTTTGCTTCAAAAGAGGACCATATTGCTTGTTTTATTAACATGAGGACGGAATCCAAAAACTTCCTTTGTGAATCTTTCATCTGATGGCAGCTATGTGACTTTGGTTTTGCTCGGGCAATGTCAGCAAATACAGTAGTTTTGCGGTCTATAAAAGGTTAGCTCTTCATTGTTCCAGCCTTATCAAAGATGTGATCATTTGTGGATTCTTTTGTTGTACGCTGATATTGTGATAGTTAACATTTGTATAATAATTTTTTCTTTGTGACATTCAGGCACACCTTTGTACATGGCTCCAGAACTTGTGAGGGAACAGCCCTACAATCACACAGTGGATTTATGGTCTTTGGGTGTAATTTTGTACGTCAATAAACCTTTACAGTAAATCGTGGCCATTTCTTAATTTTTCTTGTGAAAATGTTCAGTGTTTATCATTCAAAACGAAATATCAATATTTTTGATTTTTTTTTTCTTTGAGGCATCTATTTTTGTCATCTCTGTTGCATGTGTACTGTCTCTCTAGTTTAGTCAGATCTAAGTTTGTGGTCTGTTTAAGGTTACAGAATTTTATTCACAAATTACATTACTCTTATGACATGACATGAACTTCTTCCATTGATTATAATCAGCCTTCTTGGCCAAATATGGGTATTGGACCTTGATCATTAGGTCCGTGTCCATGTGCCTAGTTAATCACTTATCAGTTCATTGTTTTTTTTTAAAAATTTGGTTGAAATCGTTGCGTGTTCTTGGAGGGTTAAATGGGTTCACATGCCAGTTTGTTTCATGTTTAAAGTGAAGAAGAACATATATCCAAGTCGAGAGAAGGGCGGGACACCTGGAAAACCCTAGGACGGGAAGAAGAACGCCTTCAAGGAGTAGAAGCGTAGAACACCCGGAAAACCTTAGGACAGGCAACTTTTTATTGGATAACAGAAAGCTTCGAATTTCAGGCTCTGGTCAAAACATTTAATAAGTTGAATTCTGAGGGCAATTCTTTATTTCCTACTCTGTGTGCCTTTCTATTTTTCCTGGTGCAATTGCTAAATCTGCACAATTTCCCGTTCACGTATGGAGGGACCTACCCCCATTTTGGCTCTTATACATGCCCGCTACTATGACAGCTAACATAATTTTTCTTATGGCTAGGCTTCAACCTCTTTTTACAGGCATACCTTATATAATGAATATAATTTCCTTAATAGGTGTAGTCATTCTACAGTTAGGAGCAACTTTGTGTCTTATTCAAAGAAATAATAAAGTTTAGCCTGCTCTTCAGTACGTTATGTTAGCCAGAAAAGCACCTTCAGTCCAAGGGGAGAAGGGTAGAACACAAATAAATCCTAAAGTATTGAGGTAGAGAAGTGTGGAGAATAGATGGGGGCTCTAACCTTAGGTCGAACTATAGAGAGAATCACCTTCTCTTGCTCGTTTGTCCTAAGAGTAATGCTTTCTATATGGACGCACCAATACAAGTATAATGAGCCCAAAGTGGACATAATAGGCTAGTAGGGCCAAATAAGGTCTGATATTTAATTGGGGCCAGCCGACTCTAAAATAGAGAAACAAAAAAAAGGATAACTTATTCAACACAAGGCATTTATTTTTAAGTCAATTTTGGAATGGATGTTTCTATGGAAGCATTAGACAATACACGTGGTTTGACATGTATATATACATGCATATGTTAGGATAAGTTGATACTCTCTTCAAGAATAAACTTTCTTGTGTGGAATAGAAAATGACAAATATGATTAGTCATGAGACCCAATGGAATTTCTCGACTCTGACCAGAATAAAAACATGCTGGTACAAGAATTTTGCATCTGCACATCAAGATTTTATCTGATGTGTTTTCAGATTCCAAATCCTAAAACATGAAATGGTTGTCAAGTTCTTTTCATTGAGTTTTTCTGTTCATTATTCATTTTTTTTCTCTTTTTTCATAATCCTAAACCAATTCCTGTTTCCTCACTATCAAATTGGGGTGACGAATAAACATTAAAAGTTGTTGTGTGACTCAGTAATGAATCAATTTCTGTTCCTCTCAGAAACGTGCGAGTTGACATACTTTTTATTGTTTTGCTGAGCTGTTGATTTGGATGAATCTATCTTGTTCAGTTCGAACGCCATCAAAATTTATTTATTCAAGGGGAAAAGAGCTTGACATCATGGGGATAAATCGGATGATGTCTGTCTTTTCTTAAGTTTCAGTTCAATAGTCTCATCCTCCAGATGCTGTTCTATGACTTTCTGGGCTATATATCAATGACAAATCGCTTATGGCATTTCACAAAATCTTTTAGATAGCTCACAGTACATTTTTTTTGCTTGGGAATCTTCTGAAGTATTTAATGACTTCATTTTGTTTTCTAATTAAAATAATGGTATGTGCTGTATCAGGTATGAATTATTTGTTGGGCAGCCTCCTTTTTATACGAACTCTGTTTATGCACTAGTTCGGCACATCATCAAGGTGTGTTTTCGTTGTTGTGCTTATTTGGTCATATCATGGTTTCCTCAATATCGGTAAATATTTCATTTTTAAATTATGAATGTTATGCATCAGGATCCGGTAAAATATCCAGAGAACATGAGTTCAAGCTTCCAAAGTTTTCTAAAGGGCTTACTTAACAAGGTTCTGATGTTTTATTTCGTCTACGTTTATGTATCCAATCCCGTTGACCTAGGAAATAATCTAACACTTTGGTATGCAGATACCACAAAGTAGGTTGACATGGCCGGCATTACTCGAGCATCCATTTGTCAAAGAAACATCCAATGAAATAGACGTCACTGTAAGTGTTTACAGAAAGTTGGTCAACATGGGAACTCTCAGATCTTGCAATTTGTTCAATAGCTTCAACTAACAAATCAATTACATTTCTGTCAAACAAGAAGAAAGTAGATCTTGCAACCACAGCAGCTGGAGGATGTGAGGCAACTCAGAAGATGGGAAAAAGTCATCCAATGCCGACAGTTGGATCTCCTGCGGCTTATTCTTCAGGTTTGACTTGCTGTCAGTTGTCTGCATTTTATCTGTTTCATATCTTGGGGTTCTTTAATACTCTTCATGACAGATGGAGGTCATTCCCCTTCTCAAGGGATTCAGAAGGCAGATGAAGCAGCAATTGATGACAAACCTTCCTGCCCATGCCCTCCTAGTGTACAGCTTTCACAGAAGGACCCGGAGGACCTGCCTGTTTGTGTGGATATTGCTCCACCAGGTCTATTTTTGCCATGTTAAATTTACATGCTCGGGTATTCTTATAGTATTTACCTTTTTGTTTGTGCTTCGTATAGATCTTTCAAATGTGTTTGACTTCCTGTGTATGGGCTTCCATTAGGTTAATATTGGCTTTTGATGCAATACAAAGGTGATGAATAGACTGTTTTAGAATCCTATTACGCCTTCATGAACGTTAGCCAAATGTTTTCTCCTAGGAACTTTTTGGTGGACGGAGGTAAATAGTTTACAGATATGCTGATTTTTCGGTTTAATAAGAAATAAAGTTGCATTATGGGCACTTGCAGAAAGCGTAAGCAAGCAACTTTGCTGATGTCTCTAGTCGAATCTAGTTTCATTGAGGAGCAGAACAATTGGTTCTCTAATTATTTTTTCCTCTGGAGTCGTGGGGATTCTCTCCCAATATGGAAATCAAACATTGCGTCGAAGTTTTCTAATTCTGGATGATTTTATCCAATTTCCTCAAATTAGTTGTCTGTCATTTTCGTTACATAGGAGTTTATATTAATATTTATGAAGAATAATTGAATTAATTACATATCTGTTCTTCGGTTCTCAACAGTGACCTATCTCCTGTTCTCTTTGGCTAATACTGTGGATCATAATGTCGTGAATAACTGTTCTTGGTATTGGGATCAATTCAAGGGTTTGTCAAGATCCCTAGGCTGGCTGATAGCGTAGTTGCTCTGATTTTCTTAGTTATTGTCAAAAGTACATGCTTCCTCCTCAGATCTGATTAATAAGCACGATTTGATTTAAAGGAATCTTGCAGTTATTTGAATCCGCTATGGTAACTCATATTGGCTTGCGCCAATCTTACTCTGCGGAACCATTTGTATTTTGATTAACAGGTCTTTGTAGAGAAATATGCTATTATTTTAGTCTGGCATATTTCTGTCATTTAATTTGAGAGGGAATGCGGAAAAAAAGGAGAACACTTTATCGATTTGAATAAGCAGAAAATTAGGATAAATGCGGGAAATCTCTAATCTAATTTGTCATATGGACATTTAGATCTCCTATTGTCACTATGACAATAAGGAGTGTTGTGATGCTCAAAATGGGAAACCATGGCTTCATTTCCAGTTGGAACTACGTTGGTAGTCAAAATAAGTCTAACATAATCGTCTGTCATGGTGTTATCATTCTGTGTAGGAGTTGGGTAGCCCTAGTAATCACATAACCCTAAAAGTGACAGGTGGTGGTTTCTTGCTTTATCATAGAGTAAATTTCTCCGGTACTAAACTAATGGAGCGAGGATAATCATATGTTCAAACCATTCTGGAAGAAGTCTTTGGGACCACTAAGAAATGTGCATAAACCCGTAAATTCATTAGGAATTATTTGAACTCAGGCTACATGCACCAACTATGGTTGAGCATCAGAAATTCGTTTGAAACAAATAAAAAATTCATTCACGTGACAAAAATATGTATTCTTCATCAGTTTTCGTTGTATCAGTTGGGTTATGCACAAATTACTTCTCCATGACCAGTTACTATGCTTACAGTTGATGGATCCACCAATGGTCGAATGGACTGCTTTCAAATATGACAATATTATTTGGCTTGATGCTGCAATTCTTTAGGCTGTCGTTGTCTTTAACAAATCACGGTCTTGGGCTGTGGTAACAAAAATCATTATTTTTTTTTCCAAAATTCCGTATGATGGCCTTGTTAAGTAGCCTCTTGTCTGCCCTGAGTTGATCGATTATTGAACCATTTTAAACATAAAGTTCTATGGACGATAGTACCATGACTACATTATAGCACTGAATCAGGGGCTACTTTACAGGTCATCAGGCGCTGGATAAGCTAGAAAATAGCTCACGCACAGTAAAAGGTGCAATGAATATTTGTGAAGATAAAGATGCACTCTCAACTGCTCTTCTGCCCTTTAAAGAGTGTTCTGATGGCGTTTTGGGTTCTTCCAGGTTAATCTTGTGTTTTATTGTGCCCCTTCTTTCATACCTTGCCATGCTCTTTCATCAATAAGGTCAAAACTGCAATTTCATCAACCATGCAATTGGTAGAAGCCGCCAAAAGTCCACGTAATTTATAGTAATCCGTCGTTAAACCTCTTTAGGTGATATGTGGAATTTGAATTTTGCATGATCAAGTTTTAGTTTCCATGATCTCCATTTGAACATGAAATCGTTTTGTTGGTTGTGTCTTGCATGCATCCGATAATGTGGAAAATCTTCAATGCATTGAAGGCATCAAGACCTGGGTGCCAGGCTGCTCACCTGGGGAACTCTGGTGAGGGTTTGCCCTGAATTCATGTCAGTGGCTTCTGCTGTCACAAAGAAAAACCCACACAATGGTCACCCTCGGCCAATACATTACACGTAACAGTATGCAAAGCTGTTCATGCCAAACACATAGCACAGTAGCCGACCAATCATGTGCCGGTTTGCCATCACATTCAGTCAAGCATATTGATCGACAGTCACTGGTCGAATGCATAATGCTATGGGTGCAATGTATAATTCAAATCCACGGAATTTTATGTTTTTCTATTAGTTATTTTCTGATTTTTTTTTCTTTATGTTTGTAATTTATTTATCTTATTTTGCAGAATATTTTTCTCAATAAAAAAAGTTCAAATTTGTTATATTTGTCATTGTGAAGGTTCTGATTTTTTTTAACCATTTTCATAAAAAATGTCTGTACTTAAAATTTTCTATCACATTTATATTATATTTTCAGTTAAAACTTGTGTTGTGAATTTTTAAAAATAAGAATTCTATTTATTTGTGTGCAACGTCGTGATAATAAATCATGTCACTTTTGTAGATTATTTAATGATAGTACTTTTCTTTGGCACTACTATCATGTGTATCCGTTTCTATACAATTTCCTATTTATCATTTGTTTGATATTTAGTTAATGCTTCAGATTTTTAAATTATTAAAATTTGGCCTTTCTTGGGCCACGCCCAGGATCTAGCCTTATTGCACAGACAGTAAGGTAGTGATCCACCGCGGCTTGGTTGCCTTGAAAAGGTTGATTTAAGAAATTTAATGGGCACAAGGCATCACATTCCTGCCTTTGACAGTGGTCGGTCAGGTTAATTCAATTTTTACATTTCAGATGTTGTACTAGTTGGTATTAATTGGACCGTCGTGAAATTGATGGTGATTTTTGCTTGGCTACTGAACAGGGACTTAAACTCTGCGCGCATAAACCAGTCATTCAAAATTGTCACAAATTTAATAGCAGCGGGGGTTCTTAATCATTCTATGGCACTGGATAACATATTACGTGCTATTGTCGAATTTGTATCTGTAATTATTGAAGTGAATATATCTGATTCTCATGGCTTCTTGGTAAAGGTAAAAACATCCCGTGTTTATTTATGGCTCTTTGCACTAAGATCTGAATGCATAGCGTTTTGCATGGGATATGTGCACTTCTTTATAATGGTGTCTAAAGCATCAGTGAATGAAGGCACCTATGCCACATTATTTGTATTATTCTGCTTACTTTTTGTGAGAATTTCTTTTTCCATTTTCAGGGTTTGTCTATTTTGAAGAAATTATTGGACTACAGTGGAAGTGGAGATAGGCGTTCTTTTGTTGAACACTGGGTTGCTACTACAGGACTATATCCACAGGTTATCCTTGACACGGTACAGATTTATTTTAGGCTCCGTAGTTTAGTCTTTGACTTAGCTTCTCTGTTATCTCCAGGTCATAAGATACAAAAGTGATATAGCTGGAAGAGTGTTGTATGAGTATACTTCATGCATTTCCCTGATGCTTTCTCGAGTTGCATCGTCACTTAGGACACCGGAGCCACTTGAGGAAACTGAATTGATTTCTCCTTGTCAACAATTTGAAGAAATTTCAAAGCGTATTTTACATCATGCCAGTCAGTCTGGCATTGCGAATCTACTGGTTGAATGTTTAATGGCTGCAGGATCAAGTCTAATATCTGGCTCTTCTGATATGCTGCCAGCAGCTTGTGAAGCTTGTAAAGCCATATGGTACATTATAGATTCGATTGAGGCATTGTCAGTTAAAGAAAGAAGCTATTTCTTCCCTCTGGTGTCATCAAAAAGCGATCAGATGCTTCAATATGACGTCAAGGATCTAAATCAGTGTTCATTGCTTGGGACAGTTAGTATGGTTGCAAAATCCTTCCTTGATTCAAAAGCTATTCAAGTTGCTCTTTATTATTGCTTTCGCAATGGCCTAGAATCTGCTTTGCACGCTGTCCTTCAGGTAATACTTGTGTTTTCCTCTCCAAGTAGGCCGTCTGTTGTCTTCAAGAAAATCACATTTTAATTCATTATGCAATCCTGCTTTCATGAGAATTTGTATAAATGTACTCCTGTTTCTAAAACGAATTTCATGTTATCTTTTAATTATATTATCTGTACATACTCCATTGGATTTATGAATATATGACCTATGAAGCTTAATCTGTACTGCACGATTTAACGTTGCATGTTTTTGTTAGTTCGTGTCTATTTCATGCTTTATTAATTTTTTCCAGCTGCTATGGGGAGCCCTGTTCTAAGTTTTTTTCTAATGGAATCCTTTTGGCTTTTTCTTACAGCTTATGCTACGCATATGTGTCTCCAGTATCCCAGTATGCAGTGTTGTCTGTGGTCTGCCAACTTCTGCAACTGTCTCTGCAGATGTTGAGGGTGGCGGAGATGGGACAATTGTTTCTTATCTTTTCTCTATGTTGTCATCTTTAAATTCTTCTTATTTAACTAAAGAGGAAGGAGAGGGGCGCAACCAAAAATGTAAGTTGTCCAAGCCGCATGCCCTGGTCTTGAACTGCTGCCTCATCTTGGCTACAATCGCACACCAGTTCAAGTTGGATTACAGAGTTTCTGTCTCGTGTATTCTTACTGGTTCTCCTAGAAAACAGCGTGATCGACTTGCCATCCTTAGCAACTTGTTTTCTTCTGGTGACAAATTGGTGAATCCGTTTCAACCTCACTCTGCAGCAGCTATGCTTGCTTTATCATCACTTATATCCCTCGAAAGAATTGGTCCTGCAAACTCCACTATCACAGAAATCATGCTGACCCTTGTTCCTTCCATAGCAACATTGCGTCCGTACCTCAGGCTTCAGTCATCCGGTGAAGCGGTAGCAATTACCAATGCTAATGTGATGTTGTCCAACTGGCACGGGCTAAGAGATGGTTGTGTTGGGCTACTGGAAGCAAAACTAAAAAGGGGAGTGCCTCTAGACATTGAGCAAGCATGTTCAAACAACATCCCTCAGCTTCTTCTCCATATGCTGGCCGGTGGACTTAATAGAAACTCAGAGGAAACAGGTTTCAGGAAGGATCCCGTTGGTCTATCGCCGATAGGAGTTGTTTGGGCTGTTTCTTCAGTTTGTCAGTGTCTTCATGGCAGTGTATACCGTGATATTCTTTTTAGAGGTGAACACATTAAAGTTATAGCTGACTTGGGGTCCGAGTCACACCTTAAGGATGTACTAAGCTGGTGTGGACCTGGAGGAGGAAAGATGGGGGTTAGAGATCTAATTGATACCGTAGTTGATCTTTTGGCATTTCCATTTGTTGTGGTGCAGAGTGCCCCTGGTTCACCATCCATGTCTGCGTCCATTAGTAGTGGCCATCTCCTTAACATTGGTTCACCTGGCGCAAGAGTTGGTATGGAAAACAGGGGCATAGCTAAAGATATCGAAGCAAGGATACCTCAATATCTTCAGATCCTTTTGGAGGTTTTGTCTAGATCTTTTCACTGTTTAGCCACTTGTTCACCGTTTGGCATTTTCCTCTTAATAAATATTTTCCATTTCGCAGGTTGGTTTGCCTGGATGCATTCTTAGGAGTTTGAAATATGTGGAACCAAAAGATTTAGCGAGACCTATGGCTTTTGTTGCCAAAATGGCAGGTTATCGGCCTCTTGCTATGCAGCTTCTGACAGAAGGCCTACTGGATCCTCAATGTGTTAGAAAGGTCTTTGGTGGTGGTTCTCCAAAGGAGTCTGTGCTCGACTTCCTGATGATCATTTCTGATTTGGCTCGTATGTCTAAGGTCTGAAATTCACTTTAGTTCGGTATTTACTGTATGTGATATGATTTTATCTTTTACTATTTTGATATGGCGCAAAAGCTCTGATTTTAGATTAAAAAAAACATCAGTTTAAACTGATATTCGTTAGCTGATGTCATTGATTTCAAGTGACATGGGGGAAAGTACATTGCTAAAACATCCTACATTAAAATATTATAAGAAGAACCATATTTTTTATCGATCTGAAGGTTTTTATTCCTGCTCTCGTTTCGAATAGAATTAACTATTATCCATATTGTGAAGACATGACGGCAAAGATAAGGATCAATCATTACAAAAATTGAAACGTACATGACAGGTAACTTTCCGACCCTCTCCTGACCAAGTCTAAAGTCAGGCTACGGCTTACCTAGAAACAATTGTAGAGGACCAAACCTCAGGGGTCCTATCAGAGTGTTCTGCTCAAAACCTCAATGTCTTTGTCAGTCTTTGGTTGACTCAATAAGGAAGGATCTGTGATAAATCTTGACTGTCCTTTTTCTTTTACTTGTCGTATCTCCGAGACAATATGATTGTCTTTCGCAGAGGCTAAAAGCATTATAGTCGCTTCATTTGGTAGAAAGTTTAAATTGATTGTTCATTTTGACCAACGAATTGTTGGGGGTCTCTCTTTCATTGTGAAGCATATTATCGTTATAACACGTTTTTTTGTATCAGTATATGCCTGAATCTATTGACTTCATATTGTCTCCTTAAAGTCATCAGAATAGTTTCATACTCGTCTATTGTGACCATCCTTCGAACATGAGAATGTTCGTTGAATGTTCAACTCCAAACTGTGAGCGGCTAAACCAGAGTGTAATGACTCAGTATTTTAAGATCTGAGGTTAAATTTTAATGCAATGATTTTAGTGCTTATATATCACTTATGTAGCACATATATTCAGAATGTAGTCATCCGTGAAATGATAACATTACAGGACTTCTATGAAGCTATTGACAAGTCATATTTATTGGAGTTCTTGAGAGACTTTTTAAGCCACGAAGAAGCAGATGTGCGTGCAAAGGCTTGCAGTGCTATAGGAAATATGTGCCGCTACAGCTCCTATTTTTATAATTCACTGGTATTTTTTTGCGGTATTCTGCCTACTCATTTTATTTTACTTTTGTCTACCTGTTGATCTCATCTTATTCTGTTGTTTGGAAGTGCAGGCAAAATATAAAATCATTGGTCTCCTGATTGATAGGTGCGCTGATCCAGACAAACGCACCCGAAAATTTGCATGTTTTGCTGTAAGTTTTTCGTCATTCTCTTCAATTTATGATCCTAGCTACTCCTCAATTTCAAGGATGATGAGTATCCAGTGGATGATATGCAGATGTTCCTTTGTTTGTTTTTAGATTGGAAATGCTGCGTACCACAGTGACAGTCTATACAAGGAGCTCAGTAAATCTATACCTCACCTTACAAGGCTTCTCCTTGCAGCAGAGGAGGAGAAGACTAAGTCCAATGCTGCAGGTGCTCTCAGCAATCTGGTTCGCAACTCTGACGCATTATGTGAGGACATCATCTCTCAAGGGGCCTTGCAGGTTTGTCACGTCAGACGCACCATCAAACTACACATCTGCATGTAATCAATCGGTTCAAGATGCTCCATCATATCTTCCATCGGTGAAAAGTTAATCATAGTTTTCGGTCAGGCCCTAAAAATGGTCTTCATTCAACTTCTACTGTTACAATGCGTCCTTTGCAGTAGTCTTGGTGAAACTTTCTCCTAGTGTCCTCTTTTGGAAAATTCTGGCAATCATGCATGTGATTTACGAGGCTTTTTCTCTTAAGTCAGGCGCCGAGTCAAAGCTGTAATTTTTACATCCACATAACACTTCAACGAGATTCCACTGAAGCCAGATTTCTTAATGAGATCTGGGCATGGTATAGGCTTTAGTTTTTTCAATACTTGGTTCATCCCCTGAAGTCAGTCTCTGCATGCTTCATGTTAGTCTTTTTTGGCATAGTTTCCTTGATGGGGAGCTCCGTCTTCAGGTTTTTCTTGTGTAACCATGGGCCAATGGTGGGTGGTAAGATCGGATTGGGGTGGTTGGATTGCTCACTGCCGGTCCCAATCCTGGGTTGGGTCTGCTTGCTGCATCATGCTTGAGTTTAAGTTTCCTCTTTTCTTTCCCTGCAGGCGCTGTTGAAGCTGGTGAATGACTACTTTGCTCTTGCGATGGACCTGGGAAGAGTAGACGCCATGAAGGAGTCGCCACTGAGAATAGTGTTGTTTGCATTGAGGAAGATGTGTGAGCACGCTCCTTGCAGGCACTACATGCGCTCATCTGAACTCTTCCCCGCCGTTGTTCAGCTCAAGAAATCATCCGACTCTGCTATGGCAACCTACGCTTCGGGGATTATCGCCAAAGTCTCTCAAATGTAAATACGAGTTCTGCATGGCCGTCTGAAGTGATGTTATTGTCTACTGAAGCATGCAAACAAAGACGAAGAAAAAGCTGTTGCAGAGGAGTTCAAAGGTGAAGACAGGTCATGTTTGGATGGCAACCTGCATACCCAGGAAGGTGTTCCTGCCGTTTTTCACTTTGTTCTTCGTGTTCATCTCATGGGAAATATGTAAATTAGCAGAAATTGCTCTCCAATATCACATTTTGTGATATCCATAGAACATCCGTCGTTATGTTACAGCTCCTTGTGTTATATTCTAATAAGCATTTTGGTCGGTGAACCATTGTCTACTACCCCATGATCATTCTTCTTACATTCAGCTGGCAGGTCAATACCTAGACTTTCTCTTTTGGGTCATTCTAATCTTTCATTAAATAGGCACATTTTTAAAGGGCGGGCATGCTTGATCAAGATGGGCTAACTCGGGTCAGCTGACACCACCTTCAACCACAACGAATCAAATAGTTTCTACTTATATAGCATGTGACTGTTCTCTATGGGTGGGTGATTTACTGTGTCGCGTGATACAAAGAAAAGATGGCGTCGCATCTACTCGTCGGAACACCTGGATTCGGGGTTGACTTCTCTCGGAGTTTAAATCTTCGTGGTGTTCACCACTCGAGGATTGACTATTTCTGAGCTCGAACTTCCATGCGGTTCATCACTTACTGGTGCCGGCTTTGAGGAGTTGGTCTTCAGAAAGATTTTTGCGTAAAGGGCACCAAAGACGACGGCCTGATCAGGTACCGAGAAATGTGTTATTCCCATTGTAATAAGCCGACGGTGAGAAATCTCCTAGTGAAGGGGTTGACGCTTACAGCTCCAATCCATTGTAGTGAGCTCAGGGGGTGACCAAACCACAGGCAGGACAGCAGGATGCTCACCAGCTGCAGTAACGAAAAGCTTGAGAGAGAGAGAGAGAGAGAGAGGAGTTTTCATTACATATTACCTGTCTCGTTGTCATAATAGTGGCAAACGAAAGCGCCCCAAATGTGCGGATTGTGTAGGAAATGAAGAACTGACTGATCGTCGCAACCTGAAAAATCAGAACCAATTTCCGGAATATGTTTCTGTTGAGACCCATTTGGGATAAGATTGAGGATGTTGAAGAAATAAACATCCTTGTAGACTAAGACAGATCTATTTTATATCTATACATATATATAGATATATATATGGGGAGAGAGAGAGAGAGAGAGAGAGAGAGAGAGAGAGAGAGAGAGGGAGAGAGAGAGGTTGCTTACGGTGGATAACAATGCCACATCAAAGAAGCAATCTTGATGGTGAAAGACAAAATCAATTGCTGAAACGAGATGGCCCTGTATTACGAGTCCTAGGTTCATAAAATGATAGAGTTTAGTATATTAAAAAGATCAAACACTTACTGTGGATCATGCTCATAGGAAAGAACATGCGAGAATTGCACTTGATGATCTCCTTTATCCATTGCAACACAATAAGTTTTCATGACTGACTCATCGTAAATAAAATTCATGCGTAGATGGGATCAACATTTATTTATAATTTACTATAAACATTCGCATACAAATTATTTAAATTCATGTGCGTGGTTTATAAATGGTTAAGAAAAAATAATTATTTCCTCCAGAAGAAAGGCAGATTTTCCTCCCTCCAGCATCCAGTAGACGGTATTTCAAGGCATTTCAAAAAGGCTTAAAGGACGAAATGCTTGCACGATTATTTTCGTTTTCCGTCCATTTAAGTAGAAAATGCCCAGGAGGAATGCCATTTCATAAAAGCTACACGCTAAACTATACATAATTCAAGGCCAGATAACAGCGAAAACAGGGACCCACCACTCAGACTGAGGAGAGAAGAACACGAGGCTGTGTAGAATATTTGATTGTGTATTTCCATATCGTAACCCTTGAAAAGGTTATCCTGAAAGGTACTCGTGAAGCCGTCAAACCTGAATTATAATTCTTTCAGAGATGATCGTAGAATTAACAGAGAAAAAAAAAATTAATACTGAAAAATTCTTAAGCTTAAGACCACTCTATCAAAACTAGTAAGAACATAGACGACATTGCAATTCCAGAAGAAAGCTAGACGGCGAAGGCCTTTCATCCTGTTTAGCTCTCAACCCAGAAGAAATCTACTTCTAATTAATGATGGGCTACACTATAGAGAATGTTACTCGTAATTATAATTCCTTATAGCTCCTTCTCTGATGAAAGGACGGAAAGATATAACTCATTGTGAAATTATGAACGATAAAATGATGTGCATAAAGAAGATAATGGACCACATGCTGATAATCATAAAACAAAACACCAAAGGAAAACATGCTAACATTTCCTTAAACAACTAGGTGAAAGGATGAAATTTTCGTGAGTCAATATACTGTAATCCATTGAGAAGACATGATGCGAGTGCCAAAGAAAAAGAATGTGCAGCAATCTGATACCCCAGATAGCCGATCATTAGGAGAATTCCCCAAACAGTGCTTTCTCTTCCTGTACTGTATGGACCAATGCTTGTCGATGCCTACATTTGGGGGGAAAACAAGAGCGATTTCACGCTATACTGTATTCGTCAATTCGTTTGGAAGCATCACACAGGAACAAACGACCTCGTTATTCACAAGTGAAGCATATATATATTTCATAAAAATGCAAGAAAATTATAGGCGCATAATTAACAAGATGACAAAAAGGAAAAATTAAAACCCGAGCTAAATGTGAGAATGGAAGTGACTATACAGAGATAAGCACTGAAGGTATCTACATATAACTAGTGGTCTCCCCTCGGGGCCTAAAGGTTTTAAGTCAAAGGGAGTTTCTCAAGTAAAAGAAACTTCCCCGCACCTGAGTATGTTGGAAGGATTTACAGTCTAAAAGAACAAGCGGGTTAGTTCATTCAGCATGACCCAAAATCCTACATGTCAGACTTTCTCAACTGCTCACCATGCGAATCATAACTTCTGGAGTCCACAGAACAAGCTGGACCATATGATGATTCACTTTTTTCCCTTATCAACTTTCTCATCCCACTTGACTGATCACTTGTCTCTTTCTCAAAGAAAAATAACCTTACTTAGTAGTGTGATCTACTGAGGCAATTTTTGATAGAGTAGTCCACGGCATGTACCACAATGGAGAGAAAGGCAGATCACGAGAGATCAAAAATAAACAACGGATTTTTTTCGGTAAAATTACAATTCCAACGGTTCTATTTAAATGCAAGACACCGTCAGTACTGAATGGTTAGATGCGGTTTTTTTCAACCCGGCGTTTTGACCTCTGATATGATCACCAATAGAGTAATCTATTCGACCAATTACCTGATTTAATGACTATAAAACCTCAATGTTTTTACTGACTTGTGCATTTCTTCGCATGAAATTCATCAAAGGAACGAAACCTTTCTATGACAAGACTGGCTGAAAAATGAACTCAATAGGATAAGTATTGATCTTCCGGCGTTATTAGGCATAACATATAAGAACTTAACGATTTTCTGATATAAATGTGAACTAAATATTAGGTATTGAGGCTTATACGGGTTGGCACCTGATCAAAGTGTCTATACGTGATGATAACAAAAGTCAATCCCTACAACTTAGGCATCGACAACTGGTTATAAGTGTTAAATCCACAACATTAATACTTCTGCAGATAAAAATATAATTAAGTTCCAAATTTTAATTCTTGTCATGGTGACCAAAGTATTGACGCATTCAAAACATGAAAATTTGCAACAGCTACTTTGACCGAAATAACAGGTCAAAGAGCTAGGAAAACTAACCAGTGAAGAACCGAAGGATTTGTCAGTTTGTTTATTATGTTTAACACTACATCTGAGCAAGCTTTTAATCGAGCAAAGATTGTTGGCTATGGAAAGTTTAAAATTGTACCTTAGGAAAGTCAACTTATAATACGTTTAAAAGAAACCTTTAGGACTTCAACTCCTAGATAGAAATTGAAACATTTTCTTTAGGAATTCCTTTGGGACTTCAACTCCTAGATACAATACCCCATTTTCTTTTCTCTGTACCCAACATTTTCTCAATAAGGAAATTCAAAATCCCTCAACCCCTCTTCTCCTCCCCCTTCCTCCTGTAGGACTTCAACTCTTAGATAGAAAGAAAGATCATATGAATTTTTAAACTTGGTTGTACGGATGATAGGACAAAAAGTAGCCATCCAATTACAGCGGATTTGGTAAGTACGCATGATAGGACAAAAAGTAGTCAAAAGGTTCTATTCGTTTAAGACCATGGCAAGGATTGGTGATAAGAACTCATGGTCAGAGGAAAATACCCAAGTTCATTGACCAACATCACATGAATTTTTAATTAACAAATTAAGATAGCTTTTGGCTTCTAAACTTGGTTGTCCTCATGATCAATTAAAAATTAGAGGGAAAGAAAGCAAAACAACTGCAAGAGCATCCTAACAGACACAAAAATTCAAAGTTCATAACTTTTATTCTAATTTATATTGAATAGGAACCACAAGTCTGTACTTTGACGTGAGAAAAGAGATAAGACACTTTGACACATCGTGAACTGACAAATGGTCAGAACCATGGTGCAATGGTGAGAAAATAATAGTAACATCTGGTCATTGGCAACACAAAATCCTCAACTCTTTTAGCTGCAAGCCCGCTTACTGTAAAACTCTTATTTAGCATGCAACGACCTAACTAGGACAAGCTGGCATGAGAGGGGTGGATTGGCCTTTGATGAAGTGAAAAATGTGTAAAAAAGGAAAGGAAAACATCACCAAACTTCCAGCAGGTCTTAAAATGTAATCGATACTAAAGATATTAAAATTGAAAGCATGAGTCTGAACATTTTTACCGGATAAAGGATGAACATTGAACAACCCAAGGTCACTACCAAGGCAAAGAAATAATCCATTCCGACGTACGTCTTTTTCATGATGAGGGTCCCCCAAACCTAATGTTAACAGTAAGAGAGGAACGCATAAATATGGTACTCATTCAACTCGTGGAAACTTGTGAAGTCTCATCAGAAACCATTCTAAACAATTGAACAAATCACTGAGTGGAATCACATGTTTGTACTTAATACTTTTATAAAAACTATAACATTCTCCCCTAAAGGATTCTTCTCAATGCCTTGATTATGCTAAAGTGTCATGACATACGCTGAGAGTTTAGATGAAATGTGCTCCGATGTTCACTAGGTGACTTCTCAGTCAAAACATCTTCTGAAGATGAAGGGCCATCATTTGAAAGAACAGGGTACAGATTAATGACAGAAGAACGAACCCCACCAAGGTTTTTCAAGAACGTGTCAGAGGAAAAATTGCAAATTGAACAGATGAAAAAAACTTTCGGGATTTCCATAAAAGAAAAAACAGGGAATTTTCTGAAAAAACCATGAGCAGGTGTTATGCTATCATGAGAAAAGATATAATTCCAGAGATCCTGAGATCACTCCACGCAAGAGGGTCAATAAGGAAAAAATAGGGCAGCTAATTAACCTACCATGACAGGCATCATTTTTGCACATTTAGCAAGCGTTTGGACAGGAAAACTGACATACTTCAGCGCCTGAAACAGTCAATTATTTACAAAAAATCATGAAAAAAAGGTAAATAGATATAAAAAAAAATTAAGAAAACTTGCACAAGCACGAGAATATACCGTGCACAATGCCGATATAATCTAACCTCATATTGACATGTGGTGGTGAGTATGTTGGACACTGATACTGCACAGTATTTGTAGATTGGAGCGACAGGATCTAGGGCCTTGCTACTTCCCTTCAGGAAGGGAGAAACACAGAGGGCAGCAATGAATCCAGTAGCTTTTGAAATGGGGTACAGATCAACGTCAAGATCGGCTTGTTTACCAATAGAAAACCAGCTGAGACAGCGGATGTCGTGATTCGGTTGCAGAACACGAGGAACAGTGAATATCTGAAGTAATTTTTCTTTTCACCGTAAGGGACCCTCATAATCTTTTCCTGCGAGATGATTGATCCGCCTTAAGCAGGGTGAATGGTCTGCAGAGACGACAAAGAGGAAGGGAGAGGTGGCTTGCCTGCAGGACGCCGTAGATGAGGAGGGTGCTCATGATTCCCAGAACGGCGAAGGCGAACTTGAGCGTTTGGTTCTCCTTCGCGGGAAGGAAATGAAGGTCGGCCATGGCCCATCCAAGCCGAGCTCCGGGGCCCTCGACCACGGCAGGAAATAGGAACGGAGCTGTCAAGCTGAGCTATAACGTGAAAATTAAAAGCAGAGGACGCTCCCCCCTCCTTGAGCGCAATGGCAATCCTCAGGGAACGAAACAGACGGAGATGGATGAGCGAGGGCGGAGTCTCTCTCTCTCCCTCTCGCTCGCTCGCTCGCATCCCGGGGAACTCGGTGAGGAGGAGAGAGGACGGACGCAAGGACATTTCGGGGTCGGGTAGAAGGACGAGAAACTCGAACGCAGCAAATGGCGCGCAGGAGCGCCTTAGAGGGTTCCGCCGCCCTCCGGCGTTCTCGGGAGCCTCAACTCGCCATCCTCGCGCCCACTCTTCTCCGTCCACGTGAACGGCGGCCACGCGTGGAGAGAGAGAGAGATGGTATCTCAAGAAGACTGTAGATAATGATAGAGTGTTATTTGTCACAGTGTGTACATAATTTACGTGGGATTTTCTCGCATCCAAATTTTTGTCTCAGTCGAAAACCGCGAGCTTCTCGAATTCCTCCCCGGCGATGGCCGCCTCCATGACTTGCGCAGGGTTGGGGACACCATCTCCCTCGAGGAATACCTTCAGAAAGTTCTTGGAGAAACCGCTGATCAGCGCCACCCGCTTCTGATCTCCCATGACTTGTACGGAGCGCGACCTCCTCAGGTTCCAGAAGAGAATCTCCGGGACGGAGGAACCGTACCCGTGTTCTCCGAACTTCCTCTGAATCGCCTCGTAGTCGGTCTTCCAGCTGTTCTCCGACGCCTCGTCGAATTCCATGTCGGAAAACACGAACAGCCTCTTGATCATCTTGTCCGCCGGGAGCTTCCCTTCCACGGCCACCATCAAAATCTGGTCAAACACCCGCTGGAAGTCGATGTTGAGGCAGAAGTCCATGTTCTCCATGAACATCATCTTCTCCCTGAGCGTCGTCCCTTTAATCCGGTGCAGCTCTGGTTCGTGGCTAAATGTGATCACCTTGCCGCTCCACGGCTCCTCGCTCAGCTCAGAGATCAGCATGCCGAGGGCTATGCACACCTCCATGGGAGTTCCAGCCATGCTGCCCGACACGTCGCACACGGCGAGGCAGTCCCGCAGCTTCCCCTTATCGGACAGATCCTTCACCATCCTCCGCCACTGCAGCTCCGCCACCTCGTCCCCTCCTTCCCGCTCCCTGATCGCGGCCAGGATCTGGTGTGGGAGGAGCGCCCCCGCCGCGATCTTCGCCTTCCCCTCCGCCACCTTCCCCAAGTACTCTGCGAACCGCTCTCCGTCGTGCTTGAGAAACAGCTTCTTGTAGTTCTTCATGGCGACGGAAGCCACGCGGTTGTACGGCAGCAGGCTCCACTGGTTGGCGCCCATGTAAACCTCCGGCAGCTCCAGCTTCCTGCGGAGGGGGACGAGGACCTCCTTCCGCAGGCGGTCGCGCACTCTGTAGGCGTAATGCTCGTCCTCGATGTCCTGATACTCGGCGTGGGCCTCCCGTGGGAAGACCCTTCTGGCTATGCTCTCACAGATGAGGGTGGAGCGATCGAAGGACGAGTCGAGCGAGGGACACCACTTGGCCGCCAGGCTGATCCGGAAGGGTTTCTCCGATCTGAGAGTCTCCATGTCCGCCCGCAGGAGCTCCGCGAAGAGATCGGCCACCCGGTCGTGGAGGAACCGGTACTCCGGATCGCGATCGTACCTCTTCACGGCTCTCGCCGCCATGGCCTCCCTCTTCATCTTCCTCAGATCCCTCGCCGCCTCCCGGTCTCCGACCTTCATCCTCGCCAGCTTCGCCGCGATCCTCACCTCCCTCGGTAGCAGCGGGTCTGGTCGCCTCACCGTTGCGCCGCGACCGCGTCGTCCGCCACATCGGTGACGCCTCCTCCTCGTCGTCCCCGCCCTCTTCCCGACGTCGTGGAGGATGCGGTAGAGGATCTCCAGGAGGTCCTTGAGGTAGCCGAAGTTCGCGAAGGACCGAAGGTTGAGGGCCAATGTCTTCGGATGGTGTCGGTGAAGCCAGAGCGCCGCCGTGTAGAACCATTCCTTGTCGGACTTGCCGGTGCCGCGGATGCCACGGAGGTGGCCGACGAGCTTGAGAGCCGTCAACGGGTTATGCGCCCACGCGCAGCCCAAGAGGTGAGTGAGTTCCGCCGGCGAGATGCCTGGAACGACAAGGAAGAAGAAGTCGAGGCAGGGGTCGCCGGAGGAGAGGAAGGTCGGCCACCAGATCTCCGTCAGGCCCTTGAGCAGCGCCGCCATAACGGCCCTGTCGTTGCATGCAGCGGACATGAGGTCCATGAAGGGTTCACCGGTGGCGGCGGCGCTGGCCTCCTTGGCGGGCTCCGCGGCGGCGGATCTGCGGATCTCCGGCGGGCCGAGGAGGCGAGCAGCTGGAGTCGCCGCTGCTGCCGCCATTGGGGGAGAAGATTAGAGGCAGAAGTGAGGAGGGGGGCTGGCCAGTAACTGAGACGGGTAGTGCAGAGTTCGGGCCCTATTCGTCTTTTCTCGTTAACCGCTGTCGGATAAACGGGGATGGGAAGGGTTCCTTATATAGTCTTGGGTTTCGTGGGTGGCAAGGAGCCTGGGATTTCCTTGGGAACCACGGTCGCCTGGAGTTGACTTGTTATGCAACCGCCTCTTACCGTAGCTACTGAAGACCCAACTCAAATAGTTTGAACATAATTAAGGACGGTATAAAGTCGTTGTTCTCTTAACGTGCTTCCGAAATCCCTTGGAAATCGTGGACGATAATTTGAAATATGAGACGGCAAGATTTGCAATAGTCACGTTAGCAGCCGAAAACTTTGGTAAAACCCATCGAGGATATTTGTAATTTATTCACAATATTGGATGGTTTTTGACAAGTAAAAAATAAATTATTTTATTCAAAGGAAGTAATCAACAGAAAAAAAGATAAAATTCACGTTTGATGTTTTAATTTTGTCCGTACTTTGTATACGATTTCAAAATCATAGTTTTTGATCTTTGATAACTATTTTAATATTCTAGCAGAATAAGTTGCTATTCTAATGCAAATTTTAGGATACATCGATCATCTGGAATCTAGACTCAATAAATAATGCCTAAACTATTTTGAATTAATTTTTATCTGACAAAACTTAACTAAAATAGGCTATGAGTTGATAGTTTTACACGATTACCATACCAATCTCATGTCTTCAAACGTTGACCTCTATTTCAGAAATTTTTGAAAAATTTGATAATGTTAATACTTGGATTGCAGTCATGATATATTTGCGCTATTTAAATGACTTTTCTACTTCTTCACACTAATTAAATACGATTTTCTTTATTATTATGTCAGTGGCCAAACCTTTCTGTAGTAACGTGAGTTTTGAAAATGCTCACAAGTTGGTTGGAGTGTTGTCAATTTATTATGACTTGAATTTGTCTTGGTCCATTGTGTCATCACGAAGAATTGGAGGGTGTGCACAGTATGGTGAGCACATGCAGAAGGTTGTGCATGTGCATGCACAATGCAGACATACATAGTGCGGTGAACAGGTGCCAGGGAGTGCGCACGCCACAATGGGGATGCATGGCATGACAAACATATGTGGCACTAATGAGCGTAACTTGGTAGGCAAGCATGGAGCTGAGGACATGTCAGAGGTGCGTGGGCGGGCACAATGTTGGGAGTCTCCCTCATGATGGAAATAGCACCACCAAGGAGCTATAAGGACTCATGAGAAGTGGTAGGTACGAGAATCGAGGAGGGCATCTCCGCACTCTCTCTCTCTCTCGGCGCAGCCCACCCCGCACCGTGTGCCGGCATGTCTCACCGGCCATCTCTCGCCCTCCACGCCGGCCCTCTGGGCGCTTATCTCAGGGCGTCCAGCCCTCTCTCAGTGGCCTCAGCCACCGGTTTCCCTGCGTTGCTGCCCGCGCAGCATCTGTGCCGTTCTCTCTCTCGCGCAGCCCGCCCTGTGCCGCCATTCCTTGTCACCAATCTTCCGGCGGCGTCTTCGGCGCTGTCTCTAGTCGTGGCGGCTTCATTAGGGCGTCCGTCAACTCACCAGTGGCCTCAGCCACCGGTTTCTCAGCCTCTGGGCGCTTATCGCAGGGCGTCCAACCCTCTCCTGTGCTGGGCCGTGCTCTCCAGGGCTGGTGTCAACGGCAGGATCTGACCTCAGGGTGTCCTGTGCGTCGATCTGACATTTAAGGGACTCCTGTGCGTTGGCATATGTGCGCATCCTCTGCTTCCTCGTGCGCCGTCTGCTCGTGCCTCTCGTCATCTCGGTGAGTTGCATCTCTTCCTTTGATGGCATATACACCGGGGTCATCTTCCAACGACTCACCCTTACCTTGGTGACGATACCCTCCACCTCGTCTCTTGCCTCATTCCCTCCCCAGCATTCTATCACGGCTCAGCCTACATCTTTGACGGCACTAATTATGGCTCGTGAGCGTTTGCATTTAAACACTTTCTTCATGCTCATTCACTTCTACATCACCTCCAGTCGCCTCTGCCTGATGTCACGTCTCGGGACTATCTTCGTTGGGGGCATCTTGACTCCGCTGTCAACACCTAGCTTGTAAGTAAGCTCGCCTAAAGTCAGCTCGCCTATTATGGCACACTCTTGAGACGATATTTGCGAACAAGACCAACATCAGCCGCATCGTCTGTCTCTATGAATCACTCTTCGCTTGTAAGTAAGGCAGTCAATTGCTCCAGGCATACTTCGGTGAATTACAAGATATCGTCACCAAGATATTTGTCTATCAACCCCTGATTGTAGATCTGTCCACTCTCACTTGTTATCGTGACGAACTCTATATAGGGGCCTTTCTCAGTGATCTTCATCAAGAGCTTGTCAATCAGATATGTGGCCAAGTCCTCTCTAGCACTCAGGTTTCTCTGATGATAGATATCTTCTCAGCAACTCTTCGTGTGCACACCAGCATGCCTCTTGCTCCTACTGCTTTTATAGCTCTCGACCCCTCTGCCCTTGCTACTTACTATATGTGCTAGTGGTGGTCGTAGCTCTAAGTCTACTAGGAAGGAGAAGGGATCGACTAAGTAGAAGTATTTTTTTCCTTCGTACCTGTATTATGGTAGGCAAAATCACTCGGTTGAGAAATGTTGGAAGGAGTTTGATAAACTAGCATGAGATCAAGCTGCAATTGCTAGTAACCTACCTTCTATGGCTCTTCTACCTACATCATCTGCTCCCATGGTCTAGATGACCATGACTCTTGAAGAGTATACAGGATGGAAGGCCTCTCGTGCTTCCTCTCATGGCTCCTTTGTTAGCCTTGCCTCTACTTTCGTGTATGGCGCATCCGTTTTAGGTATACACACTCTACTCACCTTTTGTACTTCTTGGCTTATCGACTCAGGGGCCTCTACCCATATGACGGGGTCTTCTTCCCTTCTCTATTTTAAAACTTACACCCACCAATTATCTTCCTTTTGTCTTCGTCGTTGATGATCATTCTTGTCATGTCAAAGGATATGACATTGCCATAGTGTCTTCCAGGACTTATGTACCAGATAGAGGATTAGTTTGAGCCATAAGAATGATAGTGACATCTATAAGCTCATTTCCAACTTTCCTTAGGACTTCTAGTTTTGTTTACTTCTTCTATGTAAAATTTATCTATTTTGTGGCATCGCCATTTGGGACATCCATGTTTATCCAAACTTTATAAATTCCTTCTATGACTTACTTTTTCAAGTTTGTGTGCGAGTTGTGTCAACTAGGCAAACATCACTACTCTACATATCCACCTCAAGATTCTATCCCCACTACTTGACCATTCGATCTCATTCACTATGACGTGTGGAGGCCATCTTGAGTTACTTCTTTGACAAAATTGTAATTTAATATTATCTTTGTTGATGATTATAATCGTGTTATATGAGTATATCTTCTCAAAGATCATTCTTAAATTTACAACATGGTCTATTAATACATCACAAAGATCATTACATGGTATTCTACTACCTCTAAGATTTTTTGAATAGATAACACCATAGAGTTTGTCCAAAACACCCTTTAGAGCTTTTGCAATGACTGTGGCATCATTCATCATACTATTTGCCTCTACATGTCTTAGCAAAATAAAATTGTTGAATGGAAACATCAACATCTTCTTAACATTACTCGCACCTTAATTGTAGCCATGCATGTCCTACACTATCCCTAATATGATGCCCTCCTCACTATCACCTTTCCTCGTCAATCACCTGCCTTCATTTGTTTTTGGTGAAGCAATTTCATTACATCGACTTTCTCCTCAGATTGACTTTTTTCATCTCCCTCCTCGAGTATTTGGTTGTACTTCATTTGTACATGATCATGCTTTCTCTCTCTCTAAGTTGGTATCTCGCACCTTAAAATATTGTCTTTGTTAGTTACTCTCACACCTAAAAAGGATTTCGAGTCTATCTTCTTGACATTCATCGGTATCTCACATCTGCAGAATCACCTTTCATGAAGATGTCTCTTATTTCTCTTCTTCCACTCTTACTTTTCTAATGTCCTACTCACCACCTCCTAGTTTTCTTCTTTCATTGTCATCCCCACATGTTCTAGTGGTCTATGACTCTTATGCATCTTCACTACCCTCTCAGTCCTTGTTGTTTGACCCATTTGTTGGGTCTTCACCCCCTTCATCTAGTCCACTAGCACTCTCATCAGTTTTTACTACCTCTTTTGTCTCCCCACTCAATCATCTCCATCTCATTGCCTTATGCAAAGGCATTAGCTCATGCACTCAACATCACATCTCTCATTTTGTTTCTTATAATCACCTTCACCCTACTTTCTGAGTATTTGCTCTTTGTGTCATTTGAGTCGATATTTGAGATGTATCGTGAGGCTCTTCAGGTATTTGAGTGAAAGTTGGTGATGGACGTCGAGTACACTGTCTTGGTTCAATGCGGCACCTAGCAACATGTTCCTCATCTGACTAACGTTAACATCGTGGCTTACAAATGGGTGTACTCCCTCAAGTATAACCCTGATGGATCTATTGCTCATCACATAGTGTGTCTTGTTGCTTGCAATTTCACCCAGGCTACAATATCGATTACACGAAAACCTTCTATCTTCTGATTTGTCTCAACTCCATCTATATTTTTCTTTTTCTAGTAGTCAATTGAGGTTGGTCTCTTTATCAGCTAGATATTTTCAACACCTTCCTCTATGGTGATCACATTGAACATGTATTTATAGAGCAACCTTCAATGTATGGTTCTTAAGAAAAGACTTCTCACGTATGTTTGCTTAAGTAGGCTACCTATGGGCTCAAGTAAAGTCCTCATGCTTGATTTGGGAAGTTTAGGTGTCTCATTATTACTTTTGGCTTTGCTCCATATATGGTTAATCCAATTGTGATGTGCCAAACCACCTTAGGTGAGTGTGTGATGCTTGCAGTCTATGTCGATGATATCCTCTTAACCCACAAGGATGAGGTTGTCATCTCTATTACAAAGGTATAAGAAAATCAATATTTCATGATTCGTGATCTTTTCATTCTGCGATATTTTTTAGGGATTGAGTTTGCTTATCGTCAAGGAAAACTTATTCTTTTCCAAAGGAAATATGCATTAGACCTTTTCAAGAGATAGAGTTATTGGGGTATAAACTTGCTTCATTGCCAACAGAGGCTTGGCCCAAGTTTTGTGATGATGATTCTCCTAAATTAGAGGACAGCAATTAATATCGTCATCTACTTCGCAAATTACTTTATCTCACTATCACTTGTCTTGACATATCTTATGTAATTGACATTCTTAGTTAATTAATGTAGAAACCTTGAGAGGAACATATAGAGGAAGCACTCCGTGTTCTTATCTACATCAAACAAGTGTTTGAAAAGGGGCTTCTCTACCAGCACCATAGGTATCTCGGGATTGAAGCATATTTTGATCTCAGATTTGTAAGTCAATTACTGACTTTTGTACATATATTGATGACAACTTAGTCACTTGACATTTCAAGAAGTAGTGAGTCATCTCCCACTCTAGTATTGAGGTAGAATACTTTGTGATGGTTGATATTATAGATGAGATAATATGACTCTAATCTTTTTTTGTAGTAATTGGGGGTTTTGACACTGCTTCCAATGACTATGTACTACTACAATCAAGTTACAATCTTTATTACAACAAAACTCACCTTTTATGAACACATCAAACACATCGAGATTGATTGTCATATTATTACCATTTCACACGTGTCATCAGTCAATCAATTGGCCAACATCTTCACCAAGAGTCTTAATAGTGGTTACTACAATTCACTAGGAACCAAGCTAGGCATGTTAGATCTATATGTTTCAGTTTGAGGGGAAGTGTTACATTGTGGCCTTGGCTCATTCTGAACCTATTTCAGTAGAGCCTATTAGAGTTATTACAGACTTTTGTACTTATCCCTTTTTTTATTTCAATCTCTTGATTCGAGGGGTCGACGGCGCCCTTTATCTTCACATAAAGCAAGAGAGTAATAAACTTTGATCAATCACCACAATAATTTCCAAGTGAACGTACGTTGATGATGATTCTTGAAAGCAAGGAGTAAAAGAATAAAAGAGAAACTCTCCTGTCAACGGAGGAGGCAGAAAGCCGGCGATAAGGTGCGTATGGGAATGATGGGGCGGACGGCGTCGCGGCGGAATGGTGGTGGCAAGGCGGACGGCTAGGAGGACGGGATGAGGGAAGCGAGGCCGTCAAATGGCAGCGGGAGAGACTCAAGAAGACTGTAGATAATGATAGAGTGTTATTTGTCACAGTGTGTACATAATTTACGTGGGATTTTCTCGCGTCCAAATTTTTGTCTCAGTCGAAAACCGCGAGCTTCTCGAATTCCTCCCCGGCGATGGCCGCCTCCATGACTTGTGCAGGGGTGAGGACGCCATCTCCGTCGAGGAACACCGTCAGCATGTTCTTGGAGAAACCGCTGACCAGCGCCACCCCCTTCTGATCTCCCACGACTGGTACGGAGCGCGAGCTCCTCAGGTTCCAGAAGACAATCTCCGGGACGGAGGAACTGTACCCGTTTTCTCCGAACTTCCTCTGGATCGCCTCGTAGTCCGTCTCCCAGCTGTTCTCCGACGCCTCGTCGAATTCCATGTCGGAAAACACGAACAGCCTCTTGATCATCTTCTCCGGGGGGAGCATCCCTTCCACGGCCACCATCAAAATCTGGTCGAACACCCGCTGGAAGTCGGTGTTGTAGCCGAAGTCCATGTTCTCCATGAACATCATCTTCTCCCTGAGCGTCGTCCCTTTAATCCGGTGCAGCTCTGGTTCGTGGCTAAATGTGATCACCTTGCCGCTCCACGGCTCCTCGCTCAGCTCAGAGATCAGCATGCCGAGGGCTATGCACACCTCCATGGGAGTTCCAGCCATGCTGCCCGACACGTCGCACACGGCGAGGCAGTCCCGCAGCTTCCCCTTATCGGACAGATCCTTCACCATCCTCCGCCACTGCAGCTCCGCCACCTCGTCCCCTCCTTCCCGCTCCCTGATCGCGGCCAGGATCTGGTGTGGGAGGAGCGCCCCCGCCGCGATCTTCGCCTTCCCCTCCGCCACCTTCCCCAAGTACTCTGCGAACCGCTCTCCGTCGTGCTTGAGAAACAGCTTCCTGTAGTTCTTCATGGCGACGGAAGCCACGCGGTTGTACGGCAGCAGGCTCCACTGGTTGGCGCCCATGTAAACCTCCGGCAGCTCCAGCTTCCTGCGGAGGGGGACGAGGACCTCCTTCCGCAGGCGGTCGCGCACTCTGTAAGCGTAATGCTCGTCCTCGATGTCCTGATACTCGGCGTGGGCCTCCCGTGGGAAGACCCTTCTGGCTATGCTCTCACAGATGAGGGTGGAGCGATCGAAGGACGAGTCGAGCGAGGGACACCACTTGGCCGCCAGGCTGATCCGGAAGGGTTTCTCCGATCTGAGAGTCTCCATGTCCGCCCGCAGGAGCTCCGCGAAGAGATCGGCCACCCGGTCGTGGAGGAACCGGTACTCCGGATCGCGATCGTACCTCTTCACGGCTCTCGCCGCCATGGCCTCCCTCTTCATCTTCCTCAGATCCCTCGCCGCCTCCCGGTCTCCGACCTTCATCCTCGCCAGCTTCGCCGCGATCCTCACCTCCCTCGGTAGCTGCGGGTCTGGTCGCCTCACCGTTGCGCCGCGACCGCGTCGTCCGCCACATCGGTGACGCCTCCTCCTCGTCGTCCCCGCCCTCTTCCCGACGTCGTGGAGGATGCGGTAGAGGATCTCCAGGAGGTCCTTGAGGTAGCCGAAGTTCGCGAAGGACCGAAGGTTGAGGGCCAATGTCTTCGGATGGTGTCGGTGAAGCCAGAGCGCCGCCGTGTAGAACCCTTCTTTGTCGGACTTGCCGGTGCCGCGGACGCCGCGGAGGTGGCCGACGAGCTTGAGAGCCGTCAACGGGTTATGCGCCCACGCGCAGCCCAAGAGGTGAGTGAGTTCCGCCGGCGAGATGCCTGGAACGACCAGGAAGAAGAAGTCGAGACAGGGGTCGCCGGAGGAGAGGAAGGTCGGCGACCAGTTCTCCGTCAGGCCCTTGAGCGGCGCCGCCCTAACGGCCCTGTCGTTGAATGCAGCGGACATAAGGTCCATGAAGGGTTCACCGGTGGCGGCGGCGCTGGCCTCCTTGGCGGGCTCCGCGGCGGCGGATCTGCGGATCTCAGGTGGGCCGAGAAGGCGAGCAGCTGGAGCCGCCGCTGCTGCCGCCATTGGGGGAGAATCTTTAGAGGCAGAAGTGAGGAGGGGGGATTGGCCGACAAATGGCAGGAGAAGTGCGGACGTTTGACCTTCCTCGTCCAGCGCTGTCGGATTAAGGGGGACGGGAAGGGCTCATTCTATGTAGTGTTCGGTTTCGTGGGTGGCAAGAAGCCTGGGATTTCCTTGGGCACCACGTCCGCCTGGAGTTTACTTCTGTGACGAGGACGGAACACACCTGCCGCTTTCTGCACCAACTGAAGACCCAACTTGAATGTAATGAACATTATTGAGAACGTGCTTCACAAGTGCCATGAATCGTAATATATTCCTAATATTTTCACAATATTGTTCGGGAAATATTTTATGATTCTGATGGAGTCAACCACCCGGAATAGGAAAAATTAAATTAAAACCATAAAAAGAAATCCAGATACTTTGGAAAACTTCTAAAGAACTCCATTAATGTTCTTGGACAGATGATCAGAGCGCAGTTTTACTGGTTTAAACTAGCTATTACACATGGACTGATAATAAGAAGAAAAAGGAGAAAAAAATCGATCCAACATTGCATCGGGGGGTTGAAAGGATCGGGCTCTTAGATGATACCGATCTTGTTCGCCACGTCCAAGGCATCGTAGTCGGGGGTCAACCTCACGTAGGCCTTCTTTGTCCCGTCCGGCCTGGAAGGGGATCGATCAAGGATGAGCAACTCGTTGACTGGGTGGGAGGCTCTGAAGATCTCGGAGGAAAGGAGTGTTGGCGGGCGGGCGGACTCACCTGATCAAGGTGTTGACTTTCTTGGCCTGGATGTCGTACATCTTCTTGACGGCGCTCTTGATCTTCTTCTTGTCGGCGCGGATGTCGACGATGAAGACGAGGGTGTTGTTGTCCTCGATCTTCTTCATGGCGGACTCGGTGGTGAGGGGGTACTTGAGGATCTGGAAGTGGTCGAGCTTGTTCCTCGGAGGGGCGCTGATCCGAGGGTACTTGGGGCTCCGGTCCTTCTTCAGTGTCTTGGGCCTGTGGAAGGTGACCGACGTCCTGATCTTCTTGGTCTTCTTCAGAGCGGAGGTGCCCGATTTCACGGCTTTGGCAGCCTTCAGGGCCTGGGCTTTGGGGTCGCCCTTCCTCACAGCGGCTGCGAGAAGAATTAGGTTGTTTGGGTAAAAGCTGTAGGTCTAGAATAAGATCATTTACTGCTGGCTAAAACATATAAACCTAATAAAGCTGTGGGTAAAACCTAATGTTTTATCATTCGACGCTGAACACCAATTCGAAACCTATAATTCGTACACAGTTGTTGAGCCCACAGAGATGAACACCATGGTGCTGAGATATTTATCGTCTCATTAGACATGCTCATGCAAATGTTACTTATCCACTTTATAATATTCTAGCTTAAGAAAATACGTGCTTTTAATAGACAGCACTAATCATACATAGTATTTATTATTTATCTCCATTACTCTAACTGGTATATAAGGCTTGATAAAATCTGATTTTATTTGAACTACAGGTCCAACCTAGAAAACATGGTCTCAGTAAAATTTCAAAATGAGTGAAAATTGGAAAGATGTCTGACACATTAAAATGACAAAAAAATAGCATGCATGCTATTTTTACGAGTGCCATATTGGCAACAAGTCATACAAAACACAAGCACGCAGATATGGAGGTAATAAATAGCTAATATGGCAAAATAGGGGGGAAATGATACCCTTAGTTGGTGGAGCCATAGCGTCTCCCTGAGAAAATAAACCTGTGGAAACAACATAAAGGTGTTGACTAAGCCACAAACGATGAATCAAGATCTCCAAACCGTAAGGATCATTCATATATCTCATTAAAAAAATTAAAGCGAAAACATATGATGAAACATATAGAGGTCAAAACGTTAAGTCAATGATAAGAGAAAGCCTGTACGCTGCAGAGTTGGACCTATTTCTTTCATGGTAATAGAGGAAATTTTAAAGTACTTGGGAAAGTTTCTGATGATGCTCGTCAGTGCAAATCATTTCTCTGATTAAAGATTTCATCAAACTAAGCCAGATAACGGTTGAACCATGATTCCTCTTGACCAAAACCATGCAAAGCCCAACCACCACATCATGGCCAGTGGAACAAGCGAGAAGAAATTAGAGATAAGAGAGTTCAGACAAAATTAATTTTGCGGCGCCTGATATCACAATAGAATCAACTACTTCATATTCCTTGTAAATATCTTACTCGACTGTCGATGGGATCAACAGAAGTATACTAGTCTCTGGTTCCATGTTTTTTACATAATGGCCTCTAAAAAGGATTTTGTACCGTATTTTATCATTGTTCACCTGTTACAAGCGATACGAACCTCTTTCTTTCAAAGAAAAAAGTTGGTCTTAAAATTGAACGATAGCGCATTGTAATTAGACCAATGTATAGCAAACTCTGCGCAACGTCATTTGAGCCTGGCATTGTGATCGTCTTCGGTGTGAATGAGATCTGATTAAGATTTCTCTCTTAGAGTAATCACGTATACAATCTAGATATATCGATTCCTATTTTAAAGCAAAGCATTCAGACTACTTTTCCTTTTAAAAAAGAGAAAAAAATTATCTGATTTATGTCATAAGATTATACGATGACGGGAATCTACTGTTCGGGGGAAGAATTATACTGAACTCCATTATCAAATGCACAAGTTACAACTAATGCAATACATTTTCCATCCAGATTAATAAGTATTTACGCGATGGGAACTAAGGATAAGAAAGTGTTTCGTGCCTCCATTTAAAATGTCGACTGGCGGTGTAATGCGTGCTTGTATACTAGAATGAATGCGCATTGTGTCAATAGAAAATTAAGGAGATGAAAAATGAAGCAATTAATGTGAGGGAGCCACACATGCGATTTGGAAGACCGAAATAACATTGCACATCAGACAAAAATTATGATATGTGAAAGATTTCCCCATTCCGACTCTCCATAATAAAAAAATTACGATATGACAAATGAAAAGCGAGTTTTGGAGCAACGTCACTGCACAAATACTGCCGTAAAAATCCCCAAATGATATTTGCAGATCTAAAGAGAATGACAAACGGATCGTGAGGCGGGCCAGGAAGAGTGCGAAAAAACGCATGCATACCGAAAAAATCAACGACAACATCCCCGTCCTTCAGTTCAGTTCAGTTCTCTACTAAGCAAGCAGAAGAGGAGAAACGTACCTGATAAGGATGGCCGACAGCTGCACCGCGGCTGCTCTAGGGTTCGGGCACGGCACGAACACGAGGGCTTTATAAACACGTACTGATATAACTAAAATTACGTAAATACCCTTATCGATGGCTGCTGCCGTATCCTGGCCCGAAACACTGAGCCCATCGGTCAATCCACCTGGCCCATTAGAGAGACTTATATGCCCCTCTTTTTAAGGAGGATTCTTTATGAGTCATTTATGTATTAATTTTCCTCTCCAATTTTTTTTTATTAGGAATGCCGAAATTTGAAATTATTAGTTTATTTTTCGGTCGTTGAGTAAAAAACAGCTGGCATTTATCCATCCGATATATAAATAAATTAAAAAAAATTAATGACGGTCAACGACTCGGATCCAATCTCCTTCAGAAGGCGCGCAAATCAAGAGCCCATTTAGAATATTTTTTAAACAAAAAAAGGAATTTTCTCACAATTAACTGTGGAAAAGCTGTAAATTTAGACGGGGACGGTCCTTTCACAAGCATTGTAGCATTATTTTATTAATTATTTAATTAAAAATAATAAGATAAACCCTCGCCTCTGGTACAATATCGTTCTTTCAGGATCTGCGAGCCCGGAAGGGGAAAAAAAGAATGGATTTCTGCATTCCAAACGCTCCTCCGATGAACAATCCGAGTTGAAGGACCCAAGATCAGTAGTATTAGGAGAAGCGGCCATGGACTGTGGGGCATCCATGAGACTGGAAGGGGAGGGATGAACAGGGGGCACTGAGATGTTATATAATACCACATATGGGGAAAGCATGATTGCTGGGTGGGGCTCAGACAGAGAAAACTTGGAAGGAATCGATGACGGCGTGCAGCTTTTCCTTCATCTTCTCCCATCTCCTCTCGTTGGCTCCCGTGGTCAACGTGTAGAACTTGCCTGAAAAGGAAATTGTCTTTAGGGTTCTTGGAGGGTCTCAGAGTCAAACCCATAATAATTTAGCAAGAAGCCTTCCGAAAATAATTATATGTTTTTATTTCTGTGTATATATATATATTATTGATAATCCAGAGGTGAAGTGCTCATGGGGGCCAGCTTCGTACCATTCCCGATTGTTATCACTCCAAGAGCATGGCGAGTGAAGTTTGGAGCCTTAGCGACGAACTCGAAGCTGTAGTAGTTTTTCCCCTCGACTTGATGCTGTTTGGTGTCAGATTGCAGCGATGGGGGGAGAAAATTAGCACGAAAATGCATGGATTAACGAGGAAACATTGGGAAAAAGTGGAGGAAATTTTCACAGAAGTGGTAGGATGAGAAAGGAAACTTCATCAAGGACAAGATAAATTGAGATCCTGCCTCTGTTCTTATAGCTTAGATGCAGTATGGTTATCGAAGAACTGAGAAAACTGAGAAGACCTCTGTTCTTATGACAAAATGGGATTTTGGTGATGTGTTTTTTAAGCATCATCTGTTCTAGGTAGCTGTCTGTATCTTCTTGGTAACTGAGAAGACCTCTGTTCTTATGACAAGATGAATTGAGATCCTGCCTCTGTTCTTATAGCTTAGATGCAGTATGCTTATCTAAGAACTGAGAAAACTGAGAAGACCTCTGTTCTTATGATCAAATGGGATTTTGGTGATGGGTTTTTTAAGCATCATCATAAAGGGCAGATAGGGTACTGATGATTCTTAGCACCATGATTCAAGGTGGCCCGGGAAATCTGGAGGTATCAGATCAACGTTGACTCTGGCTATCTGTTCTTGGTTGCTGTCGGTATCATCATATCCCTTCGGCTGGGCTTAAAGCACAGTGCCCGAGTGAAGCCAATTTCTTTTGCCCTATAACTCGTAAAAAAATGACATTTTCTCCTTCCCCAATACACCCATGTTCACCGCACATATGTTTCATCGTTTTATCATCATTAAAGCTACAGAATTCCACACCCACCAACCCATCCAATTTAGCAGAGCCAGCCGCTGCAATTCCCATGATCCAGCTCTGTCAGTTTAACTTCTGGCTAAATCCCGATTAACACAATATAGATGGAGAGAACCGGACCTTGATGGGATGCCAGAAGGGAATTTTAATTGACACGTGTGACAGTACAAAATCTGTTCTTCATGGGTACCTATTTCGTGTTTTATTCGCATAGCCCAATGAACTGTATCATGTAGCGTAGCTCCATTTGACATCAGACGGATCATTGAGTTTACCAAAGCAATGGTAAATCACGTTGACATGAAGCTATTGCATAAGCTAAAACTTTCAGATGCCTAGGATTTGTCAGAAGCCATTCTTCCAAAACAAAAGGGAATCTCTCTAACTCTCTGTTTACAGAGTGTGCGTAATGGTGGTGGTGTATGCCTGATGCTGCTGTAAATGAAAACCAAACAAGTCTATTTTGGGGGTGAGGATGCAAACCTCTGATGCCTCAATTATTTTTGTTTTCTGTGTAGATGGTGCGAGAACCTTTCTGACTAATGCCTCCGCAACCTGGGATCAAGAAGCAAATCAACCACATCAGCGGTCAGAGATGGAAGCAAGGACAGACCGTGAGCAACTGTGCAAGAAAGTGTAGATTACCTCTTGTGGAGAGCCGAGGTCTCGTACATCTTCTTTGCTGGTGACAACCAGGTTCACACTGACACTTTCCAAAGGCTCAATAACATCTTTAAATACTTTATCTTGTCCTTGGATAACTACTTCCTATATTAAACAACCAGTATTGATTAAATTAATTTTTATGAATAAATGCAACCAAAGATATCCATAACGTAACACCAGCAACCTGCCATCCAAATGGGTAAAGAAATGTATAGCCATCCTTCTTGTCTAAGACCGCTTGATATCCTTTCTTAGCTTCTGCTGCAACTGAACATACCAAGGGGTTTCTGTCACGCGGTGAGGGGTGTCACAGTTTCTCTTAGGATATGCATCAACCCAAAATTGTCCGTCTCATAGTATGAGAGAAATAAATGTTTCATAAAGAATAATGCAAATATCTTAATTCATAAATCCTCACAACTTGTAGAACTAGTCGGGGACAGAATATTGTAAGTAGCTGCTGCTCCTATTGCAAACACCTGGCGCCTTCCAACTTTATCTGCGAATGAGGAGAAAAGGTTCCTGTTACTGCACATTCGCTCAAGCAGTGGAAAAATATAGTATTTCTAATGACCAATTAATAATTTCTTTTATCATATGATGATGCCAAGCATATTTTTAAAAAGTAACAAATAGGAAGGCATATTCTAGAGTATCAAATGTATCGACGTGTTAATAGCATTGAAACCTCGCAGGGTTTCCTCCCTCCGTGCTTTGAGTCTATAGAAAGTCAATATGGAAAAAAAAAGGTCCTTTGATGTATTAAATGCATATGCAATCAGATAAATAGATTATAGCGACATAAAGAAATAAAAAAGGTCCTTTGCTTTTCTCAATTGCAGCCATCAGCTGTGTTTAGAGATAAGAAATCAAACAGAGATCAAAGAACTTCCACCAAGAAAGATAACGAAAATAACAATTGAAGGAAGAGTATGACAATAATTTCAGTGCCTAATTTATCATGTCACTAAATCATTAAACAGGATAGTTCTTAAAAAAAATTCAAGAAAGAAATATTCGAATGTCAATCTATTATCGTCCATAGGTAAAACTACAAAGCAGATAATCCCTTATTTTGTACTATGTTATAGTACCTACAGCACTATGTCTATGTAAAGGGAGCTAACCTATCTTACTTCAAATAGACTTTAGAAGACGTTTGAAAGCAATGCAACCCTGAAATGATGGAAAAGGGATAGTCGAAAAGATAATAATTATCCTAAAAGCCGAGGAGCCAAATCCAGTACCGTTCTTCATTAGCCCTATTGTCTAAACAGCTAATAAGAATCTTAGAATCACAGATTTTCAGCAGAAAGTGATAACATGGCCTGTTCCTATATGTGAAGGGCTAAGTGGAAAAGACATCATGCCCTTGATTCAGGCAACAGCAATGGATAAGAATGAGTAAAATGAAATCCATAATAGACATTTCTCCAGCAAGATTAGCTTCTCAGGCGTTATTGCCAGAAGTATGTCCACTCTTCTGAGTTTTGATGCCTTTTATTACAAGAGAGATGCAGGCAGATATTTGATTCAACTAAAGGCTTTTTCCAACATGTACATGTTGCACCTAGCTGTCTAGTGAAAGAATCAGACATTTCCATAGTGACTAAATGATGTACCGCCCAGAGAAATTCCTTGGACTCCACCTTGTTGATTGCCATATAATCTCTACATTACTAGTCTTGCTGAGCTCCCATCTTGTTTTCCAGCATAACAGAATGAAAAAGGTCGTATAGCAATAAATTTCTCTAATTCATATGATAATCCTCACTGATAATTTTCACGATTACAAAAAGTTCAGATAAACTTAGTAAGATGGGAAATAATGATCCAACTGATTTCATGATTGGAAATTTTCATTTCCAAGAAAAATCACTTTCTCAACAAATTCCCGTGCTTCCACATTTTCAACTCATTTTCATGTCTCTTGGAGATATTCCTATGAGTTTCCCCCAACTCCCAATGTTTAGCTTAATACATTCAACGACTCTTCATGGCCATGGTTGTGCCAGTGTCTTGAATCTCTCGATCAATATCCTTTCCTCTAAACAGTTCTTTGATGGGGAGGACTATTAATCCGCCAGAAGATATTACATAAATTATTCTATCTCAAGTTAACAAAGTTATGGCGCCAACTTTGGGGAAAAAAACCCTGGATGCCTGAAGGTAGATTTCAATTCTTATACCGATTCAAACTCTTCAAAAGGATAACCGAATTTGAGAGCTATTAGCGTGGTTGCAACAAACTGTCATGGAAGAATGAAAGAACTTATTATGCGTTCTAAAAAAAAGCATCGCCTGCGTGGGTTCCCTAAATTCCCCTTTTTCCCTGAAGTGCATCTGAGGACGAGAGACAGATTCCGATCCCCTTGCGAAAATGTTAAAAATTCTAGGAGCACGGAAAGTATTCCCGAGAATTCTCAACATGAGTCGCTGGTTCTCATTCTGTACGCATTCCTGTTATACGATGAACAAGGATTCTGCGATGCGCAGGGATGTCCCTTGCCTGTCTTTCATACGTTAACAGCGAAGAATAAACACTCCGAACCCGGCCGCATTCCGAATTTAGCATCCCGTAGGGCCAGTTTTCAAATTCTCACGGCGTCCCACCCGGTAAATCCTACTCAACAACGCTTCCCATCTCAAAAGAACTTCTGGGATAAGACGAGTAACAATCAAACTAGGAGACGAGATACGAGACGGGACTGACCTTGCGAGGACGATTCCAATGCCTCCGCCCTGACCTGGAATGGCAGGCATTGCCTCCTCCCGTAGCCCGGAAGGACAACGGGACCCTGAAGCGCCAACTGGGACGGACCGAGAGCCTGAGTCAGAGCGCGATCGTCCGCAGGAATCAGTGAACAGAGCGAAAATGGATCAAAACCATCTGAACATGGAAACGGGGGAGAGTGGGAGTAGGAGCGAGGGGACGAGACCTGAGAAGAGAGCGGGGTAGAACCATTCAACAACGGCGGCCGGCGCACCGCCGGTGGGCTCTGGAGCGACCCCATCGTCTATCCTCTTCGGTTGGCGGGGGTTCACGGCGGCAAATTGGCGCCTCCCTCGCCTGCGGCATAGCTTTGTGGGTTCTCCTCGTGGTTGGTCGTCGACGACGCCTTATCCGCCTCATCCGAACCGGGCCGTGCCACGGTGGCGCATGGATGATTCGGAGCCGATCTGGAACGCCACGTGGCTCACCTAGTACCTCCTGTCCACCTGGCTCCCATTCGGTCTGCCACATCTTCACACACGGCGTACAGCCACGTCGGATCCTACCCCCCCCCCCCGCGGGGGTCCACACCCTCGTTGCTATGCCCGATCAGATCGGACGGCTAAATTACCCGCGAGATGATAATGGGGATATAAGTACAATATTAAAAATAATAGGGAGTTAATATAATAGGCACTAGTCACCACGGTTAAATGGGGAGGCGCAGATCGGTGGTGATTTGCGGGGACGGCCACGAATAATAATATTTAAAATGGGGACATATAAAATATGATATAACAGCATATTTTATTCTAAAAATACCTTTGATGTTAAAAAAATCCCAGTACAGCTGGAGGACCAGATGCCACGTCGGATTATAACATGTGCACGGGAGAGTGAAGCTTTTTCCGGCCGCCCTCCACCGGTGGCGCCGCCGCCGATCGTTCAATTTTCAAATGGTAACGGCGGCGCCCTTCCTCAAGTGGACCGCACGGCAGGGCAGAGTGAGTCACAAGACGACGGGCGGCGGCACTGGTGGGGCCAGAGGCAGCGCGGCGTAGCCCGCCTTTCCCACCTACCGCCATCGTCACCGTCTTCCTCCCTCCTTTGACCGGATGTGGCGCTCCCGATGCCGTCCTTTACTTCTTCCGGCAGTGGCTATCTGCAAGTATCATCGTCGGTCTCTGATATTTCTCCATCACCGAAGGGCCGTGCTCTTCTAAGGGTTAGGGTTTTAACGGCGTCTGGTCAGAGCCGTTGGTTCTCCGGTGGTCGCCGGTTTCAAGGTCCTCCGGTCAAGCCGCCGTGGAGCGTACGCTAGAGGTCAGACAGTAAAGATGAATGGAGGGAGGGGGGGCACCTGAGAGAGAGGAAAGGGAACCGGGGGCTGGAGGGGCAAAAAGGGCTTACCGCAATGATGGCTGCCAGTGAGCAAATCTCGTCAGTCTCGACGATAACCACGCCCGAAGGTCTGTCGCTCTCCTCCATAGTTTATCTGTCCATCTGCCTTCGCGATTTTTGACGCCATCGGAGGGGGAGAGGAAGACGACGCCGCGGGATTCATGGGAACTGCAGAGCGGAAGCGGCGGCAGCTGCGGCAGCCGGAGCATTGGGAGAAGCAGGTCGCTCTCCTCCATAGTTTATCTGTCCATCTGCCGTCGCGATTTTTGACGCCATCGGAGGGGGAGAGGAAGACGACGCCGCGGGATTCATGGGAACTGCAGAGCGGAAGCGGCGGCAGCTGCGGCAGCCGGAGCATTGGGAGAAGCAGGGTTAAGCCAGGGGTGCGGGCACTTCTCTGCATCAGAGAGCCCTTCCCGATCTCTTCCCTTCTCTCCCGCCTATTTTGACCGGCTCTTGGAATCAACATCTTTCAACGTGGACTCGCCTGATCGGACCTAGAAAGGAAGGGAGCAGGAAAGAGGGAGCCAGGAAGAAGACTGGGCTGCAGAGAAGCCGGGTAGGAGGTCGGCCCCGGAAGAGAGCCCTAGCTTCAGTTCTACTAGGGTTTCCGTTCTTCGATAGTTTTTCGGGCTGAGACTGCGCAAGGGGGGAGGAGCCCCAGGGAAGATGATGGTCTCGAGGGGACTGTTCGGGTGGTCCCCGCCCCACATCCAGCCGCTAACGCCAGTGTCGGAGGTGTCGGAGCCGCCGGAATCGCCGTCCCCGTACGCGGACGTTAACGAGGAGATGCCACCGATGGAGGGTGAGGAACCCATGGACGAGCTGGAGGAGATCGAGCCGCCCCCTGCGGCTGTGCCCTTCTCGAGGTTGTTCGCGTGTGCCGACCGGTGGGACTGGGTTCTGATGGCAGTTGGATCAGTAGCCGCCGCGGCCCATGGGATGGCGCTGGTCGTTTACCTGCATTTCTTCGGCAGAATCATTAATCTTCTTGGCCGGGAGGATTTCCAGACCGGTTTCAGGCGCGAAGAGCTATTTGACGAGCTCAAAGAGGTACGTAGGCAGCGTTAAGGGTTGGAGAAACCATTTTCTTCGTATATCCCATTCTGATATTTGTTGCTTTGGTTTACCATCGTTTTTAGTTTGCATCGTTTTTATGTTAGTTTTTTTTGAGTAATTTCAGTTGTTCCGAGTTCCAATTCTAGCCTAATTGGCAGACTCGGACATAGGGCTCGACGATCTTTTTGTAATGCCGAGTAACTCTGCTTATGGTGAAAGGATCATTGCTTCTCTATCTCCTCAAGTGGGGCAGAAGTCTCTTTGAAGACACCACTGGATATTTTATTGCTGATTCCTACCCCAGGTGTCGTTTGAGACTTGTATCGGGTGGTACCATGATGCCGGGCTGCAGGGCTCTTGTCTCAGTGGAGAATTCGAAAACCAGGTTTAGAGTCGAGAATCAGAGGACCTAAATGTCTGTTCTTGGGCTTTCAGTAAAGTTGGATCCTCAGGGTATTTTATGGATTACGAAAGGATATCATTATTAATCACTCTGCACCTTTGTCGGTGTGGTGATAAAAGAGAGACTGCTGAGTGACACCTCGAGATGGTGTCTGTTTATTTGAAGTGGAAGTGTCTACGACTAGTTCTTTGAGATCAAGAGATCGTAGTTCCTTGTCAGTGAAGATTGTTAGAGAAACGTACTTTAGCAATTAGAATGAATGGATATTTACTCTAGTTGATTGGTTTATTTTTCTCCAATATGGAAAGAAAACTTTCAAATCACATAGTTCCTAATAACATATGCGTACGTTCATATAATTAATGGGAGAATTCTAAAATCTTTGGAGAGACTTTGCTTCGTGGTAGTATTCTTGTTGTAAAATCTCTGGAAAACTGTAGTACATCTCAGATCAGGGACGGCCATTTTTGGGAGTTTCGGGTAAACTGGAAAAATGATAATTAGGATCTATATTTTGAGAACCTTTAATCGACGATATTTCTGTTTATGTTGAGGTAAGGATCGCCTTGGTAAAAGATGATGAAGATATTGCAGAAAATGGTGATGAGATTTCAGAGGAATCTTTGTTGTTAACTATTTAGCGAATAATTATGGGTTTTTGGACTTAGAACTTGGTGTGAAGAATGGTTTGGAAGATTAAAATTTCCTCAAAAATCAAAAAAAAATTACTCGGAAACAGTAAGAGGCCGATCACTTGTGACAGTTTTCCAAACTTCAAGTTTAATATTCTAAACAAGTTTAATTTTTTCACTTCATTTGATTTCGGCAATAGGGGGTTCATGGGTGATTCAGATTTTTTTGGTTTCTTTTCCTGTAGTACTTTTGGTGTATAAAATAGTACAAGTATGTGAGACTAGAACAGAGCAAATACATGAGGTACATGAAGTGAAGGCCTAGGGGTTGCGTAACTAGAACAGAGTAGATAGATCGAATGTGAGAAGCATATGCAAGGTGAAGCTTAGATTCATAGTATTTTGCCAAGCCAAACCTACTTTATTACCCTAGCAACCTTAATAATTCTACAAAGTAATTCAACTTGTAGGTTAACTTTCCGAGTATTCTCATCATTAATCAATTTTTGGGCCGTTGTTAGCTTGCTCACACCACAAAAAACGAAGAAAATAAACTGTCAACAAACTGTCAACACAGTTAGAGCAATGATTCAGGTGAGTCAGAAGTTTTTTGAATATTTGCTGAAGCTTGAGTGTGCTGTAAATTCTCTAAGTCTATCTTGGCATTTGAGAGAGAAGCACCTTGATTCTTGAAGCTTGGAATGTTTTCTTGTTTTTTTCTCACCACAAATGTCTTAGCATTGAAGAATCTACTGTGCACTCAAGCATCATCAAAAATTCGAAAAACTTCTAACTCACTTGAAGAAAGACTTACATTCTTGAACTATGAGTTGTCTTTGTTTTATTAGCTTTTCTCACCGTGAAATTTTTCCTTATAAGCCTTTGAGCTCTCCTAGGCTTTGGCTTGAGATAGCCTGGCAGCTCAAAAAATAACCATGAATATCATCTGATATCCTAAGCTATAAGGGACACCTCTACTAAAGTTGACGATGTCATTGTTGATTTCGCACATTTTATTCTCTATTTATGCTAACGGACTTAGTGTGCCCAATGGCTGAAAAGAAAGGTCACTGGACTTAGTGTGGCGATATAAGGTTTGTCACATGTAATAGAAAACATACATATCTATCCTTATGTACGTAGAACTAGTGTTAAAGGATATCTTATCACATCAAAAGTTTTGATGGACGAGAACTTGAAACTCTGTATGAAGTTAGCCTATAAAAATTATGAGGATTTGTCACTTATCCATGATAAGCTATCACTTTCATCGTGGATATCCTGATGACTTGTGACATGTTTAGGGTTAGAGTGGAAATGCAGAGCTCCTCTGTTCCTTTGCTGGGCAACATGGGAGGTGTTACGCAGTCCAATTTGGTTAACCTGGAGTACAGTCGAGATTTTGGATGGCCCCACTCAGAGGTCAGCGGAGAGTACAGTAAATATCAGTGTATGTGACACTCAGGGTGTTCAGTTTGTGTTCGATAGTAATATCTTGGTGAGTTAAGGATACTATGGAGGAACAGAGGAGGAGGATGGTGGTCCAATATGTATTGGGCGACTGAACTGGAAAATAGTCCTGATGATAGATCGGTCTGCATAAGAATGTACAGCTCTTGTTTCTTTTTGGTCTTTCAGTCATCTGGGCAACTATGATAATATGAGTTAATAATTTCGGTACCCATTCCAGATAGAATATTCTATTTAGTGGTATAAGATCTCTCCCTCCCTAGTCACCTGCATTCTATTCAATGCTTTTTTCTGTCGGGATAGCTAGACCCTTTCAAGCCTCATGTTTCCTCTTTGCTGCTTTGAAATCACGAATTCTCAAAACTTGAGCCGCTTGTATAAGTTAGTGAAACTAACTGTTTACTGATGTTTTAATCTATTCTACTTCTTGGTTATCTGCAGCATTCTTTGTACATTATTTACATAGCCTCCGGTGTATTTGCTGCTGGGTGGATAGGTAAGATCAGATCACAAAAAATCAATATGCGTTGATTTATGTTTCGTTTGAAGCATTCCCATAACAAACACTTTTTTAATCATGTAATAGAGGTCTCATGCTGGATTCTTACTGGAGAGAGGCAAACTGCAGTGATCAGATCGAAATACGTTCAGGTGTTACTGAACCAAGATATGAGCTTCTTTGACACATATGGGAACAATGGTGACATTGTGAGCCAAGTGCTAAGTGATGTCTTACTTATCCAGTCTGCTCTTAGTGAGAAAGTGAGTTTCTTATGTAAGTTATTACATGCAGAAAGTTTTTGTTCATGGAATTGAAATATCGTGTTTTATATGTAATGGTACTTTTTCAACGTGACAGGTTGGAAATTATATCCATAACATGGCGACATTTTTTGGTGGTCTTGTTATCGGATTGATAAACTGCTGGCAGATTGCACTTTTAACACTTATCACTGGTCCCTTTATTGTCGCTGCTGGAGGGATATCAAATATTTTTTTGCACAGACTCGCTGAAAATATCCAAGATGCATATGCAGAGGCTGCAAGCATAGCTGAGCAGGTACAGCCTCTCCGAAGAATGTTTAAATAATCGTATCTTTTGTTCTCGACTTTTTAAATTCTAAATTTAATGAATATTCTATAAGATACTCGAGGTTAGCTCAATGGTTCATTTTGATTTTGTTCAAAAGTTTCAATTTATATTCTTTCAGTTTCACTGATTTTGCATTTCTCAGGATGTTGATTTGTATTATCAACCTATTTATTCCGTGTTACAAAGTTTTTTCAATATTTTCTGTGCCGACCACTGGATTCCCTTTGTAGGACTCTGGATCCTTTTTTTATCAAATTTGAAAATTGTCTATTCGATGGTTGATTAGGAGTCTGGTTGGTTCATTCTGGGTGAGCATGATGCAATTGCTCGGTATCTTATTTGGATTTTCCTTCTCATGTAGGCAATATCCTATGCTAGAACCTTGTATGCATTTGCGAATGAGACGCTAGCCAAGTATTCTTATGCTGCATCACTTCAAGCAACACTGAGATATGGGATTCTGATAAGTCTCGTGCAAGGCCTTGGACTTGGATTTACCTATGGACTTGCTATATGTTCGTGCGCTTTACAACTTTATGTGGGAAGATTCTTAGTCACACACAGAAAAGCTAATGGCGGTGAAATTATTACTGCTTTATTTGCTATCATTCTGAGTGGGCTGTAAGTGATCCAGACTGTTAATTGTGAATATTTTTGTAGATACTTTGTTCTGCAGCTTCCGTTGATTGTGATACCCTTCTTTTTCAGTGGGCTGAATCAGGCGGCCACGAACTTCTACTCATTTGAGCAGGGGAGAATTGCTGCTTATAGACTTTTTGAGATGATAAGCCGTTCGAGCTCTTCTGTCAACCATGAGGGGAATGTCCCGGAATCCGTGCAAGGAAATATTGAGTTTCGGAATGTGTATTTTAGCTATCTCTCTCGTCCTGAAATCCCCATCTTAAGTGGGTTTTTCTTAACTGTGCCTGCAAGAAAAACTGTGGCACTTGTTGGCAGGAATGGCTCTGGAAAGAGCAGCATAATTCCTCTCATGGAACGGTTCTATGACCCCACATTAGGTGCGGTGGAGAGATATGGCACCTCATTATCGCCCTTTTTTTTTTCTTATTATGCAGGTGGCATGTTGGAGTCATCGTTATTCCACACATATTGATGGAGTTTCCTTTCTTTTTTTACAGGAGAGGTTCTGTTGGATGGAGAGAACATAAAAACCTTGAAACTTGAATGGTTAAGAAGCCAAATAGGGCCTTGTCACGCAGGTGCCTGCTTTACTAAGTTTGAGTATCAGAGACAACATCGCTTATGGAAGATCTGCCACGCTAGATCAAATTGAGGAGGCAGCTAAAACAGCGCATGCACATAGCTTTATCTGCTCCCTTGAAAAGGGATATGAAACACAAGTAAAGTTCACTGCCTGTTTCTATGATGAATGAATTGGAAAAACATTATGTAGCAAGAAAATTTCGAAATAAATATGGTTTTGCTCGTTGTTTCACATAATGACAGAGAAATCGTTCTTGGCATTTCAGGTGGGTAGGGCTGGCTTATCACTAACAGAGGAACAAAAGATAAAGCTTTCAATTGCTCGAGCAGTACTCTCAAATCCATCTATCCTTCTCCTTGATGAAGTTACGGGTGGCCTTGATTTTGAAGCTGAAAGGGCTGTTCAGGAGGCATTGGATATCCTCATGTTGGGTCGATCAACTATAATCATTGCACGTCGACTGTCTCTTATTAGGAATGCTGATTATATAGCGGTTATGGAGGAGGGTCAACTTGTCGAAATGGGTACCCATGAGGAACTTCTAGCATCAGATGGTCTTTATGCAGAACTTCTGAGGTGTGAGGAAGCAGCAAAGCTTCCTAAGAGGTAATCCCCGCTATTTTTAATTAGAGATGCATGATGATCTGGGATTGTTGTGATTTTTCATGCCTAAAATGAGAGTTATTTACAAGGGATTATCCCGGATCTACGCCAGGTATTGACGGTGATTCTCAAATATCGCAGAACAGAATGTGATACGATGAAATAGAATGCAATAGAAACAAGGACAGGGAACGGGTTTCCTAGTTCTAACGGTCAAAACGAGCCCTTTCATTCAATTCTTCATTTTTTAATAAAAAAATCAATCAAATCTCCCCAAGTAGGATTCAAACCTACGACCAATCAGTTTTCATGCTGTTCTACATCAATATACAGCACAGTAAAAGTAAAAAAAAAAAGAAAAACCGAGAAAGAGAAGATCTTGTTTTGCACTGATTGAGATTTTTCTCAATTTTTTCTTTGTTGCTAATTTGTATTCTTCTTTATTTGTTTAGTTTTTGTACTTTAATGCCGCTGGTTTCCACAGAGTTAAACATCTTATCCTTATTTTACAAACGTTTTACTTCAAAAGGAGTAGAAATGATATTGGGTACTACTATTCAACCTTGGCATCTGAGGCATATACCCATAGGCAACTATTTGATGTATAGTGCAGCTAGATACCTAGAGTCTGGAGCTTTCAATTGAACACACAGGCTTGGACTTTCAATTATATGAAGAACCTGTTACATTATCGTGCTATATTATCACGAATGTCATGTAAAGCAATACTGTCCAGACTCAGCATCCGTTGTATAGCTTTACTAAACGTCTTCGAGCTCCTTTAATCATTCGTGCACTGTTGCTCATGTGGTGTAGAAGCAGAACCGTTTTTAATTGTGTAAGAAAATGAAACTCGGCCTAATTATGTACGAAGTAAATGAACTAACACAAAATGTTAGAAGAAAGATTAAGTGCGGGAATACTCATTGTGTAGCTCTCAGCTAGGTGAAAATGGTTGTCATCTTATTTCTCTCATAGTGACCTCAAAAATCTATATCTGGAGGACAAGACGTGGTTTAATCTTGGGTGCATATTTTCTGTCTATCCTACTTTGTTGGAGATCTCTGTAATTTTTAGTTTTGTTGGTATGATCGCCATTCCTTATACTTTTAAACCCTTTTTCTCCTTTTACGTTGCACATTCATGAATTGGTAGTTCCTTCAACTCATTGTTGCAGGACATCTACAAGGAGCCATAAGGAGTCATCAGCCTACCAGAACGACAGGGAATCGTTCTTCCAGGAACCCTCTTCCCCAAGAATGATGAAGTCACCTTCTCTCCAGAGAACCCGTGGCGTCCACTCTGTCCGTCAGTCAGATTCAAACTCTAATATGTTGGAATCATCAGAAGTTCAGAGGCCACCATCCAATCAAGTGTTGGGAAACGGGGTGGAACCGCATGAAAAAAATCCTGCCATTAGAAGGCAGGATAGCTTTGAAATGAGGTTGCCAGAGCTTCCCAAAATCGATGTTCATGCTTTAGGACATCAAGCATCTAATGGCTCCAATCCAGAATCCCCGGTATCACCACTTTTATCCTCTGATCCTAAGAATGAACGTTCACACTCAAAGACCTTTAGCCATCCCTTATGTCAGTTTGACGACATGGCTATTGAACAACAGGACCCAAAAGATTCACAGCATCACGGGCCGCCGCCATTCTGGAGGCTAGTTGAGCTAAGCTTTGCAGAGTGGTTGTATGCGCTTCTGGGCAGTATGGGTGCTGCGATTTTTGGCTCTTTTAATCCTCTTCTTGCTTACACAATTTCTTTGGTGGTGATTGCATATTATACGCCCGGAAACCATGAACGGGATCACGAAGTAGACAAATGGTGCTTGGTCATCGCCTGCATGGGTCTAGTCACAGTCTTTGCAAACGTCTTGCAGCACTTCTACTTCGGTATCATGGGAGAGAAGATGACTGAACGAGTTAGGAGAATGATGTTCTCAGGTAAGATCAACGATTTGTCATTTCCTCTGCTATCTCGTGCGTGTTTTTTCTTTTTTTTTTTTTCCCTCTTATGCTCACCCGCTGTCATTCATGGTGTTCCAGCCATACTTCGGAATGAAGTAGGCTGGTTTGATGAAGAGGAGAACAGCACGGACAACTTATCCATACGGCTAGCGAATGATGCAACATTTGTTCGCGCTGCCTTCAGCAATCGTCTCTCCATATTTATTCAAGATACCTCTGCTGTCGTTGTGGCCCTTCTAGTGGGAATGCTACTCGAGTGGCGTTTGGCACTCGTCGCCTTGGGAACCCTCCCCATCCTCACAGTCTCTGCCATCGCACAGGTTCTCATCTCTCTCTCTCTCTCTCTCTCCCCCTTCTTTACCTTAGAGCAGAGAAATGGCCATATTGAGATGATCTCTCTCTAAGGGTTATAATATGTTATCTTGAGAAGCCTAGCCTAGCCTAGCTAGCCTTGCCTTGCCTTGCCTTGGAACTGAGCCCAGCCGGCTGGAACTCTGTGGACTTTGCAGAAGCTGTGGCTGGCCGGGTTCTCGAGAGGGATCCAGGAGATGCACCGGAAGGCCTCTCTGGTCCTCGAGGACGCGGTCAGAAACATCTACACGGTCGTGGCCTTCTGCGCGGGCAACAAGGTGATGGAGCTGTACCGGCTTCAGCTCGCCAAGATCTTCACCAATAGCTTCATCCACGGCATGGTGATCGGCTTTGGCTTCGGCTTCTCCCAGTTCCTCCTCTTCGCCTGCAACGCCCTCCTCCTCTGGTACGCCGCCTTGTCCATACACAAGGGCCGCCTCTCCACCGGCCGAGGGCTCAAAGAGTACATGGTCTTCTCCTTCGCTACCTTCGCCCTGGTGGAGCCCTTCGGCCTCGCCCCCTACATCCTCAAGCGCAGAGAGTCCCTCACCTCCGTCTTCGAGATCATCGACCGGACGCCGAAGATCGACCCCGACGACACCGTAGGCGCGAAGCCGCCGCACGTCCACGGGCGCCTCGAATTCAAAGGCGTGGACTTCTACTACCCCACTCGCCCCGAGGTGATGGTGTTGAGCAACTTCAGCCTCAAGGTCAACGGCGGCCACACCGTGGCGGTGGTCGGCGTTCTGGGCTCCGGCAAGAGCACCATCATCTCCCTCATCGAGCGGTTCTACGACCCGGTCGCCGGGCAGGTTCTCCTGGACGGGAGGGACCTGAGGGACTACAACGTGCGGTGGCTGAGGAACCATCTGGGCCTGGTGCAGCAGGAGCCGATCATCTTCTCCACCACTATCAGGGAGAACATTATATATGCCAGGCACAACGCGACGGAGGCGGAGATGAAGGAGGCGGCGAGGATCGCCAACGCGCACCACTTCATCAGCAGCCTGCCGCACGGCTACGACACGCACGCCGGCATGAGGGACGTGAACCTGACGCCGGGGCAGAAGCAGAGGATCGCCATAGCGCGGGTGGTGCTGAAGAACGCGCCCATTTTGCTGATCGACGAGGCGAGCTCGGCCATCGAGTCGGAGTCCAGCAGGGTGGTGCAGGAGGCCCTGGACACGCTGATCATGGGGAACAAGACGACCGTGCTCGTCGCCCACCGCGCCGCCATGATGAAGCACGTTGACCACATCGTCGTCCTCAACGGCGGCCGCATCCTCGAGCAGGGCACCCACGACGCGCTCCTCCAGATGAACGGCCTCTACACGCGCCTCATGCAGCCCCACTTTGTCAAAGGCCTCGGCCCCCACAGGTTCGTCTAGGCAACGACATCCCCACCGGCCCTTCTCTCTGTAAATCTCTTCTCCTTCTTCTGCCGTCCTTTACTGGGTTGGTCCTGTTGCATTCTTTTGGAGGGGCGCTCTCTCTCTCTCTCTCTCTCTCTCTCTCTCTCTCTCTCTTCCTCTCTCTCTGGTTGCAGGTTTTGAAGATGCCCTCTCTGATGATATTATTTTGTCGATTTTAACTGCACCCTTTTTCGTGTCGAGGCTTGTAATTAGATGATTGCAGTAAAAAGATTAAGAATCCAAGATCAGCGAGATGATGTTCATGTCCATGGCCAGGAATGGAGTATGTTTCTAGACATAGAGAGAGAGAGAGAGAGAGAGAGAGAGGAAAATGCGATGAAGTTTCTGCATGAAACGAGGCATGGGAAATGAGGCAATGATGAAGAACCTTACGAACTGCTCGTTCTTAAAGCCCTGCGCGGGCATGATTAGATGATGAAGCGCATGATTTATTTTTTTATTCTGATAAAAATGAGTTTTTTATGCACCGGGATCTTCTGCTTACCGCAGTATGAAAGCACGTTTTTTAGCCCCCCTATACGTCGGCCCATTATCGTCATCTTGACGGCCCAAATATCGTCTCATTTTAAAAAGTCCGTTGTCCCCCACTTTGGGCCCATTCTTTAAAAGCCCATTAATGAATCGACAGCCGGCCTTCCCCTGGCCAACTACCCGTCAAGGAGTCTGCACCTTCACCGTGCTGCACAGAGAGAGAGAGAGAGAGAGAGAGAGAGAGAGAGAGGATAGGAGAGAAGAGAAGAGAGAGGAACGACCGGTAAAGGACGGAGAAGACACTGGCCTGCTCCCTCGCCGCGACTTCCACGGTGGAGGGCCGACTGCTCTTTCCCCTTCTGCCCACACGAGCGTCTAGCGGTCTACTGCTTGGAGGAGGGAGAGAAGACGGCGAGGGAATTCTCAGCGCCATCGTTCTCTCAGTCCCCAGCAGCCGAGCTGATTCTCATCCCCGCGGGGGGCCATTACTAGCTTATTGGCTAGTTTGTTGCTCCCATTCTTGCGAATTCCATGGATCCCGATCCCTCTCCATCTCAGCCAGTTGACGGCGATGCGGACCAAATCCCTTGCTCCACGGTTGTCACGGAAGAAGATGGAGTTCGCGACCTGAGGCTGGATGATCCGGCTGATCGTAAAGGCACGGAGGAGCTGGAGAGCAATGGATCCATGCAGAATGAGTTACGGCATGAAGGTGACATGGAGATCGTGGAAGAAATACCCCAGCGGGCGCAGGATTTGGTGGAGGAGACGGTGTTGGCTAGCTCCGAAGAAGTTTTGGGGGATTCTTCTCGCGGGGCCCTCGTCTGGAGGGAGAGCTCGGATAGGGATGGAGAGGAACCTCCCAGTCCTAGCAGCAGCGGGTACGCTGGGGAGAGAGGCAGCAGCGTGGGCTCAAGCGAAAACGACGACATTGGAGATGTAGAGAACGGCTTCTCTGGGCAGGGAAATCCCATTGATGGTATCGCGTGGGGTACGGGGAGAAAGCATATCGGCGAGGTGCGTCCCCCAGAAATTTGTTTAGATACCTCCCCTCTTCAAATAAAGGGTACAAAGCTGCAGAATAGCGGTTGTCTCGAGAAATCCAACGCATGCAACTCTAAATTGATTTCACATTTGTCACTTTTTTTTCGTAATTTGACCATAGAATTTCTTCCCATCTCACTGGGAGATATTCCAGAAAGATATCTCTCAGTATCTTCGATGCTGATAATGGCAATTGCACGCATGGAACGCCATTTTTTGGCAGTTCCCTCAAACTATTTACCGAAGTAATTGCATTTATTCGAACATTAGAACGTTATTGAACGCTCTTCAGACAAGCTATGATTGTTTTCTTCACCAGTGCCAGTTATTCGTCGTACCTAGGAACATATGGACTCAGAAACATCTGTGTAGCTTTTTCTTCCAATTCTGGAACACATTTTTCTAAAAAAAGTATCCATCATTAATTCGTTGGTTTTTTGGTGGTGTTGTAATGACATGAAGTTGGTTTTCATGATGCTGTGCAGGATGAAGCCTCAGTTTCATGGAGAAAGCGGAAAAAACACTTCTTTGTTTTGAGCCACTCTGGAAAGCCCATATACTCTAGGTTTACTTCTGGCTAAGTGCTGGTCGTTTTGGACAGCTGTTATTTCTCAATGCAAGATGCGGCAGTTTTTATTTATGAGATACCTGATGCATTTCTAGGTATGGGGATGAACATAAGCTTGCCGGATTTTCTGCGACCCTGCAAGCAATCATATCCTTCGTGGAGAACAGGTACAATGATTGAGAACGCTATGAGCTTCTTCTAGTTGAAATTTGATTGGCTTTGTATGTCTCATTACTCTTTCTTGTCGACATCTTTTCAGTGGAGACTGTGTCCAATTAGTAAGGGCTGGGAACCATCAGGTATGCTTGCATCTCCTTGTATTTGCCTGTCAATGTATGTTTTTTCCTTTTCGCTCAAATGTTCACCTGCCGGAACCTTTTTGTTATATGATGATCTTTCCTTTTCTGTTTTGCCAAAGTTAAGGAACAGAAAGAAAATAATAAGAATTTTTTTTATCTACTGAATAAAGCTAAAGTAAAATTATATGTATTCGAAGTTGATTTTCTTGGTTAGACCCGCTAAAAGGGGTACTCTGCATTTGGGCCATAGGAAAATTTGAGGTTTTCTGAGATTTCAAGTACTATAAGGTTCCTCTCCATTTAAATTGCCAAAAGAGTAATTTGTCCATTTCATTTTTGAGGTTTCAAAAAAAGGGTGGTGAAATACATATAATTCTTGGATGGAAATTGAAAAGGGATGTAGCTACAGTTCCTTGGAAATGTTAAGATCTTTTTCGCAAGAAGAACGGGTGATCCGTATCATCTTGATATAGTTCAGCTTCCAAGTTTAAAATGGCGCACTGCATTTCTTAAGGCTGGCAGAACGGTGACCTGCTTTACTATGGCGAGGAGTAGCTTAGTTTTGCCTAAGATTTTAACAAAAAAATGATAGACAATGTTTATGTCTCATATCTTGTCAAGTTGATATTCAACCATTTGTTGATTATTTAGAATTAATCAATATAGCGAACATACAGGCATATTGTAGTCCTATGCGTAAAATACGATATTGCATGGAATCATTTCCTTAATTTTACAAGGATTACTTTGAGAATGAAACATATAATGCAACAGAGTATTTTGAGACTCTTCTGCATCCTATACAGCGTTTAAACTGTTCAGAATTTTAAAAAAATGATAGAAACTTCATTGCACCCATTTAACCAGGATTTAGTTTCATGAATCCTATGTATAAAATAGGATGCCACGTGATTGGAGGGTTTTAATTCACACTTTTCTGGCTCCAAGCCTCTAAAAAATTGGTCAATTGCTACAGTATTATCTTAAGTGCATGCTCCAATTTTTAGATTTAATCATTTTTCTGTGCAATTACAGAAAATGATCTTTTGTTAACTAAGACATTTTGAACATGAACTTACATTATTTCAAAAAAGTATCACATTTTGAAAATGTTATGCCTTATTTAGTTCAATTTTTAGGAAATGCAATTCATTTTGACCAGCTCAGCTAGAGTAGTCTTGAATTTTAATTCTAAGAAAATTTTCAGCACTGCATCTGGGTATCCTGGTACATTTTGATTGCTGACTTCAGATATCACATGGCAGGTAGTTTTTCTTGTTAAAGGTCCAATATACTTAGTCTGCATAAGCTGTACAGAAGAGACGAATGAGGCGTTAAGGGGACAACTAGAGCTGATCTATGGTCAGGTATCTCCATATCTATACAAATGAAAGAAAGTTTTTATACTAGAATGGAGCTAAACATGTCTCTGTATGAACAACGTTTAGTGGACTGTTTTCACTATTCATTGTATTTCTTCTGATATAAGATATAAGTCAAACAGTGGTTTATATTCCTTTGCCAGCATAGTATTCCCTTCTACCGGAGCAGTAATCTTCTATTGTCGTAATTCCTTTATATATTTTGCAGATGCTCGTTATCTTAACAAAGTCAGTTAATCGATGTTTTGAAAGGAATCCAAAGTTTGACATGACTCCGTTGCTTGGTGGAACTGATGACGTATTCTCATCACTGATCCATGCTTTCAGTTGGTAGGTATCCTTGTATTTTTTTTTTGTTATTTCTACTATCATCCCCACAAGTGCAATGATTCACCATTGTAATTTTTCCGCAGGCTTAGTGCTGCCGATTACCTTATGTGTATAGTTTCTTCCCTTTTTCAAGTTTGAAACACTAGCCTTGTGTAAACAACAGCTGGAAAGTATTCTTAGTTTCAATTTGCCGGTTATTTTTTTATTCCTTTTTAGATCATACCAGTTTTCCAGCGAGCTTCTTTTTATCTTCAGTCATCTCCAATTGTTGCTTTTAAATTTCCATCATCTTAAGGGTTTGGATGCGCTAATTTTTCGGGTCTAATCTAGGATTTCCTCTCTTCAGTTAGGAAGTGAAAGATTTACATTGGATATTCCCCCAAAAAATGGCAGAATAGAAGTTCCTGGGAATGATTTGATATATTGACATGTCAATCTGGGCTCGGTTTTGGGGGTGGACTTAGGCTTTGAATTGATTTTGCAATTTTGACTGTCAACCTTCTGTGGAACAGTGACAATGATGGGATTACGAAGCTGAGCCTAGCTGATGTAATTGCTCACTGGAGTCTGGTCGAGTACCCCAGTTCAGATTACCTATATTTTCTAAACCTACCCTATTAATCATTTTCATAATCTCAAGGTTTTCTTGAACACGGAGCTGCCATTTTAATGGGTTTTTGGGGAGAGTGCTTGTAGTGGACAGGTGAAGGAACTTGATGGGAGCGGGGGACGGGGGGGGGGGTTGTTATTGAGTAGGGTTTTGCAATAGGATGGGAAAAGTGATTTGCGCTGACTAATAGAATGACCTTAGAAATAGCCAGGACAGTAAATGTGCCAGAATATCCAAATACCAGAACTTGAGATTTGATGCCCAATTTGATCCGCGTCAGGTTCTCTAAAGATACTTGTTTTGTTTCCTTTTGTAGATCTTACCATCTTCTTCAGATTGATGGTTGTCTTCCCAGAATTTATTTATGGCTGGTATAGCGAACGGTATTTCTCACGTGAAATTTTGTGGTTCAGGCTCCCAAAGGGCGTTTCGGTTTAGATGGTTGATTAGGACGGATAATTTTCTCTAAGGCAATCAGGTTCAGTGGTTGTAATTAGAACGGTTTTCGGTGTTTGTTTAAGAGGTGTCTTTTTGGAATAATGGAGCGTATTTTAACCAGCAGTCCCTTCCAGGATTGGTGGTTTATCCCACAAGCGAAGAGGTCGTCTGGGTATTTATCATCGCTTGGATAATTAGTTATCTTCGATAAGAAAAGGAGCCTTGAATGTCGCTTAGAATGAGATTATTGTTGGTTCCTTTCCTGGTAGTTTCGTGTACTCGTCATTCAAAAGTAGGTTAAAAAAATGTCTGCATGCACCACCATGGTAGCAAGAGAAACAAGCATCAATTGTTGGTCAACGTTTAGTTCTCTTCTTCAACCAAAAATTATACGTTAGTTGCCTTGGTTTATTATTTTCACTGGTTATGCTTAAATAATGTGTTCTACTATTTAGGAGTCCTGCTGTCACGTAAAATCTAGCATTCATTTCACTACCTCAGCGGATGTTGGCCTTTGTCTACTTGGTTTAACTTTTGCAAGTTTGATAATTTCTCTGTTGTGCTTGGACTAACACACACTAAGACCAGCTGAGATGGGCTTTTTAGAAGGAATACATAATTGTCAGCAGGATTTCAAGACTGAGTTTTATGAGTCAGAGCCATTCACATTCTCTTCAATTCTTGATCTGACACCCAGTCAGCAGCATCATGTTGAGCACAAAAGTTCTCTTTACAGTGTTTTAAAAATTCAAATTGAAGATGGGTTTGCTGTTTTATTAGTCATTTAATGAACATGCAGATAAATTGATTCATTTTTCAGGAATCCTGCGACATTTCTCCATGCTTATACATGCCTTCCTCTTGCATATTCGACAAGACAAGCTGCTGGGGCTATACTGCAAGATGTTGCTGATTCTGGAGTCTTGTTTGCAATTTTGATGTGCAAGCATAAGGTGTGTCACGCGAAGCTTATGTTCTAGACGATGCATCTGATATATTTTATTCGGACGCGATTGCTTGTTGGAACTAAATTAGAATTTATTCTTGTAGGTTATCAGCCTTGTAGGAGCTCAGAAGGCATCTCTCCGTCCTGATGATGTGCTCCTGCTTTCAAATTTTGTATTGTCATCTGAATCTTTTAGGCAAGTTCATGTTGCTTCTTTATTTCTTTCTTTAACTTGTTGTATACTGTCTCATTCCTCCATCAGCATGCTGAAGAACATAGAGATCTTTGTTCAAAGCGTAACCGTCTGATGTGTTCCATCATAGTACTCGGTCATGTTTGACAAAATTCCGCAGCATTTACCATTATTCATTTTATTGAGTGGATTTTCGTTGAGATGGTGTTTTAATAATCCTTGCCCAATGAATGATCACAACCAGTGTGTGGATGTAATTTGCCTGTCTCAGTGCACCTGTAGTCATATCCGAGCAAAGTTGAACTCCAATTCGAGTGCATGTTGTTCATGCGCGAAACCAAAATTCGTTTGTTATTAAATATGCAATATATTCATTTCATACTAAATCATCTTCTCAGAAACTTTTTATTTTGCATTAGTATTTTCATTGCATATTTTACTTTATCTTATGAACATTTATTTGTATAAGTTTAGCATTATGTGGACATATATTTCATCTTATTTATCACTTATTAAATAAATACTTTACAATAATTTCGCATATATATTAAATTAGGTATCCCTACAATGCTAGCTAGTTCGTCACCTTGTCACTTAGGCAATAAGGTGATGGAAGCATTGCTTGGTCATCATAGAAGCCTTACTTTGAGTTATATTGTATTAATCCGCGATTTGTATCATATTTTGGATACCAGTAGCAGAACGCAATCATCACTTCATAAAAGAGATTAAATACAAGTGTGTGAACCTTAATCTCTCAGAACTATTCTATACATCAACTGAGTTATACACCAAGATAGTGTATACAACACCTTGAAATAGTATATTTATCCCCTTCTTCATTACACAGAAGGCTCCTATCTCTGTGATATTTTTTATAAATCCAATTACAAAACCCAACTGCTGAGGAAATTCCTCTCCCTGCCTCCCTTTTTTTTTAAGTGTATCAAATAGCCTAGCGATTATGTGAAGGTTGAGCCAAGACATAGTTATTTGTCAAATAACCTCAGTGTTCAGTTGTGGAAGAGAGTACGTGTATGCCAGTGTCCTTGTTGTGATATTCTTGTCCAGGTGTTGCTAGGGCCTAATGTTTGACCAAAAAGCATTTAGCAGCAGAGTAGATCAAAAGATGTTTACCTTATCCATAGCTCAAGTTTTGACACAGTGCCATAAGTTTGATCCTCATATCTCAACTACTATCACAGTGAAGGTCATTTATAATTGTCAAGTACATTGAAGTGTTTCTCATTATGAGTGTTTCAACATATGGAAAACTGAAGAATGTTAAAGTTCTAAACAGTGGACCAAGTCATCATCCATCCATGGTACAAGTCCATATTCCTGCGACGAATTGGAGTCCGAAGTCAATGATTCAGCTAGGCGCTGTTTAGTGCAGTTTTTTCACCAGTGTTTAAATATCATCTTTAAAAAAAGATATTATTCATATCTGAAATACTCAGTTGCTTAAACCGTCGCAACTGCGTGGATGTTAGTCCAATGATTAAGTTTATCACGGGTCGTCATATGTTGTTCAGCTTTTTGGAACAAAAAAGGCACAAATTAATAGGAAGATCACTGTGAAAATCATTTTTTATCTCAAAAATAACTAATTGTTGCTGTTCAAATCTGCCAAAGTAACTCACAAAGCTGGGCCGTCATTTAATTCTCAGTTGCTATAATTGAAGCACTAACTCCTTTCACATCTGTTTTAAGTTGTTTCACTGAATTAGGTACAGTCAGTCACAATAATTGTTCAAATTTGTTGAGCAGTTGCTCGTAAATCTACTGCAAAATTGTTTTCTTACACAATCATATTCACACTGTGCAGGACCTCTGAATCATTTTCTCCAATTTGCTTGCCACGATATAATCCAATGGCTTTCCTTTATGCCTATATCCACTTCTTCGATGTGAGTGAGGTTCAGACTTTATTACTTGTGTGTTTGGTATGTTCTTGCTATAACTCTTTCCTTTCGCTTACAGGTAGATACATACTTGATGTTGCTTACTACGAGTTCAGAAGCATTCTACCATCTTAAAGATTGCAGGTAGAACCTTTCTTAGTAAGATTGTTGTTTATGTTTCACATGAAAGTGTTCAGAAAGGCGTGGAAAGTTGTGGGTCTTTAATTTTGTCTTTATTTCGGGTTCCAATCCGATAGATTGTTCATTCTTGTAATATCCTTTTAATTTTTTCTAGTTTGGTCATTTTGTACATGATGCTTCCTCTTTCACGAAAGTTTACACAAGTTTTCTTAGCTACATTTTTTTCTTTTACCTTTTTATGAAAAAAAGATGATTTTGGATTCAAGTTCTAGCCTAGGAATCTTATGGACTACCATGCATTTAGCGTAACCTCTTGTTTGGTCTTCTCTCATATTATCCTGCATGTATACGGTCCAATTTTTTTCCTATACTTTTTTCTACAGGTATATTATTTTTTGCCCACTTTTCTCGGCTTGTGTCCTGAGCTGTCACACCCACGTCACACCCACCTTTCCTTTATCTGCCTTCTTGAATACCTGATTCAAATGCATAGTACAGTGGCTAAATAGGAATAGTTTCCTATGTTAATGGACAGGGTTCGCATTGAAAGGGTCCTTGTGACATCCAATGTGCTCAGTGAAGTACAACGGTCCTTGCTAGATGGTGGTCTGCATGTTGAGGACTTGCCTGTTGATTCGTCTTCTCATTCTGGATCATCATCTTCTCGGCTGAGTCAGGACGGCCTGACCTCTGCCGCTCCAGGGAGAGTCCGAGAAGGATACACTGGTATTGGTGGCCCATCTGGGCTTTGGCACTTCATATATAGAAGTATTTATCTGGATCAATATGTCTCATCAGAGTTTTCACCACCTCTAAACAGTGCCAGTCGGCAGAAATGGTATTGATATTAGGCCCGCTAAAAGTTCATTTCTATTTTTTAGTTATTTAGATCACAAAAATTCTCCTCTGCAGGTTATATAGAGCTTATCAAAGATTATATGCGTCTATGCATGACAAAGGAAGTGGACCACATAAGAAACAGTTCAGACGAGATGAAAATTATGGTATGAAGTATATAATTCTCAGTTCATGTTTGCATGTGGCTTGGAATTCATTTTAACGATACATTTCTGAAGATCATATCATAGATATTTCAACATGTTGCCTGGTTTATGTGTTAATCTTGTGTAATATTCCTCATTATCCATTTTTGCAATAATTCTTGGTGGCATGTGAAATAACTATTGTACTCTCTTAAAATTCATTTAGGTAACCTGCAATCTTTTAGGTCTTCATGCGTCCAAAGTTTTTTTGTATTTTTAATGCTTATTAACTTTTTCCAAATCTTCCCCACTTCCAAGTCATTGAGAGTTTATCATTGTATTAAAAAGCTAATATAACAGCTGCTGGTAATTATGTAGCTTATTTGAGAATTAAAACAGAGAAAATTAGATGATTATAAAATCTCATAGATCGTGTAAATAATGTAGTAACAGAAATGGGCTCTATACAGGCGGTAAGCTAGGTCAGTTGAATTCAACTTTGAAGCACCTGCAATGGGATGATATATTTTTGGCTATTTTATTCTAATATTGCATACCTTATCTCCTTTCAGCTTTCCATGTCTCACGCTTACAAATAAATGTAGTAACCAATTTAATAAGAGGGAGAGATCTAAAATTGTATGGAGCCTATTTTAAGTATCATCCCAGTCTGTTTGAAGATCGCATAGTTTAAGCTCTTCCAGAGGAAAATAAGAGTCTTTATGAGACTACCTGTCCTTATGATCTCAAGGGTTCATCCCAACATTTATGACTCATGCAAAAACAGGGGGGGGGAAAAAAAAAAAGGCTACAAGTTTAATGATCATTAGTCCTTAAGATATCATCTCTTCTGTTTCAGGAAGAATCTGACAATGTATGAGGGATTTGTGATCTTTAAGTTTGTGCGGTTATGATTCTCTGCCGGAAATGCTGGCATTAGTTTATAACATGCAAGAAAATATAAAAAATATTGGGACCGAGTTAGGAAATTTGTGTGATTCTACTTTGATGAGATTGTCATAAACAAAGGTTTTGTTGGAAGAAATCAAAGATGTCTCCAAGCCTTGGGTTTCTTTGATGAACGTTTCTCATTCCATGTCAATTTTAGCCCAGCCATTTGTGAACTCATGCTGATTGCACATCACATCGTATAATTTTCGTAATCCACTTGGATTATGTTTGATTATTTGCTATCTTGCAGTTATGCTGTGCTGGATCACCCAAGACTTCGAGCTTTATGCTGCCTTCGATCCTCTAGCAGACAAGGTTCGTCACTACTAGCTCATTCTGCTTTTGCCTTGATGAGCATGACTATGAACCACGTGGTTGACTTTTTGGAGTATCCTCTTGTCGATGGTTTCTGCTCCTGGAAAGACTATTTCAGATCAATCTGGACACAGATGGGTCTGAAGTTAAACCAGTCACCCCGCGGTGCCTGCTCTAATATTTCATCCGTCCTATTTTTTTTTTCAACAAGATAAGCATGTCTATGAACCACGTGGTTGACTGTTTGAAGCTCCCTCCCGCTCTTGTTCCAATCGGCTCTTTTAGGCATTTAGGTGTTCATAGTGGGCTAGGATTCTTGTCGTGCCTGTAACCTTCCCGGAATGTTTTACCAGAAAAAAATGAGCCAGCCTGAGTATCGGTGCAGATTAGTGGTTTGACTTTTTGAAATCTCTCCAGGGTGTCTCAATTGACTTTTTTAGACATATTTCAGGCATTCATCTGGATCCCTTTCGTAGGCTTGGAATGTTTTACCAGAAAAATGAGCCAACCTGCAGTCACTCTAATTTTTTTATTTTTTTTTTACACGATTGAGTATCGGTATAGACTATGGGTTTTGACTTTTAGAGATCTCTCCAGCGTGTGTTTCAATTGACTTTTTTAGACATATTCAGACAGTCATCTGGATCCCTTTCGTAGGCTTGGAATGATTTACCAGGAAAAATGAGCCAATCTGCAGTCACTCTAAATTTTTATTTTTTATTTTTACAAGAATGAGTATCGGTATAGACTGTGGGTTTGACTTTCAGAAATCTCTCCATCGTGTGTTTCAATTGACTTTCTTAGACATATTCAGACACTCATTTGGATCCTTTTCATAGGCTTGGAAAAGAAATACCAAATTGGGTAAGGATTGTTATCATGCCTCCGATATTTATCTTGGAATCTCTTGCAGGCTTTGGCGATAAAGACCTGCGACAGGGTCTGTCATTGGATCAGAGATATGGAAAACGAGGTGTTCTTGCTGGGAGCTAGCCCTTTCTCATGGTGATTTGTCATTTTATTTTTCTGAAAACCTTACTGCATCATATCGTCTCAACCATAGACAATGTCAGCATTTTTCTCTTCTCCCCCCACGATATATCCTTCCTACCCATAGCAAAACCGGACTGCTCCCACGATCCGATCCACCCGAACCGAGCTCGTGGGCAGAAAGATGCTTGTTTTGGCTCTGCAATAAAAAAGAAAAAGAAATGGGATCCCCATCTTTTAGTAGAAAAAATCGCCTTCGTCTTCTTCCCTCAGATGATGCTGCTGCTCAGGCATAAGTCAAGAACAGCGTAGATCTCCTCGGCCAGGGGATGCGCTCGGTCGCCATTGAAGAAGACCTGCACGCGGCCGCCCACCTCGATCCAGCTGCATCCGGGGCTCCTCTTCACGCCCCTCTCCTTCATCTCCTGCCGGACCGCCGCCGCCCTCCGCCAGCTCCCGGCAGCAGAATACACGTTGGAGAGGAGCACCCACGAGGCGGCGTCCGGCGGAGGGCCCAGCTCCTCGATCCTCCCCGCCACTGCCTCTGCCCACCGCTGCTCGCCCTGCACCAGTCTCCCTCCCAGCGCCGCCTTCCAGAACCCGATCCCCGGCCGGAATGGCGTCTCCTCCGCCATGAACCTATGCGCCTCCGCCACCCTCCCGTGCCGAGCGAGCATGTCCACCATGCAGGCGTAGTGCTCTGGTCGGAGCATCTGCGGCGTCTCCTCCTTCGCCCGCCGGAAGCAGGCGCGGCCGTCGTCCACCAGGCCGGCGTGGCTGCAGGCGGAGAGCACGCCGAGGAGGGTGACCTCGTTTGGCTCATAGCCTTCTTCCTCCCTCATCGTGTTGTACAAAGCGAGAGCTTCCCTTCCCCGGCCGTTCTGCGCGTGCCCGCAGAGGATGGCGTTCCACGTGACGAGATTCCGCCGCCGGAGGCGACGGAAGACCAGCAGGGCGTCCTCCGGCGAGCCGCATTTAGAGTAGAAGCTGATGAGGGCGTTGCCCACGAAGACGTCTGCTGGGTCGCCGAGGTGCTTGGTGGCAGAAGCGTGGACGGCCTGGCCCAGCCTGAGCGCCGCCGCGTTGCCGGCGGTGGAGAGGACGGAGGGGAAGGTGGACTGGTTGGGCCTCGTCCCTTCCCGGCACATCTCTACGAAGAGCAGGAGGGATTCCTCGTTCAGACCCATCTTGCTGCACCCGCCGATCATCGCGTTCCAGGAGGTGGCGTTCCTCTCCGGCATGCCCAGGAAGAGGCGGCGGGCCGCGGAGAGTCTCCGGTGCTTGAGGAAGGCGGCGAGGAGCGCGGTGCGGGCGACGACGTTGGGGTTGGCGATGGCGGAGAAGGCCTCCAGGGCTTCTTCCACGGCGCCGAGCTTGCCGTAGAGGTCGAGGAGTGAGCTCCCCACGAAGACGTCGCACTGGAGGCCCATCTTCGTTGCCAGTGCGTGGAGCTGCCGGCCCAGGTCCGCGCGGCGGAGGGCGGTAGCCGTGTGGATTGTGGTGCCGAAGGTGAACTGGTTTGGCCGCAGGCCGAGGCGGAGCAGGCGGCAGAAGAGGAGCATGGCGTCGCCGTGGCGGTCCTCGCGGCCGAGCGAGCTGAGCACGGCGGTGGCGGAGACCACGTCCCGGCTCAGATTTTCCTCGAACAGCTGGTGATCGCCGCTCGGTGGTGGCGCTCCGGCGGTGAGCCGGCGGGGGTTCTGTTTCAGGAGCAGATGGACAGAGGGCGATAAGGGGAGGCGACCTCGCCATGGCTGCATTACGGGGGGACCTGAGAAACTGAGATCTCATCGGATTTTGCTTCCCTCTATTTCTCTCCGGCGAGGAATCCGGCCTCTTGGAGGAAGAAGGCAATCTGATTCTTCTCCGGGCCTCTCGACTTCGCCGGAGACCGCCGTGGGCTCACCGGCTGCGTAGTCGGTTGGTGGGTCGAAAGTTCAAAACTTGGTTAATGGGTCGTCCTCATATATTAGCCCATTACGCCCTGTAAAGGCGCTCTCGCCGCCGCTGCACACGGCGGCGCTCTGGTCACACTCCGGCGAGCCTGTTTATGTTCAGTTAGGGGACGGCTTCTCCGATTGGAAACGCAAGTAAGTGGCCAAGTTTCCGTCGATTACTCGGAGGTGAATTTGAGTTCTGAGATGTTATTCTTCGAATGGAGGGGCGTTGAATGTACACGGAGAATTCCCAGGTCGAGCAAACAGATGCTGGTCAGAGATCGGAGGCCCGATCCAAGAGATCTGCATGGTGAGATCGCCGGTAGTTCTTCCTGCTAAAGCTTTTGCCGTTTGCCGATCTGGTAGCCGCCGGTGCAAGCGGACGGCGACGGCCTCGGGGAAGGATGAACCAACTCCGTGTTCTGGTTAGGACCTCTGACAGAGACCGGAGGGATTTGAAATGGCCGCAGTGGTGGGGGATTGCGCCATTGCGGAAGAGATCCGGCCACCAGCAGCGTCTGCAGAAGAGGACCGGCTTCGATCACCGCTTGCAGTAGCTTCCCCTTCTCCGGCAGAGCTTTCTTCGGCAGGAGGTGATCGATCGTCTCCGAAGCAGCATCGCGTTCGGGGAGAAGATGATGTGCCATCCCGCTGCTAGGGTTTTTCGCTGCACCTCCAGCAAAAAGCACCGGAGAAGGAACGAACTCGAAAGGGGAGGATTCCTCTGGAGATGAGGCATCGTTGGATTGAGAACTATCCATCCGGGTAAGGGCATCGAAGTGGCTGATGCCATCGTTGCCTCTCGCCGATCCATACGATGGATGGAGAAGAGGAAGTGAGGGAGATTGCTCGAGAAATCCTGAGTGGGCATTCTGAGCAAGTAGCTTCTCTCGCTCAAAGCTGGTTATCCTCAGTATCTGGAGCAACTGCTTGACGTTGTCCTCCTTCATGATCTCCTCCTCGGCGCCGGTTGTGGGGGATCCGAGCTCCGCGCTAGCGCGGCCGAAGAACTGGTTCAGGTCAGCGAGGCTCTGCCGCAGGCGGAAAATCGAAAACCAGTGAATGAAGATCATCTGCAAGATCGATCGAATGTACCATGAAAATTTCGATTCGTCTGCGATTAATGTTCTGGTCGTACCTCGTAATCAGAGGATGGCCTGCTCACAAGTAGCTGCCGGCCGCCGAGCTCATCGTCGTCATGAGCCTTCTTCACCTCAGAGACCCTTCTCTGCAAGTCCACCTCCCACACCGCCGCCGGAGTTCTGCCCACCAGATCGACCCCCGACCCGTTCGACGAAATCGAGCTCATCGGCGACCCTTCGACTCCTCCGCCACTGCAACAGGAGGCGGTGATGTGCCCGTACCCATACGAGCTCTGCAGTTGCCGTTGCCGGAGAAGATGGTGGCGGGGGGGCAGAACATCAAGACCCAATGCAGGTGACGTCGCACAGAAGGAGGGCTGCCAAGTGGAAGCCTCCCCACCCACTGGAAGCGACGGCGATACGCCTCCGTTGACAGCGGCATCACCTTCTTCGACGACCCAGAACATGTCCAGAGCCTCCTCCACGCTCCCAACTACAGAGCTCCCGTCGGCTCCACGGCAACCGTTGTGGGTCCAGTCCAGAGGAGGGGAGCGGAGGACACACGGCGGCTCCGCCCCCATACAGACCACGCCTGCAACGCCGCCGTGCTCCTCTCGCCATTCCCGCAGCCCGTCGCCATCGAGAACCATCCCGTCGCTCTCCACCGTCGCAGTTACCACTCCCTCCTCCCCTTCCTCTCCCCCCTCTCTCTCTCTCCCTCTCTCTCTCTCTCTCTCTCTCTCTCTCTCTCTCTCTACCGTTCCCACTTGTATTTATTCTACATTTCCAGTGCATAGAGTTAGAGAGAGAGAGGTGATAAATTGGGATGGGAGAGGGAGAAGAAGATGAAACTCTGGTCGGCGACAAAAGTACGGCCGTCGGCGGTGGCGGCGCCCCCCTTCTCCGTGGACGGGGGTATTCACTGCGGGGTGTAAATAAAGAAGGAGCGGCCTTTACGGAAAGACGTTGCGGAGAAGGGGAGAAGGACCACCGTCTATATATAGAAACCTCCATGAAAGGGGAAGAAGGAAGGTCCAATATTTCGTGGAAGAAGACGACGACGACGTCCCGATTCCCGATTCCACGCCGGGTCTCCCCCTCCCATCCATAGTCAACGAGTGAACACGGAAAATCGGACTTTCTGCCCAGAAAGGAGCTCGCTCCATACTCGAGCCCATTCCCCCCCGCCCGGAGAAGACACCTCTCATTGACCTGGTCCGAACGGGTTCGGCGCGTGTTGACTTGCGTGGTCGTACAGTGGGAGATAGAATGCCCCCCCACCCCCTCCCTCCTCCTTCCCCCCCCATTCCTCCCCGGAATCCGGCCGACTTGCCGTCATTCATTCCGTCCCCTCCTCCACCTGCCCTTCTATTCTTAGTACTCTCTCTCTCTCTCTCTCTACAACAGGGGAAAGGGGTCCCATTTACGGACACGCTTGGAGGGGATGTCTTCCCTGGCGGTCAAAGAAAGCAGTGCACCGATCCCCAAGGGAAGGAGGACTAATACGCACTGGGGATACCCCATCCCAACGTGCTGGGTAGAGACACCTTCTGCCCTGTCACCCTATGATAACATGGGTTCGAGCTTAATCAGAGTTTTATGGGTTATTTGTGGAGGAGAGAGAGAGAGAGAGAGAGAGAGAGAGAGAGTTGGGTTACGCATATCTAATCGTTGTAGCCATACCAGTGTTAAGAACGCACATATGCTTTATTTTATTAGACTATTTGACGAGGGTCACATAGATTAACCCCAAATTGGCGAAGCTATTGCATGAGATCGTGCAAGGATTTGGCAATAGGCCGTACAGAGTTTACAATACAACAGGATGTAAAGCCATCTTATCTCAAGGAGAGACGATGACAATGGAATAAAAGAGGAGCATTGCTGAAACTCTGAAGGTGCCTTCACAAAGGAAGATGTGACCGATAGCATTGGAAGGGAAACAGCAAAGAGGAAGGAAGAGAAAGAAGTAAAAGCTGATGTCTGCGGGGCCGTAAATCCCTCTGTTCTCTGCAACTTCTACCACAAGATATTAGTGCAAGAAGCTAGAGATCTAGAGATCTAGTGATTAACTGGGGCCTCGTGGGAGTTACAGTGCCTATCATCACCCTCGTCATCACAAGAGCTCTCCTGATAACTGTGTTTTTCCCGTAGACCTCTGAGTTGATCCGAGGAGAAGATCGTAATGATATTGTGGTGTTAAGAATGACCATGTATTTAATTAATTAAATTATTTGAATGACGAGGTCTGATGAGTCGTTGAGGGGCTCATTGGACCACATAGGCTAAACCCAATTTGGGGGACATTAATCATCGTTTATTATTTCTAGCAATTTGGTGGGATGAGATGCCATAGATCGCATGAGGTGTTCCACAGGTGATCGATCTGATCTGATATGATATATTGGAAACACTAAGTAGCCATTATTGCACTAGAATCTGTTCCCTCCTCAAGGGACATGGCATGTTCCATATCTCCACAGTTATCCATATTATTTTACTAGCTTATTCAAAATTATATCTATAGTTTAGCCCACAAATGTGATCCACTCGTTCCACCAAACTTTGATTCAATTAGTTTTACCAAAATTCCTTCAACATAGAAAACCCCGTGCAAGATATATATATTTTTACATAGAGAGAGAGAGAGAGAGAGGGGAGAGAGAGAGAGAGAGGGGAGAGAAAGAGAGAGAGAGAGAGAGAGAGAGAGAGAGAGAGAAGGGAGAGAAAGAGAATAAAAAAGATGTTGCCATCTCGCACGGTTGCACCCATCTGTGAGCTATACTCCGTGATGATTTTTTAGTGAACTCGTCTTCGGTGGCGGTGCTGTGCTGCCCACCAATCCGCTTCTGGTTCATCACGATCTTCCTCCTCGAGCCCCGCTAGGAGTAAACAAGGGAGCGGGAGGAAGAGGAATGAACCCGTCATATTTGGTCCTCCATTATTCTTTTCTATGGCCTGGCGGCGACTGAGACTATAAGACTGACTGGTGCGCCGCCAGCAGTAGCGGTGGGCGGCGGTCGGCGAGGACAAAGAGGCCGCCTGCAGCGCCAGAGCTGGCGGCGTCGCTGGTTCCCCCTTTCAATTTACGAGGAGATCGCTTGGAAGAGAGAGAGGAGCTGTGGAGGAAGAAGAAGGCTGTTTTCTTTGCGGCGGCAGCGATTTTCCTTGATTCTGAATCTTCCTCCCTACAGATAGCCGTCCCCTTTCAACGTTTTCTTTCGTTTTCTAGCGAGCGACGACTTTACACGCGTTGACGAGCAGTCCCTTTCTGCGTGCATGGCGTGGCGCGGGAGGATTTCCCTACGTCCAGTTCCCTACTCTTCGATACAGTCAACTGAAACTCTAGAGAGAGGGGAGAGAGAGAGAGAGAGAGAGAGAGGATTTGGTGGGGGTGGCTATACCTCAACGTGGGTAAATTATACTAGCTAAGGCCTGGAGAGTACGTGGGTAGGACTGGTTAGGGGCACCATTTGCGGGCGGGGTAGAAACCAAAATAATAAAAATTGTGGGTGACCCACAAAAGTAACAAACTACTGGAGAAATGGGTCCTAAGAGGTTTGGTGAACAATGCAATGGCCCTACGAAAATAGACCTTTTGATCTAATTCTCGTTCAAATGGGAAAATATTTGGTCATCTCAATAAGAAAGTCAACATCATTAAATTTCCACGTGTAATAATTTAGACTTAGATTCGAGTGAAACAAGTAGACAATTCATGCATTCATCATTAATTTTGGAACTCTCGAATAATTTTTGAAGTTTAAAAATGTTTCTAATGACAGAAATGTCATTATGTTCCATTATAGTATGGTAGTACATTATTATTTATATCTAAAAAATAATATATGAAAATTGTGATGGACAATATCATAGCATATGATGTGATATTTTACCATATTAAGCTATGTTGCATAACACAAATATTATATTCAAGAAGTAGATATAAATAACATACTATATTAGATATAATATCTCAATACAAGAAAATAAGTTGCTGAATAACATAGTATATAAAGCTTAATATGACATTGTATGAGGAGTTGCATACCCGCTAAAAAGTCATATTCCACTTTTATTAACGTATATTAGGAGCTATGAGGCTCATCTAGCATGCCCACTTAGATGACACGAAATGCTAAGCAAGTCAACTCACAAGGAGGGAGTCAGCGAGGCTCATCTAGCATGCCCACTTAGATGACACGAAATGCTTAGCAAGTCAACTCACAAGGAGGGAGTCAACGAGGCTCATCTAGCATGCCCACTTAGATGACACGAGATGCTTAGCAAATCAACTCACAAGGAGGGAGTCAGCAATCCTATCAAGTATGAACACTCACATGAATTATCGGTCAAATTTAGGGCACCTAAGATGGGGCCAAGTCAATTTGTGCCATTAGTGGACTCAATCATGTCAATGATGGGTTCTTTTGTCGTGTGTGGCTTGCCACTAGAGGATTTTATGTGGGCCTCTTATTGGATCAGCCATAGGAGCCCATTAGAAGGGAGACAGGCCCATTTCTAGCTGCAGTGCTACCCCACAACCCCGGATATACTGGGCCCATTGGGGAACCCAATAGTATAGGCCCAATAACGGCCCGACCCCAATCTTTTTCACGAAAAGTACGCGGATGTGAAAATACAGCCAGGATTGGTCAGTAAGCCTCCCGGTACACTTAACCGCGAATCGCTTCTCCTCATGAGCACGCCAGACGCGGCATGGTAAGCATTCCTCCGACATTCTTAATCCACGGGCGGTGATTGTATAATGCCAAGGTGGGGCCCATTGACCCACCGACCTGAAAATAATTTACGTCCCTCCAGAACTTAATAAATTAATTAATTATTTTTGCTAGCCGACGGACGATCCGCGGCCACACATCGGGTGTCTCCCATCAAATCCATCACCACCGTCCTTCGCACCGACTGCGCCCAAAGAACCTTCGCCGATGGACCCACCGAATGGGCGGTTCGACAACGATGGATCTGATGATTTCATCCGTCTGATCTCCATCAACTTCGGGGGACCAGCGCTGGTGGCTCACGAAAGTCAGACACGTGGCAAGCCCACGAGCCAGAACACAGTTACCGGTAGACCGGGCTTTCCCGGTTCAATGCGGTCGGCGGGTAGTGTATAAAACCAGGCCGAGAGAGACTGTGAGCCATGCCGAAGTAGAGAGAGAGAGAGAGAGAGAGATCGGAATTCGAAGGCGGAGAAGAAAAATGCCGATCAGTAGGATCGCCATCGGTTCCCCGTTGGAGGCGAGGCACCCTGAGGCTCTCAAGGCGGCGCTCGCTGAGTTCATCTCCACGCTCATCTTCGTCTTCGCCGGCCAAGGCTCCGGCATGGCTTACAGTAAGCACCTCTCTCTCTCTCTCTCTCTCTCTCTCTCTCTCTCTCTCGCTCTCGCTGTCTCTCGCTCTACCTCCTCTCGAGTCGCCGGCGACGGCGAAGACTGAGCGAGTCCGTCCTGTTCGTGTGACCTCGCAGACAAGCTCACCGCAAACGGCGCGGCAACGCCTTCCGGCCTGGTAGCGGCGGCGCTGGCGCACGCATTCGCGCTGTTCGTGGCCGTCTCCGTCGGCGCTAACATCTCCGGGGGCCACGTCAACCCCGCCGTCACCTTCGGCGCCTTTCTCGGCGGCCACATCACCCTGCTAAGGGGCCTCCTCTACTGGATCGCCCAGTTGCTCGGCTCCGTCGTCGCCTGCTTCCTCCTCAAGTTCGCCACCGGCGGCCTGGTAGCTACCGTAGAGAAGAAGAAGAAGAAGAAGAAGAAGAACCCTTTCCTTGGCCTTCCTTCTAACCTTCCTCTTCTTGTTCGGCAGAAAACTGGGGCGTTCGCTCTGTCAGAGAATGTGAGCGCGTGGAACGCGCTGGTGTTCGAGATCGTGATGACCTTCGGGCTGGTCTACACCGTCTACGCAACGGCCGTTGACCCGAAGAAGGGGAACCTCGGAGTCATCGCTCCCATAGCCATCGGCTTCATCGTCGGCGCCAACATCCTCGCCGGCGGGGCCTTCGACGGCGCTTCCATGAACCCCGCCGTCTCCTTCGGACCTGCCGTCGTCAGCTGGACCTGGGACAACCACTGGGTCTACTGGCTCGGTCCTCTCATCGGCGCCGCCATCGCCGCCCTCACCTACGACATCCTCTTCATCGGAAACATCACTCACGAACAGCTCCCCGTCGCCGATTACTGAGCTTCCCTCTCCCTCTCTCTCTCTCTCTCTCTCTCTCTCTCTCTCTCTAGTTGATTGGTGCAGGAGTGGGAAATAACGGGGAACATCTCCGTCCGTATCTCTTCGAGCTCTTCTTCTCTGTGTCTGTTGTAGCATGTGTTTGCTGCTGGTGGCGGCTCAACGAAGCCAAACCCCACAGCCTTTCAAGTGTCAAAAAGAATTCACCGAACACGTGCGAAGCGTGCGCTTTAATTGGCCTAGCTCAAAAGGCAGGCCCAAATTTATCGGCCCGGTCCACGTAGGAAGGCGGTCCAGAGTGGTTTGGGCCGGTCCGGCCACGTGGCTCAATGGGCCCCACCTTTGTCTATTACTCGTCAAGAGACTAGTGGGGGTAGATCTGACATCTCCTTGTCTCCCCTGAAACCTTGAAGAGCCGGCCTCCCTTGTCCTCCCTCTTCCTCTCCCTCTCCGTCCTCTACCTCAGAGCTCGGTCGCTCTTGCTCCCTCGACAGGCCGAGGCGGAGAGGCGCGCTCAAGCGAGCGAGAAGAGAAGGAAAATTTACATGGCGGCCTCGACCTTCCTCTGCCGACCGTCTCACCGCCCTCTCGCTTCCACGCATTTCCGTTGTTGCTCCGTTCCCAGCCCCCAAACAAAGTTCGTCACCTTCTTCCGTAGTCGTAGCCGCTGGGCGTCGGCCTCAATGAGCATTGAAGTCCCGATGAAGGCGCCGAAGCTCTCCTTTTTGGACCCTAAGGAGTCCGGTTCCCTCCATTTCGTGAAGTACCACGGCCTGGGGAATGATTTCATTCTGGTTGTTCTTGTCTCGTGTACTTCTTTCTATCCCTCAATCACTTTTTGATTTCGTATGAGCTGAGTCTCTCTGTTTGTTACTCGCGCCTTTTGGTCGTTTCTAGGTGGACAACAGGGATTCCGTAGAGCCCAAGGTGACACCAGAGCAGGCCGTCAAGCTCTGTGATCGAAACTTTGGTGTCGGTGCGGACGGTGTGATCTTTGCAATGCCAGGTACCAATGGAACCGACTATACCATGAGGATTTTTAACTCAGACGGCAGCGAGCCAGAGGTAATATTTCACATCTGGAAGTTCCCAAGCAGTCGTTTTTGTTGCGTTTTATTCACATTCTTTTATTGTCATTCCTTTTTAATAAGCATCGCCATTCGTTGGTAGCAAACCCTCTGGTCATAGTTTATTCGCTATATGTAGTCTGAAAAATCTCAATCAACGTAAAGGACTTGTATCTTGTTTATTTTCACTTGAAATCTTTGTATGTTCCCTTTACATGGTATTTCCCTTTAAATTTTTATTGAGCTAGGCGAGTTCCGTCGTAAAACAAAATTACGAAGATCAGCCTATTGGTTTTCTACGGCAACTTTGGGAACTACTGTTCTGTACCCGTCTTGGAGTTATCCTACCAGGTTTTTATGAGTGATTTCAAATTGGGAAGCGTCTCGCACAATTCTGGTTATTTCTGAAAACATGCAATGTGCACATTAGGTGCAACCTACTGACAAATTTAAGACCACGACGTAAATAGCACGTGTACGATGTGATATCTAAATGAGAGACTGAAAGAGATTTTTTTTGAATTGGCCATTGGATCAACTCGGGTCACATCCGTATGGGAGAATTTTTTTCTTGTTCATTTAGCTTTGGACTGAATATATGGCATGCAAGAGAGAGAGAGAGAGAGAGAGAGAGAGAGAGAGAGAGAGATGATGACGATGATGACTACGGGGTATCTTAGTTTTCTGTGGAAATGTTCAGTGGATGTATGTTCCTTTCTGGATTGAATTGAGGATTCTACTTTCTCCCAGAGGCAATTATTGGATGTCTGTTTACTTATTTTCTGCCACAGTATGATATATTCTTCCGTCATCTATGGACATTCATCTCCATTTTAATTATTTTTCTATATCTTGTATCCATTATATGATATGCAAACTTTCTAGATGTTGATTTGCTTTGACAATTTCATCAACTGTATGCTGACATTTCCGAATCTAACTGTTTTTCTGCCTGTGGCTTCAGATGTGCGGAAATGGTGTTCGTTGCTTTGCTCGATTCATTGCAGAGATTGAAAATTTTCATGGAAAGCAAAGGTACACATGCTCACTGTTTAGTCTATCGGTTTTGCGTTCTCCTGGGGTTGATCATGATTGGCTAACAATAGTATTGTTGATGTGAATGTTTTTTGGTGACTTCTTTTATCATTACTACTGTCATCTGTTTAGGAGTAGGCACAAAACTTCAAGTAAAGCACTAGGGCTACCTGTCTCAGGCCTTATATTTTATCATGTATTATAATTTCTAAAGGTTTACTCTGCTTCCTGTAATATTTGTGTCCTGTCAGGTCTTCTGCATTGAATTTTATTATTATAAAAAGTTAGACCAATATTTATGTTTCCTGGAAATTTCATCATACGTCGACCTTGACTTTACTCAAGGGTTACCGACGACTTAAAAGTCACCTGATTGTGGAATCATATTCTTTTATGGTTTGTGTTATGAGAATGTGATTGATATTAGTAAAAATGCTAGAATATCAAAATGAGTAGCATATTAGCTTAGTTCCTGATTCAGCTGTTTGCTTTTGAACTGAGTGGATCTATCTTTGTTCCCTCCTTTTTGCGATCAGTTGGAGCTTGTAAAGTTTTCTCAACGTTTCATCTATGTAGTTATGATAATTTCATTATCTCTAACTGAATATGTGCCGAACTATGAAGATGACAACTTTCATAGTAGGTTTTGCTACTTTAATGTTGCTAAGGCTTACTCATTGTAGCTTATGTATCCTGCAGCTTTACTGTTCACACAGGTGCTGGTCTGATAGTTCCTGAAATCCAGAATGATGGGCAGGTATATCAGCTTTTATTTTGGATTGTCTTTTCTCTTTATGCATTCTAATGACACCACAGAGTAAGGAATTCGATGTGGCACAATGCTGCTCTAGATAACTCGAATGAATTCTGCATCAGTTTTATACATCATTCTTTTTACCTGTCATCCGTTACATCGTGCTTTAGTACACTGCTTGATGAGGGAAGTGATGGAAACTGCAGGGTACAATTCCCCTGCAGAGTAAAGTCATCGATTTTTAATTTGTGTGCAATTATTTATGAAAAGTTCTATTTGTTCCCTTTTATTCTAGTGAAATAAAATGACACCAGAGCTCGTCTCACTTTTTCTGCAAACTTTGCATTGTAACGTCAGGATACTATATCCGAAGCAAATGAAAGTTATGCTGCTTTATGAATTTTCACTAATCATCTATCTGCCATTTTGATTCGCTACGAATACAATAAGACTTTCTTTCCCTTGAAGAATAAAACAAGGGCGAATGTTTTATGCTCATGGCAACCTATTACATCTTATTTCATATCTTTTAATTATTTCTTGGACTATCTATAAACAATGTTTGATTTTCCACAGGAAGATAAATGGTAGCACCTTGTTTATAATTGTGATTATTATTTTGTTATTTTGTGGTAGGTAAGAGTGGATATGGGTCAACCAGTACTTTCAGCAGCAGACATACCTACTAAACTGCGTGGGAACAAGGATGGAGAAGTTATCGGTGATGAATTACTGGTGGATGGTGTAACATGGAAAGTGACATGTGTTAGCATGGGAAATCCTCATTGTGTCACCTTTGGCACCAAGGAGCAAGAAGTAAGTGATCTTAAAGTATCAGTTACAGCCAATTGTATATGTAAAGTGATTTTTAGAAAAAAGGCATATGATCCCACTTTTATCTGTCGTGTGAACTTGCGTGTGCTTTCTTTTTATCGATTTGCAAGTTATTATCTCACTCTCTCTCGTCTCTCCTCATACACGAGTTCCTCACTTCACGGAATACATGCCGCTCTTATATCCACAAGTGAAATTCTTTTTCTTTTTGACAAGACTGATTATATGTTCTGTTTTCCCACAAAGATGAAAATTTTTGCATTGCGGCTCAAATTTTTGGACCGAGTTAAAGTGTCACTTGATGACTAATTTCTGTTGTATTAAGCACGCTGTTATTTGGCTTCTTTCCACTTAGATACCTCAAATTTTCAGTTTCTGTGGGAGCTGTAGATAAAACCTGGAGGCCTGTTTGGAAGTGTTTTTTTGTTTACTTTTTTTTGTGGCGTAACATTGGGGTATTCGAATAAACCTGATAGATGTAGGCCACTGCCAGAAGGCTCTGAGCTCAGTAAGGCTCCTGAGCGATGATCCTCTCTCTCTCTCTCTCTCTCTCTCCCTCTTCCCCCAATTCTTTTACTCCACCTCTGGTTCTGTCGTTCCTGGAATTGTCGGAAGTGAGGCTTCATCTGTAAAAAACTGGCAAAGATCTGAAATACTCTCCACCTTTTATTAGGAAGTTAGCTTTTTCCTGTTCAACATTTAATACCAAATCCACCCAATAAAACTTTTGAAACCATTAAAATTGATTGATGAATCGTATTAACACATTTATATATGAATTCTGAAACGCCACCCTTTTTTTAAGATACTATCTTAAATGTATATTGTCTTGTGCAGGGATTGCTGGTTGATGATCTAGACTTACCAAGTATCGGTCCAAAATTTGAGCACCATGCAATGTTTCCTTCTCGAACAAACACAGGTACCCGCTTCTTTACAGGATTTTTTTTACCTAAATTGTATGAGACAATTTTGATTTTATTTGTCTGGCATAAGCAGCGGCGTGAGAATTTGATCATCCATTCTTTCTTATCATATCCTGCTGAGGTTGTCATTTTGATCCTTGGATCAAGGTCCGTTATGTAGAATTATAAGGAAGATAAACACTTATTCTGTTTCAAGATTATGAACTTGATCTGTTTTTGGTATGACTTGGGCAATTGTTTCTGTGAAGTACGCTGGTTCTTCCCCCTGTACCATCTTTAAGAATCCCAAATAGATGGCACTGAAGCGTGTGACCCACACCCGGCTGTTGGGGCGACGGGCAGGCCCCAATGAGTAGGAGCGCGTGGCAGCTGCCGCAAAGCTCGGGGCGTGAGCCTGGGCGGAGCGGCCGTCGGTGTAGATCTCTAAGCAGATACTGTGCTCATACTAACTCAAGATTGAAATGGTGGCCGGGAGGTCGTTAGGCATCCTGCATATTGGCACTGATGCCCCCTGACGTTGGGCTTGGTTCATGAGCATCTTCCTTTCGGTACCTCACAGTTGACTTGTCCGGTTTTCCTCGAAAGATTTCGTGGTTGACTTGAGTCGTCAAGAATGGATCCCTTGCCCATTTCCAATCAGATTTTTTTTTCCATTTTTGGTCAATATGTTTTAGTAATTTTCCAGCTACCCTCTCCTGGACGTTCTTACATATGTTAAAACCTTACTATTACTCTGGATGGTGAATAATCCCTATTTATTTTTTGCAGAATTTGTGCAAGTCATCTCTCCTTCACACCTAAAAATGCGCGTATGGGAGCGTGGCGCAGGTAATTTTATTTTTTTACCTCCGTAATTTATATCTGGAACCTGTTCCCTCAATCTTTAATCTTTAGTTAAATATCTTTTTTTAGTAAAAAAACCCAGGACACATAGAGGGAGAGAGAGAGAGAGAGAGACCAGGACTGAGCACAGGCGTCATTGACAAGGGCTAGACCTGGACTAGGCCCAAACATAAGCCTGTAGATGGGGGCTGAGCTCCCAAGAATCTTAGAGAGAGAGAGAGAGAGAGAGAGAGCATAGCCATTTTGATTGATGCGCCAGTCCATTGCTACTGATAAATAGTTGATGACAATTTTTTTGTAATAAAACCCCATAAATTTGTAATTCTTTTGTTGTTCGTGGTGCAGGGGCCACTCTTGCTTGCGGAACCGGAGCCTGTGCCGTCGTGGTCGCCGCAGTGCTCGAAGGCCGGTCAGAGAGGGTGAGTGAGAGACGCGGGCACTGGAACCCGATGTTGTTCGTGTTCTCCCTCTTCTTCGCCGTCAGTAATACCTCTGATGATGATCTTCTCGTCTTCATCTCGCAGAAATGCGTGGTTGACCTCCCCGGAGGCCCTCTGGAGATCGAGTGGCGGGTGGAGGACAACCGCATTTACATGACGGGCCCGGCGGAGGCGGTGTTCTTCGGCTCCGCTCTCCTCTGATTCCCATGAATCCCGTCCATCCGATGACCCAGAGAGATGGTATACTCTCATCCAATAATTTTAGTTGGGGTTCTTCCGTCGTCTGTTCTTCTCCTCTCTCTCTCTCTCTCTCTCTCTCTCTATACACTCTCCGGCAGCTGCGTTTCTTCTGCGACTCTCTCTCTCTAGCGTGGTCGTTGAATAACTCGGCATTTCAGAGACTGTAGAGAATCAATCAATTTGTCCGCTTCAGCGGGCGGCAACCACCGCCGGTTTCTTTTGCGGGCAATCCGAAGAGAGATGCCCCGGGACGCCGCACTCGTAGCAGGTCTGCCTCTTCTTCTTCTTCCCTCCGCCACCGCCGGCGGCGGCGGCAGGCACCGTCGTCCCTCGCTGCCCGCCCACCGCCGCCGGCTTCGGCGCAGCCACCACCTTCTTCGTAGGGACGGCGCAGCTTATCTTCGCCGGCCGCCCGCAGAGCTCCGCCTGGTCCAGCTTCAGCGCCGCCGCCAGGGAGACGCCGTCGTGGAAGTCTACGTGCGCGTAGCCCTTAAACTCGCCCGTCGCCTTGTCTTCCCCGAACCGAACAGCAGAGATACTGCAGCCCTGGAAAAACGCCCGCAGGTCCTCCTCCGTGATGTCCCACGCCAGATTCCCCACGTAGAGCCGGTTGTACCCGTCGATGATCTCCGGGGAGAAGACATCCGATCTCTGCCGGGTCGGCGGCGGCGCCGCCGCCTTGTACGGTTGGATCTTCAGGTACAATCCACCCCTGAAGAGATGATCAGCAATCGATCTCCTCTTTCTCATTCATTCAGGGGAAGAAGGGGACGATGAGCAGCAATCAGCAAATTACTTACATGTCGGAACCGTCCAGCGCCATCGCCCTCTTAGCAGCTGCTTCAGTCTGCATCACAAACGAGATCAGAGGGCTCCCTGTTAATCGCCATTAAAAAAATTCACCTAGAATCTACCATGAATGGAAAGATGGTTCAGTCTCAGTGTTAGATCGAACCGAGAAGGGTTTTCTTTTTTCGGGAAGAAAATGGGGGAGGAGGGAGGGAGGGAGGAAGCTTGGGCTGACCTTGAAAGTGAGAATGGCGATTCCCCTGAACTTGCCGCTCTCCGGGAACATCATGCAGTCAACCTCGGACACAGTCCCGCAACCTTCAAAGAAGCTCTGTATGTCGTCCTCGGTCGAGTAGTACGGAATGCCTCCCACGTAGACCTTCCTGCCGGCATCTCCATTTTCGTCTCTGTAAATTCACCAGGAGCCAACACGATGAACGATCAATCGAAGAGGACGACGACGACGTCGGCTAAGCGGTCTGGGATTTTACCTCGCGTCGATTGTCGCAGTTTCCACCGCCTTCTTCTCACTGGAGCAGGTCTTCGTCCCTTCCTTATCTTCTTCCCCGTTCTTCTTCTGGCTGCTCTTCCTCTTCTTGTTCCTCTTGTTCTTCTTGTTCTTCTCCGCCTTCTTCTTCTTGTTCTTCTTCTCCTCTTCCTTCCCCTTCATGTTACTTCCCTGGTCCTGCTCGCTCGATTCAGCGGCTCCATCGCCTGCTCTCTTCCTCTTCTTCCCCTTGCTCGAGCCCGCCGGAGAACCGGCGGCTTCTCCGCCCTCCGCCGCCGCCTCCGCAGCAGGTTTCGAGTCTCCCGGAGATGTCCTCCTCCTCTTCCTCCCGCCTCTCCTAGTCGGCCGGTTGTCCCGGCGGTTCTTCGAGACCAGGAGCTCCCTGAGACTCTGCAGCCGCTGGTTGACGTCTTCTGCTCCGGCGGAAGCGGCGGCGGTGGCGGCTTTCGATGGCTTTCTGGACTCCGCCGCCTCGACGGACACCGCCAGCAGGGACCTGAGCTGCTGCTTGAGCTTCTTCTTCGCTAGAACCATCCTCGCGCGGCGGCGGAGGAAACTCGGGAGGCCGTTGTCTGAGAAACCGGCGATGACGGCTCACCAGGTTCTCCCACCTTAGGGCAGAAGATGGGGGGAGGTATATTGGGCCGTATACGGCCCATAATGGCCCAACAATTTACAATTGGGCTCAAACCCAAAGTACCATGTCCAGTTGCACAAATGCAAAAATTATAAGGGTTTCGTTTTTCAAATAGAGACCTTTACTGGGGTCAACTAAAAAAGAATTACTTACCCGAGGGTAACATCGTAATTCCTAATAGTGTACCTGACTGAATGGTCTACGACAGGGGTTGTTGAGGGCTGACCAGAAAAGTCAACAGTGCCATCAATCCGACGGCTGTGAGCGCCGGATCAGACAGAGACGACGGTGTCAGAAATAGCGGGGATCACGAAATTTGAAAAAAAAAAGGGCCCACTTTCCTTTTTTACGCGATTTCCATCATGCGGGGGGAGAAAAAGCCGACGTGCGCTTGATTAACGTCCTTTTGGACAATACCCGCCGACTTCTCGCACGTACTCCCTGCAGTGGCGCTCCGACGACCAGATGCGGCGGCGGCCACCGACGGTGGGCTCTTGTCTTGTTCCGGCGGTGGGCGACGGCCCGGTGGCGTCGTCGGGTCTCTGAGTTTCTGTCGGAAGAACTGCCCAATTTGGACGGCAAATCTCACCTGTTTGACCACGGATTTTGACCACGAGGTCGTGGGTACCAGTTCTTGGAGCTTCTTCCCCGGCTGCTGTGAGTTCTCACGAGTTTCTTCGTTTTGTTGGCACGCTGTTTGTCTGCGCATCCATTTGAATCCTCCCACCCACCTTTTCCGCGCTTTAGGGCGGGTCTGTGAGCCAGCGAGCTCTCTTCTCCATGAAAGAAGAAGGCCCACCTCCATCCCCTATATAAATCCCCCCCGCTCTGTCTCTTCTTCTCGCGCCGCCCATTCTTCCTCCCTCTCATCGCCGAGATTCTCTCTCCTTCAGAGTTTACTGGGTTTCGGGGGAAGATGCCGGCCGCCGGCGGAGGGAGAGCGGCAGAGCTTCCGCGGCGGTGGAAGGCTAGCGAGACGAGCCCCGAGCGAACCAGGGTCTGGACTGAGCCCAAGCCCAAGGTCCCCGCAGAGAGGAAGAAGGTCCCCGTCGTCTACTACCTCTCCAGGAACGGCCAGCTCGAGCATCCGCACTTCATGGAGGTGACTCTCTCCTCCGACGGGCTCTACCTCAGAGGTAATGCCAACAATGCGGCGCCGTCCTTCTTCCGCCTCCTAGCTCCTCGCTCCTCGTCTCTGATCTGTAGGGTTTCTTCTTCTTCTTCTTCTTCCTCCGTTCGCGCAGATGTCATCAGTCGGCTCAACTGCCTGCGAGGGAAGGGGATGGCCACCATGTACGCCTGGTCGTCGAAGAGGTAACCTTCCCTCTCAGAGCTCGCCTTAGGGTTTTGCAGTATACAGAGAGATGGCGGGGCACAGGGAATTTACTGTACAGGGGGGACGCAGGAGCTACAAGCACGGGTTTGTGTGGCACGATCTCTCCGACGACGACTTCATCCACCCTGCTCACGGCCACGAGTACGTCCTCAAGGGGTCAGAGCTTCTCCAGGGCAGCGGCGCCGCCTCGTCCAGCGTCTCCCAGGGCACCAGCCGCGCTACCAGCGCAACCTCCTCCGGCTCCGACAAGTCCCTCGACTTCCCGGAGCCGGCCGCCGGCGGCGACTCCGACTTCCCCCTCCTCCGCCGGAAGAAGAAGCCCTGGCATTCCTTCGAGCTCGCCGAGTACAAGGTCTACAAAGCGGAGAACACTGCGGAGGCCGCCGTGAAGGTGGCGGCGGACGCGTCGACTCAGACCGACGAGAGGCGGCAGCGGCGGCGGAGTAGGGGCAGCGGCGGCGTTCCGGAACCCGAGGAAGCTGACCCGACGACGGAGCTCAGCCGGGACGAGATCTCCCCACCGCCGTCCTCTTCCAGCCCCGACACGCTGGAGACGCTGATCAGAGCCGACGTGCTGGCCGCCACAGCCGTCTCCGGCGACGGCGACCCTGAACGAGCGGCGGCGGGAGCTCACGCGAGCGGGAGAACGCGGGCATCTGCAGTGCTGATGCATCTCATCTCCTGCGGGTCCTTGTCCGTGAAAGATCATGGCTTCTCCCTGGTTTCTCAGTACCGGTCGAGGCTGCCGCGCCGCCGTGTGTTGGAAGCGTCGGAACAGGCAGCGGCGAAGGAGGAGTGCCCATGCCCGGAGGGCCGGTCAAGCTTCCCGGGTGTAACCTTGGAGGAGAAGGAGTACTTCAGCGGGAGCTTGATCGAGATGAAGAAGAAGGAATCGGAGGGTTCTGGGGAGCCGGCGTCCCTACAGAGGTCGTCCTCCTTCAACGCTGACAGGTGCGACTCTCATCTCTCTGTCCTCTCCGCCATTCTCCTCAGTCGATGCTCTCTTCGATCGATGTCGACAGAGAGCCAGAGAGGTGTTGTCCTCTCCCAAGTGAACCTGTGGTCACACCCCTGGTTTCTCTCGGAGGGGAGAGAGAGAGAGAGAGAGAGAGAGAGATGGAGACCCACGGGCTAGCTGGGTTCTGTCAGCCAGCTCCTCGGCCGTCCATGTTTCTAGCGGAGTTCAGGAAGACGACGGCGGGGGAGGAGGGAATGGGGACACATTTTTCTCCTTCTCTCCGCGCCCACTGACGTCTGCAGATGCGGCTCATCTGCCAGGTTTGCTCACATGGGATGTTTCTCAGAGCTGAGATCTCCTTTTTTTTTTTTTTTTTCTTTCCTTTGATCTGTAGGGTTTCGAAGCTGGAGCTGGCGGAGAGGGAGGAAGACGACGACGGCGTCCGCGCCAAGTGCCTGCCGCGGAGGGCAGCGAGATCGCTGGTCACGAGGAAGGAGACGACGGGCAACCGAGGCTCCGTCAGCTCCCGCAGCGCCGACGCCGGCAAGCTCCCAACCTCCGGCCGGCGAGACCTTTAAGACGAAGCACACGGGCAATAAGTGCCCGTCCATTAGAGAGCATGGGCGTGCCTGGCTGCGCCACCTTGCACGCCACGGCACCCGGCGGCGCCGCCGACGAGCTCCCTCCGTTCCTCCCCCGTCGATATATAAAATATTCGTCGAGGTGACACCCTCTGGAGGGGGAGACTCCAGTTTTTACTTTTTAGTTACAGTAGACTTCTGTGTACGGACGAGGAACGATGACCAAAAGTCAATCGCCCAGTTCCTCTCAGATCGACCCACCCCCTCATCGCATTAAAATACGCAGGGACTCGATCTCCCAAGTCCTCAAGAACGCCCCCCTCGAAGCTCGGGCATGAGAGAGAGGGATCAGACGGGTAAAAAGACCAACTTTGTGGGGAATTATTTTCCTGGGCCCAGAGTGAGGAAGCCAGCTTCGTCCTCCATGGGAGGAAGGTTCAGGTCCAGGCGGAAGAAGAGGCTGGCCGGCGATCCCGCCGGCGGCGAGGTTACCCCCTCCGCCGCCGCCGCCGCCGCCGACTTGTGCCGTCTCATGTGCCCGCCGAGAGCCTGGCCGGCGGCGAACACGAGGCCGCAGACGGTGCACTCGTGGACCTTCTCAGACTTCCGGCAGGGGCGGAGCCACGCCGCCGGCAGATTGGGCTGCCGCCGGTGACTGGTCCGGTGACCACCCAGAGCCTGGAAGGTGGAGAACCTCCGGTGACAGGTCTTGCACTCGAACATCACCATCTCCGCCTTCCTCTCTCTTTCCATTGTAAAGTGTGAGCACCTTCCATATTTATAAGCGGCCGAGCTTGACTTCGATCCACTCTGGCGGAGTAACGACGAAGGAAGCTCTTCGCCGTTTCCGGGGTGTTCCCAGTAGAGAGGGGAGACGAAGACGACGACCAGCGCCGTCGGGGAGTGAGTTTTCTTCGCGGAGGAGAAAACACGGGACCTCCCCCCCCCTCTCACTGTCTGAACAACCCCGGTCCGAACCGGGCCCGCGGGCGGACTGAACCGGGTCGCACTTAAATGCGCGTAATCCGTTACCGTTGACCCGAAAATTCCTAATATTGGGCCGACACGCGTCAAAATATCAGTGGATGAACACTATCCGAACCCTCTCCTTGCCGTCCATCCGAACGCCAATGAAACTGACTAACATACCCTTAGGTTCGGGGTCCACTTCTCTTTGCCACGTCTTAATCGACGGGCGACGACGACGGTCGAAGCTATCCGCGCATCTAATGACGTGAGAGCCTACTCAGCTATAGCGGAGGGTATTATCGTCATATGAGAAGACCATGCACGTTCGGTGGAATTCAGAGAAAAATTGCTTTCCCATAAATCGATTCCTCGGATGATCTGTCTACTCGCAAATCTGACCCTCCGATCCGTAGTCCCTCTCGCGGTTACCCTTCTGATAATCACGGCTGCCGACAAATCACTGCTTAATGATCCGCAAACATTTTCTCTCTCCTCCGGCATCCATAGTTAGAGGGTTTAAAACCCTTCTCTAGGGAGAGAGAGAGAGAAGAGAGAGAGAAGGGGTGGCGACCGTTCTACGACGAAGGTTGAGCGGCTTTGAAGTTTCTCTCTCTTTCTTTCTCTCCCTCTCTCTCTCTCTATATCCCGCGGCCTTGTTATGTGCATGTCTCAGACGCGCCTCCTTCCCTCTTCTCGCCGCGGGCAGCAGCTCCCACCACCACCGCCGCCACCCATCTCAACGACGGACTGCGCCAGGAACACTTCTTATCATACCAGCAATATTTTCCCTCTATCGCTCTCTCTCTCTCTCTGAGTTGGTCACACCTTTGCATGCTTTTCTCCCACGGCCTTCTCTCTAGTCCCGATCTCTCCCTCCCGCCGTCTGCGCTCTTCTTGTGCGGCTGTGCAATTCGCGCAAGGCGTGGCGAGCAGTGTACATCTCTTTCTGCGTTGGCTCCGCTCGTCTTCTGATCTTGTGGCGCGGGAGTTGGTGGACGCCGCGAGCTCTGAATCTGGCCGCGGTTGAAGTCGCTCGCTCATGGGACCTGTTAGAGGGATGAAGAGGAAGAGAAAGCAGGAGAAGAAGGCGAGCAAGGAGGCCGCCGCGGCCGCCTACGCGGCGTCCCAAGGACAGGAGCCTTCTGATTGGTGGGACGACTTCTCCAAGAGGATTACAGGTTCTTTCTTGTTCTCGACCTTCTGCTTCTGGTTTACCGTTCGCCTCGACTTCTTCTCTGCTTATTCGTTCTGCAACTATCACTGATGCGATAAACTGGTCCATGTCCCTGGTAGTGCTTCTCCTGTCGAGACGATCCGTAATCACGCGTTTCGATGATATGTCTTCGTTCGATCTGTTAGGGCCCTTACCTTTTACAATGGAATGCGTATGTATCCACAAAGAAATTCCGTACTCCGCCAACGCGGAGTTTTGTGGTGAGTTGCCGTAGCTGTTCTTCCACCACCAAGAATGAACACTTCCCGCCGGCAGTTTGTCTCGTCGACTATGTCAGTTCTCCCCTCCAGGTAGCAACCACAGGCCTAACGCTTCACGGCGTATTCTCTGATGGGTATTTCTGCCTGTATGCCTGATCCCGTCTATGACGGTAGATTTCCAAACCTTCATCTGTTCCGAAAGTGGTTGCCGGTCAGGATTAGGTAATCCAGCAGATCGCAGGTTCCGATTTCCAGGCATTAAGTTTGCCCAAAATGTACGGGTGGTTTTCCCCTTTTTGTTTAGATGTCGGGATCCGAACATCTTTAAGAGTCATCTTGTTATCTGCCCGAGGCCAGAATATTTTCTAATTATTGCTCTTCCTTGCGTTTTTATCTTTTGTATTGAACGCGCAAGTCTATGCTGCAATCATTGATACTAGTCTGTCAACTACCGAAATTCTTTCGCTTCCCGTATCTGAAGTGGTTCGAAGCTGTTGATGTGCTAATATAGGAACATGTAGTGAAAAATGCGGAACCATAAATGATCAAGGTTATTGAGATGTGCATCATCCTTATTTACAGAACACATTGAATAACCATTTCCTCTGGCATATGTTTTTGTCATTTTTTATCACCGAATGGACAAGATCATGTTACATCTGGTTGGCCTCTGATGGTAATGAATTTTGTCAAGATTATGAACGGCTTGCATGCTTTTTCCTAAATTCCCTTTGCACGGCCTTAAGATTGCCTCTATAGCTCACCTTAAACGACAGAGCAATACATTAATATGATCTGGTAAACTAATTATGTTGGTTCTGTGCCTTTGACCTTTTTTTCAGTGCTGTCCTTTTGGTCCCTAAGACATTCAATTCTATTTTCGAGTCTTCTTTGGGTCTCAGAAAACTTCTTTCTTAATTCGATGCAATAAAATCTTCACATCTGTGAAACTTATTCATATTTTTTCATTTTTTATCAACATTATTCCCAACTGTTATGAGCCATACCCTATCTTGACTTTGGATGTCCGTTTGGACGGAGGAATGAACGTCCTAAATGCACAACAAGATTTTCTCAATTGGTCGATCAATCATTTTTATTGGTTATTCTCTGAAGATCTTGATAGAATATCAATGTGTTGTCTTTCACGAAACATTTTGGTTGTTTACCTGCTGAGTAGCGGTCAACCGATTTCTCCAGATTGGTTCAGTACACATTTCAAGACGAATTCAGTCAACTGCAGTCACTGACCTTTTTTAAAATATCAATCTTTGGGCACATAATTTGACAATAATATTAATCTGGACATTTCTCGACCCATAATTTGAATTTTCTGGTATTTTTCTCACTTTGATCGATGAATTTCTGTCTATTAGCTTTTAAATGAAGAAAAGTGGGAATGCAAATACTGTTGTTTCAGTAGTTGTATTATTTATTTAAATTATGTTATTTTTAAGGACGTCATCTTTTGAACAATTTGCTAAAGCTAATTAAAAATTTAAAATTTTTATTTTCCGGTGAAAAAGCCCAACTTCTGTCATACATAATTTTTTTCTTTTCCCTTTTGTGGTGGAAAGTCTGTTAGATGAAGCATGAATGCATCCCTCCTTATGTGGAGTTTAAGGTATTATTTCAATTTGTACGTCTGTATAAAATACTAGAGGCATGTATTCATCAGTCTATTTGCAGTATCAAAGATGCTAATTTTGTGCACGTTTGATCAGTAGAGAACAACTTCACAGGGGAGCATGGAAAATAGTTGAGAAACGGATTTTTACATTGACTAATCAAATCTAATTTTAGGTTATTCACAAAACATGTGACAGATGGCGTTATAGACACTTTTTTAACTCATTAAATGATTTATGTGGAGAGAAGATCATATGTCAAGTGATGTGTAGACACTAAAAAGTATATTCACTTTAAGAAAGGGACCTAATATGGATAATATTATTTATGTAATAATCCCCTTTTTTCGTGACTTTGTCTCCCTCTCTGTAATCTCTGTATTTCATCTTTGCTCCTGTGACTCTTTCATTTTTATCTTTTTTTCCTTCAATTAGATGATTGATTTCTACGATTATTAGTTAAATCATTGCTATAAATCTTAAGATTATATTTTTCTTTTATCTTAGCATTTTTCCATAGCATATCCTTTCCTATTCTTATGTACATGAGAAGCCATTCTATCCTAAAACTTGTAGAGTGTATTTTATTTCTTAAAACCTTTCAGATATCTAAATATACTGTGTCTATGAGTAGCATTTAGATCGGCCTCTTACATGTTAACTTGCTGACAAGGCCACCTGGATCTGCTGCAGATGAACTTTCTCCTAGTCCGCAATTTTGCAAAAAAAGTTGATTTGCGGAGCTTCAGATTTTCTTTCCCATTTGAGTTTCCCAAGTACAATTCAAGCTCGTTACGCTTGTTTACTATAGGAGGAACCCAATGAATGATTTATTTTTTTTGTCCACTTTTTATCAGATAGTATTCAAATACAGATGATTGCATAGACAGGAAGCATGCCTGTCTGTGTGTAATATCATAATTCGTAGTTTTCCCTCCTCTTGGACGGTTGTTTTGCCATAATTCATGTTGAATTTCATGAACTTATGATTTCCGAAATGCTAATGCATGAAATAACTTTTTATCTATAACGGAGTCTAATGATCTTGCATGCAGAGTCATTATAACTCATCTGTGTTACTAGAATTACATGACAGTGTAAAATTTATTGCGGTACTTTCAGTCCCAGTAATTGAAGTTTTTTTTTTGCAATATCACATACATTATGTTGTTTTTCAAAAAAAAAAATTATAATCTGGATTATGCCTCCAATTTGCATGTCCTCAGTGCATATCCCAGTGTTGAGGGTTGTGCATGTAAATATAAATAAGTTGGCTTTATACGTCTGCAATGTTTGTACTGGGGAATCGATGTGTCACCACTGTCATTTTATTTTAAGGGAACGAACTTTGGAGTTTCGCCTAAAATCAAAACTCGGAGGCTGCAGAATGTTCACCCATTTCTGTTCCTTTCCGACTCCTTTTATACTTCTAACGCTGATGGTTAGGGGGGCTGCTATTGTCCACTGTTCAACGTTTTGTTGCAATATTTCAAACGATTTCTCCTTAACCAACTAGATTATACGATGTTTACTTTCATGAATCAAAGATATCTTTAAACATATACAAGACAACTGTTCTTTAATCTCCTTTCGCCTGTTTCATCATTTTTCAGGATTAAAGTTTTAAACCCCACAATTATAGCATGATCAAGTTTCGCCCATGTTTTTCATAAAGGTTCAAATGCTAGTGAGAAAAGTGTACTTCCATGGAAACTCCTGTAAAACAGTCAATGTCTGACCGTTTTGCAGCCATCAATCGCCATTTTTAGTTTTGTTTTCATGTGGTTCACATTGTATGATGGTCAATACCGGTCATTTAATGTTTGAATGACTACTACTTCTCATCTTATCATATTTTTCTTTGCACTCGTTGAGATTATAACTGGAAATTAGATCTGTTTCAACTATTAAATATCATAGTTGGATAGCACTGCCAAAATCAGTGTACTACTCTGATCAAACTTAGCAACTTTTTATGCAAAATTGTCGCTTGCAATGGAAGTTCTAACAACAACTGGATTTCCTTTGGTGCATGTCCATGAGATCGAATTCTTTAAAGGTCAACGGACACCGGTGTCAGTGGGTAGACTTTTATCACTACATGTTATCATACGGACTAGGTTGACATGTATGGGAGGATAACATCTAGACCGCCTTTCATGCGAGAAGAACCAAAGATAACATCTTAGCTACCAGTGCGAGTCTATACACTATGCCGGCTCAAGGCTAATGATTCTCATCCCACCGGGGTCCTCGGTATACCATGTGATGAATGAACCAGCCATAACCCCTGCTGACGGGGGTGGATGAGACAGACTCTTGAACGGGGATGCTCCCATGACCTTATGGAAAACCACCGAGTGTGGATAATGCTTGGGGATCTCCTGATCTCTTTTTTGTTTTCAAGAAATCTTACTTAATGTTGACTTTTTTTATCATTCACCCAGACATTTCAACCCAGTTACTCTGTCACATCTATGTGTTCAATCAGCATGTGCAAATGATGTTTTGTCATCCACTAGGATTTTGGAAACATGATATCAGATTTAATGAAAGTTGATATGATTTGGCGTTGACTTTAGATTACACTGAACATGATCCATGTCCCAACCCCCCATTGTGCCCCAGGTCAATGAATCCGAGTCATCTCCTTTTCCAACGCAATGATCATGTCCAGATATTTTATCAATAATGATCACGTCGGATGGTTTTAAATCTCCTGGATTTACTTATTTTTAGACTTTATTTATCCTTAAATCTTCGGCCATTTTTTCACAGCTGCATTATCTTTCTCCCTTTATTCAACTTTACTGGTGAACCCACCACCACATTGGCAAGTGAAACCGAGCCATGAACGGGGATGGCTCAGTTTTCACGTTGACCCCTGCAGCATGGAGGAAACATGTTGAGCAGAGTCAATGATTCTGTGGAAGCATGTGGACTCCCAGTGCACTATCCCATATCTAATCCATTCGATAGCATCTTCTTACAGGGGTCAACGCTACCGTTTCAGTCAATTTCTCTGCTGATATCATCACTTGATACATGTCTGAAGAATGCTGGGTTTTTTTTTTCTGTGATTCTTGGAAAATGATTGATCTTTCCCCATGAACGCCGGCTGATTTTCAGGCCCCTTGTCAACGTCCAAAGGATTGGACGACTTCGAATCGGTCTTCAAGATGTCCAGGAAGACCTTCAACTACATCTGCTCCCTGGTCAAGGAGGACCTGATGGGAAGACCTTCGAGCTTCACCTGCTTGAATGGCAGAGTCCTCTCGGCGAACGATCAGGTCGCTGTGGCCCTGAGGAGGCTGAGTTCAGGAGAATCTCTCCTGACGGTGGGGCAGTCCTTCGGCGTGAACCAGTCGACGGTCTCCCAGGTGACCTGGAGATTCGTGGAGGCCATGGAAGAAAGAGGCATCCACCACCTGCGGTGGCCCAGTGGGAAGGAGATGGAGGCCATCAAGGCCAAGTTCGAAGACATCCGGGGGCTCCCAAACTGCTGCGGCGCCATCGACGCCACCCACATCGTCATGTGCCTGCCCTCGGTAGATCCCTCCAACTCCGTATGGATCGATCCGGAGAAGAAGCACAGCATGGTGTTGCAGGCGATCGTGGACCCCGAGATGCGGTTCAGGGACATCGTCACCGGCTGGCCGGGGAGCATGAGCGACGCCATAGTCCTCCAGAGCTCCGGCTTCTTCCAGCTCTGCGAGACCGGCGCGCGTCTGAATGGGGCCAAGACGGAGCTACCGGAAGGATCGGAGGTGAGGGAGTACCTCGTCGGCGACGCCGGCTACCCGCTCCTCCCGTGGCTGCTCACCCCCTTCCGAGGGAGGGACCTGCCGGACGCCGCCGCCGAGTTCAACAAGCGCCACCAGGCCACGCGGCTGGTCTCGCAGCGGGCGCTAGCGAGGTTGAAGGAGATGTGGAGGATCTTCCAGGGGGAGATGTGGCGCCCCGACAAGCACCGCCTCCCGCGGATCATCCTCGTCTGCTGCATCCTCCACAACATCGTCATCGACCTCGAGGACCCCGCAAGAGATCGCCTCCCCCTCTCCGCCCACCACGACTCAGGCTACCGCCAGCAGCACTGCAACTTCTCCGACAAGGCCGCCCGCTCCGCCAGGGAGAAGCTCTCCCAGTACCTCTCCGGTGGCCTCCCTCCCTGACTGTGACTCTGATCACCACCTCCCCCCCCCCCAATCTCTTCCTCGCTCCCTGCAAACCCCCTAATCTTCTTCCTGCGGTTTTGAGCAAACTGCCCAATATGGGCTTTTATTGGGCCACTCCTTTCTCACAGCCCATCGGTTGACTTGGACGGCCCCATAATTCCACTATTTTTCATGGCTTTTAAAATCAGAAATCCGTGTCCTTTCTTTATATATTCAGCAGATGGCATTTTATTTGAATGTTTTCGAATTATCCAAATATTGGGGAATTATATTTTTTTATTTGTATTTATTGTCCGACGTGGATAATAATTCCGCACCAACTGAAAGTATTATTCCGATAATGCATTATTTTATTCTGTAATGACGTCATCATTCGTGCCTTTTTAGGTAATTATCCGTTTCTATGATGTCACAAAAACTAACGGATTAGAGCCTTTTCCGTGTATTAATTCCCTCATTATCGTTAATGAGCCTCCGCCGTGACGTCATTGGAGGCTAAACATATAAATATCAAAATACTAGGGCCCAAAACACAATTTGAGTATCCGCCTTGTCTGCCCCTTAACTAGTGGTGGTCGCTTCTGGGCAATACTCCCTCTCTCTCTCTCTCTCTCTCTCTCTCTCTCTCTCTCTCTCTCTCTCTCTACTTACTCGGGAAACGGTCATCGATGGACTTTCAGTTGGCCGGGGTTGGATTAGATTCATCGGGGATTCGTTGCAGGAGAGGGAAAAGAGACATCGAGGGAGAAGGGGAATTGGGGAGGGATGGGCAGGCTTCATCTGGTTCTCTTGGAGGACGGCGACGTCTACAGCTGCAAGTGCTGCCATACGCAACTCGCACTCAACGTGGATGTCTGCTCCAAGGTGTCGGCTACTCTTCGATCTCCGTTTACCAACCTTGTGCTTAGGAAATTTGCGCGCAATTTAATGTCCACCTCGTGGTTCTTCGTGGCAGATAAATTGTTCCTGCTTTCTCTGGTGATCTCCAGATCGCCGCTACGTTTTTGCTCGTCTCCTCTCCGTGGATGACTGTGATTACGGAAGAAAGCGTGTTATCTGGCCCCGATGTTGCCTGAATTAGGTTTTATTCAATTCCGTGGAGCATCCCCCGTGGTTCTGGGAAATGATCAGCCCTTGTTTTTTCCTCGGATGGCAGGGTGTTAGAGGAGCATCTAATTGAAATGTCGCCGTCTGTCCCAGTAATAATTTTTTTGGCGAAAACTGAGGATGAAGAGGAAAACTCCCATGAATATCTCCTCGGAGGTCTGGCATGACTCGAAGGTGTCTCTCGGGTAAGTTAGGGTCGAAGAGAGGCTGATTTCCACCTCGTGCATTACAGACGCAGCTCTCTGCGTCCTAGATGATTCAAACCCACACGACCCGATAACATATCAGTCTGTAGCAAGCGATCTTGACGATAAAACATCCATAGAAGATGCAGAGGATTAACCAATAATTCAACCAATTTTCACTCATCCTTCTTTTTTTTTCAATTTTTTCCCTTGTATCTTGATTACATTGAATCTATCTCCTGACTCCAGGTGACAGTGTCCACGGTGTAGGATCAGTTGCCATGGTTGATGGTCACTGATCTGGACCACTGGAGATAACTGAAAGAATAATATTTCACTCTGTATGAAAAGAAAACGTGAGCATTTTTCTTCTTCATTTTAATTTAGTTCTATAACTATCAAACACCCACATCGGTGTTGAAAACTAATTACCAAGTAAACATGTTGCATGACGCCAAAATAAACTGAGGTTCTGTGGAAGTTTTCGGGGATAACAGACAAGGATAGCCTTCTATTTTTGTTTTGATCTTTAATGGGAGTACCGGTGGCTAACAGTGTTTACCCAAAAAATGGGTAGACCTCGAATTATGAAGCAAAAAATGGATAATGCATAATAAAGGGAGGGGTACGAAGAATTTAGAGCTCACCATAGAAATGGAGTGGAAACACTACCGTTAATTCACCAATATCCACCAATTGTCAAAGTTTTAATACATGGGTGATCTTACGAATATTTCTCGAGTTGATATCTGAACTTTTCCCTTGCATCTGTGAAGGTATGTTGCAGTGTTTCATCTCATTATTTATTTTGAACGCCGTCTTATATATCAACAAGACTTCTAGAGCATTTTTTTCGCTCGCTGTCCACTTACACACAATCATTGTAAAAATGTTATTCTGGCCGATTGATATGTGAACGAATGAAAGATCTTGTCCACGTGTGTTGTTTGAGGAAAAACTTCCAATCTACAATATCAATGTGGGTCGAATAAGTCATGAAGCTAATCCCATTGCATATATCTATGTTTTGACAATTCTGACAGGGTTTTCTTTTGTCATCTTGCCCAGCATTTCCAATGCAGACATGGAAAGGCTTATCTCTTCACTAAAGTGTAAGTTCCTCCCATAACCTTGCCCACTGAGCCTTAAGGAAAATGCCGCCTAAACCATGTCAAATAGATGCACATATGCTCAATGATGCTAATTTGCGTAGTTTGACTGGGCTATATTCTTTACTCCTCTCATTCTGTTTAATCGGTGGAAACCAACGTTCAATATACAGTATGAGATTATAGATACTGTTGCACTAGAGTTACGGTTTGAAAATTTTTAGGAAGGCATTATTTTGTGAGGGTTTTGGGTCGTATATTAGGGCGGGTCCAAGATTGCCAGGATTTAATTTAATCTTTAAACTTTACTTATCCCTGTATGGTTCCTAATTGGCCAACATTAATTACGTGTTTCTGGGAACTAAATGCCCGGTTTCCTTTCATCACTTGCACGAACCATTCAGTCTCCGAATTCTCGTTCTCAGCTCTTACTTCAGCTCATATTTGCTATCTTTCTTGAATCTTACCCGACTAACAGAACTTCAAGTTTCAGAGAAGGGTTTTGGTAGAAGCATGTTTTATTGAGGCCACTTACGTTACTTCCATGAAAAAAAACTCTTCAAGTGTGTGTTTTCTGACTATTATGGTCGCCCTGTGTTGGGCTCGGCGACTCTTCTCCGGCATGAAAATGGAATGTCTGGTGTGAGATTTAACTCTTACGGATGCAGATACGAGTGCATAATGATCAAAATTTTGCGTCAACTTATCAATTTTTCATCAAATTGGTCTCCTCTCCCTTCAATCTCCTTTGTTGGCGAGTGGTCCTTTGACTTGACCTGCTGACCTTGGATCTCCCTCTTGAATCATCTTTGTTCTCGGAGGGAATAATCGTGCTCTCCATACTATCTAGCAACTCATTTAAACGAGCGAATCGGAGAAGAAAATGAAGAAATTTTGTCATGAGGAACCGTATTTCTGTTCATGTTCGTTTGCCTTGTGCTGCCAGTGTGAATGTGTTCGTCGGAAAGAAGGAGAAGCGGCTGATGACGACGGGGATGCACACCGTTGCCGACATATTCTGCGTGTGCTGTGGCTCCATTCTTGGGTGGAAATATGTGCCGTCCCCACCCTATAATACTACTGCCTTTGTTGACCTTGCTTCCGCCGCCGCTGCTTCTGATTCCTCCCCCCCTCTCTCTCTCTCTTCTTTTCAGGAGGCCGCTCATGCCAAGAAAGAAAAGTACAAGGAGGGGATGTTCATCCTCGAGAGGTACGTAGCTGCAAGCTTCTCGCTCTCTCACTCTCTCTCTAGAAAACCGACCCAAATGGAGACATTGCAGGTTCCATGTTCTTGGGCCAGACGGATCTAATGACTGTGAGAGAGAAGAGACGCCGGATGATGAGGACGATGAAGATGATGCGGATGCAACCGAAGCAGGTGATTCGCTTAGTTTGCTGTAAGTGGGAAGAGGCTGGGAATGGGTGTAGATTCCATCTAATCATCCTATTCCAGTACTCATAAATTCGTCGAGGATTGATTCTGCCTCTAGAAACAGAAGAGAAACCCAGTGTAGAAAATTCCTCAGGATGGAAGAAAACAACCGTATTTTTTAGTAATACCTATGGATGGTTGACTTATCCCCACCCAAATTGCCATTTCATGAAGAAAAAGTCAATACCCAGCCTAAGGATCACAGCTCGGCCTGCCCAGGCCCCACATTTCACGAATGCCCATGCGTGTGGCTTTACCCTTTTCATTTAAAAATGTTGAATTTTTTTTTGGGTGACTAGAGAAAATCTCAGGCGCCGTAAACTGGTTGACCACGAGGGGGGAAGTAGTTTTGAATTAGCTGGGCTGGTCTGATCCCGGACTTTGTCTTTGGGATAGAATAAATGCCGAAGAGAGAGGTTCGACCTTATCCTAATCTTGATTGACTGGTACTATCCTACTGCCGATAAGGAGCTTTACGCCGTTCATTAACCCGTAAGAACGGCGGATGGTGATTCTACGTTGACTTTTTGGCCCAGTTTGAACTCGGAGAAGCTCGCCCTTTTCCGGGAATTGTAACTCAACATCTGAATTAATCGAGTCCGATCGAGATTTCCAGTTCCGACCAGAAAAATCCAGACTTGGAGCCCAAGAGTTACTGGTTTGGGTCAACCTATTAAATTAGGATGCGGGTTCCCGGTGGAATCGGTGGGACATGGAAGAGACTGAACGCGGTCGAGCTCTGTGAGGACGCCCGGCACTGGCGAGGAGTTCGTCCGGACCAGCCCACCGCGTTGACCCCGCCGCATCGTCTTCTCCAACCAGTTCTTTCCTTAGCAAGATAGAGATAGATAGAGAGAGAGAGAGAGAGATGTTCCCGTGAGAGACAGCGGATAAGCTCTTGAGGGGTAGATATCTATCGATGATCTGCAGAGCGGACGGTCCAGTCTCGGCCATGGATCTCCGTCGCTCTTCGTTCAGACTAAGAGTCAAAAGATAGAAGGTGGGGGAGGTTTCACGGGGGGGAGACGTCGCTGCTGCGTCTGACTGGGGGGAGGGGAGGGATCCGTGCTACTGAAATAGACGGCAGTAACTGAGGAGTCCATCATCTGGAGGCGGCTGCGGAGTCGTTTTCAAACTGGCGAAGGCAGGAAGAAGCGTGCTCGGGATTTCGTTCATATTCACGCCATGTTGCGTCATACTGATTCATACTCCGGTAAGCGGAGGAGGTTGGGACGGGAAAGCTTCTTTCCATCTCTCTCTCTCTCTCTCTCATCCAGAATAAGAAAGAGGCTTATGAACAAACCCAGTTAATAGAATATCAACTTGTTCACGAAAACATCTGTCTAGACGCATCTAGAGTCCCACCGGGGTCTTAAGCTGCGACATACAGGTGTCCTGAGTCAACCTCTCCGCGCTCCCCCTGAGAGAGAGAGAGAGAGAGATAAGCAATAGCTGACGGTGACCTTGTGTTGTCTCCTCTTCCAAGCAACCCAGAAACTCAGCTCCTGCCTGTGTCTTGTGGCGCCTGCCCGGCTCTCCTTCCACCAAAGAAGCCCCTCTTTGCACGCGTGATGTCGCCATCCCAAGCTCATCCTTCTCCAGCCACAGTGAGTCAGTATACCAGATCATAATGCCCATAAACAATTAATCTGATGGCGTCCGAGAGACGGGTGGAGCCGTGCAAGCAAAAAGAGAGAGAGAGAGAGAGAGAGAGAGTTTTCTGCATCGTGGCTGCAGGTAAAAAGCATATTATAGCCAGCGAAGCCCACCTGTGAGTCATGGCCTCCGTCTCTCGCACGTAACGCCGCCGAAGCGACTGATCTACTCCTCTCCTCCTCTCCTCCCTTACGATGCTGGGATTTCTTAAACCGGCCGGCCAAGTCCCCAAGTGGGAACATCCCCACATGGGAAGGAAGTTCTTCTTGCTTGTTCCTCAGGATACTATACATCCTCTCCCTCTCCGTTGACAAAACTCAACTACGAATACCACCAGCCTGTACTAGTCTCTCTCCTCCTCTCTCTATCTCTCCTTCTATCCACTCTTCCATCCGTCTGGCGTGAGTAAGCAAGGACAAGAAGCATGCTGCCTAATCTGGTCGTGGGGGTCGGTGTATGTACGCATAGGGCCGTACTATATACATCGGGTGGGCCCGACTGACTGGTTTTCGACGTTGACGGATGCCCCAACTAGTTCATCGAACTTCGCCGCCGCCGCAGTCTCGCAGAGCTCTCGACGCCAGCACCGGCGGCGAAGTCGCCGCTTATTTCTATTTTTATATCAACTGCTCGACAAGGATAACTCCCAGTGGCTGACGTTAACCTCTGGACCTCTTCCCGCTGTTCCGCTCTGTGCCATCCCGGACACGGGGGGGTGGGGGGCGTTGACTTACTCCCCCGCTCGTAGATTACACGGGTCCCCAGACCCACCGCCTTTCGAATACTGAAGAGAGATATGAGAAGGTCGAAAGGAAGATGAGACGATCAGTGGTCTACCCCGATCGTCCACTGAATGAATCCCATATAGAAAGATAAATGGATAGATAGAGATAGATAGATAGAGCGAGAGAGAGAGAGAGAGAGAGAGAGAGAGAGAGAGAGAGAGAGAGAGAGAGAGAGAGAGAGAGAGAGAGAGAGAGAGAGAGAGAGAGAAACTGTTAATCTTTAGTGAATAATGTTAATATATTAACGTTAAAGTCGTGATTAAGAAGTGCTGATTACGTGCTTGGGATTTAAGAAATCAAGGATTCGACGTCGTGAGACGGACGGTAAGCTGAATCCTATTTTTCTGAGAGCGCGAAACGGACGGAGGAGCGACTTTAGCTAACTGGACGTGTACAGTGTAAGCTTCGAACGCATTCAGACGACCACCCCACCATGACGTTGACCCCCCTCCCCTCTCTCTCTCTCTCTCTTTCTCCCTCCCTCCCTCTCTCTCCCTCTCTGTCAATGTGTATAGGACGAGCGATAGGACAAGAAACCTCTTAGAAAAGTGGAGTGACGAAACCGTACTAATTACGAAGTAGAAGTCGGCTATGGCGGTGGTGAGCTCTATCCTACCTCGCTTTCTCGCGGGAAGAAGACGGCACCCGAGAAGCACAATTACACCCGCGTAGCCAAAAACCTTACCGAGATGGCACTTTGCCGGCGGCTACTCCTTTCACACGGGGAGACATCAAAGCCGTACGATAAGCTCTTTCACTTGCCGCCAAGAAGCCCTCACCTCCCCTCTTCACTCACTTCAACGTCAACGATTGCGTGCAACGTATGGCAACTCTCTCTCTCTCTCTCTCTATCCGTGCCCACAGTGTTGGTGAACCCACGACGTTTGCCACCGCGTCAGGAGTGCAGAGAGATGAGCGGTGGAGATCCTCTCCAGGCCCGCCGTCGCAAAAACAGCCCTATTAGGGAAAGTCAAAGTATCGTTGAACAGAGTGTCTCAAACGCGTACGGAGCCGTACTTTTCTTACTAAGCTGCGGTCACTGTTGATATGCCCCCCCCGCAAATCCCCCCCCCCCCCCGCTACCAGGGGCTCTCCAGCGTTGACTCGCCATCCTCTTTCCGTACCCAGCAAGCTCATTGAAGCTTCTCATTCTTTATAACCTCTTCTGCTCTAAGCTCTTCTGCTCTAAGCTCATCCCCCCCCAACCCCCCGGGTGCTATCGTTAGCATTAGGTCAGTCTTACGCGTCTGCTCTTCTCGGTCGTCATATCGACGTGGCTTTAAAAAGGGTGGGAGGGAGAGAAGTCATCTATAAAACGAGGGCAGGTCCCTCTACAGTTCTGGATTCGCTTCTTCTTCCTCCCTCGTATCCCTCCTCTCAACTCCGTCTTCATCTTCTTCTTCGTCTCCTCGTTGGGTTTCTTCGAGTGAGAAGGCATGAAAAGGGCGAGAACGGGAGAGGAGGGAGAGCTGGACAGCGTGAACATGGCGAGCGTGCTGATGCTGCTATCCCGCGGCGCCGGCAGCGAGGAGGCGACGCACCAATCGGGGCGGGTCTTTGAGTGCAAGACATGCAACCGGAAGTTCCCGTCCTTCCAGGCGCTGGGCGGCCACCGCGCCAGCCACAAGAAGCCGCGGCTCACCGCCGGCGACCAGAACGGCGCAGCGCAGCAGGCCCACGCCGGCAAGCCGAGGGTGCACGAGTGCTCCATCTGCGGCCTCGAGTTCTCCGTCGGGCAGGCGCTGGGCGGCCACATGCGGCGCCACCGAGCCGCCGCTGAGGGCTTCACCCTCGCGCTGCTTGAGAAGAAGCCTTCCGCCGTCGAGAAGGAGAAGAAGGGCGGTGCCGCCGTCCCCGCCCCCCGGTGCCTGGACTTGGACCTGAACCAGCCACCGACGGATAGCGAGATGGACTTCCGATCTCTCCCTTTCGGCCTCGGTTTTCCCATGGTCGGCTGCTTGTATTGATCCCCAACCCCTACCTTCCCGGCGTCGATTTTTGCTTATTTGATTATCTTTTTTGTTGATCATGTATCAACTCCACATGCTGTTGAAGATACCCTCCTCCCTTATTCTCTCCTCACGATAATTCCACCTTCCTAGATCAGCAGCGCTGTAGCGATAGCGACCTGCACCGACTGGCTGGGCTGCCTCTATTAATCCAGACTCTGCTTGCTGCTCAAGATCAAAGAAAACCCGGAAAAAACCCATCTGTGTGTACATATCAATCCTAGAGAGAGAAAGCGCGGGTTGACTTCTGGCAAGCTCAAATATGCCTCAAAGAGTAGTCGGGTCTTTCTTTTCGGCGTAGATCTTAAAGTCCAAGCCAGTCAAAATAATAGATTCTCAATTTCTTATTCACAGTCTCAATTAAATGGGGACAAAATAAATGAGATAATCTGAGAGGAGATTCTTGCGCGGTTTTCTGGTTCTTGAATACCAGGGGCTCAGAGTCAACTCTCTGAGTCAGATTTCTGGACGAACCCGCTGCTCAAGTCGGACTCATGGGCTCGTTCGGCTTCTAATTAAGTGATGAGAATGACCCCGTTGAATGGAGGAGGGGCTGCGGAGGTCCATCATCTGACCTCTCGATCCCCTGCCTTATAGGGCCCACCCATAGCACGAGACGTCCACTTCAAAACAACCCCCAAGTAAAAGATTTTACTTACAAAAGTTAGCTCTCTCTCTCTCTTCCATAATTCTTCGTCGCTGAAGCCATTAGGCCACACTGGAGGAGGATAGTCTCCATGCCAAACGAATGGAGACCACCCACCCCCCGGCCCCCATATAGCCAAAGGGCTCATTGACCAAAAAACTTACGTTCGGGCCAGGCCCAGAGATGAAGAAAGCATAGCATTTAACCTTTGCATGAGAACCTGAGATCTCATGAACAACAAACTACCTAGCTCAACTCTCTCTCTCTCTCTTTCTCCTGGCCAAACGAATGAAGACTACCCACCCGCCGGCCCTCCAGACAGCCACTGCTCCCGTTGACCAAACAACTGGCGTTGGAGCCAGGCACAGAGATGAAGAAAGTATAGCATTTAACCTTTGGATAATAACCTGAGATCTCATGAACAAACTATCCACCTCAAGTCTCCGGGTAGTTTGACCGGGAGAAGAGGCTCAAAAAAGGAAAGAAAACAAAACCCGATTAAGTAACTTCAAGCAGGTTCTCGGGCTTCCTTCCGTGGATCAGTCCCCATTGTTTCTTATTGCCCTCTGGATGAGCTCCTTCTGCTCTTGCTGGTGGACCTTCAAGAACCCAGTGGCGGTGGACGCCGATGGCGGGCGGCCGATGTACTTGATGTCCTCCGTACCGCCCCTGCCTGAACCTCTCATGGCCGTGGCGAGCCGGGGGGAGATGTAGCTGTAGGCCCCCATGTTCATCGGCTCCTCCTGGCACCAGACAACCTCTGCATCTGCAAACCCAATCCCCCACCACCCCACCCAGTTAGAATTTTTCTTGATCCGTCCATTCATGTCGAAGTAATGAGAATTCTGGGTCAACGGTGCATGAGCAACCCAATGAATGTGCCGAGATCTTCCAATGATGGGCTATGGCATCAAGAACCCAGATGACCCAGATAGCCCACAGTAAGAAAAATTGCAGGAATCGGTTTGATCGCCACATACTTGGGTACCGTTTGAGCTCCCTCTGGACGAGGTCGTAGGGGAACGGGCACAGCTGCTCCACCCTGCAGATCGCCACGTCCTTGGCATCTACGGCCTGCCGCTCTTCGTCGAGGTCATAGTACACCTGCAAGTTATGAGGGGATATTGTCTGAGACACACACCATGGAAGACAAGGAGCTGATCGACGAGGGCGATCACCTTCCCCGAGCACAGAACCAGGCGCCTGATCCCATCCTCGAGGTCGGAGTGGTCGCTCTGGTCCTTGATCAGGCGCTTGAACCGGGTGCCCTGCTTGTCGAATCCTGGGTGACCCTGGACATCGTCAAATTCAGAGAGATTGGACTTGCACTTCGGGTGCCTGAGCAAGTTCTTGGGAGCCATCACTATCAAGGGTTTCCGAAACTTCCTGTGAATCTGAAAGCAATGGGGCCTCACGTCACAAGCCAATCTCTGGTATTATAGAACTGGGGCCTCACGATTGTCATCTCCATTACCTGGCGGCGGAGGACATGGAAATAGTTCGCGGGTGTTGTGACGTTTACAATCTGCCAATTGCTCTCTTGGATCTGCTTCCTCAGAGTTGGATCCATCTCAGGTATCACAAAAGGGTTGTCATCGCTCATCTGTTAGGAATTAGGGTTTTACCTTCATCAGCAATCCATGAGACAAACGAAGCTCCGACAGTGAATCATCCTTACAGAATCCAAGCAAGAAGAGGTGAAAATAATCTTAAGAGAGGACTATTGGGTCAATAACCAAGAACCGTATGGCTAGAGCGAGAAGAAAACAGGCACCTTAAAGACACAATGAAAGGAATTTCTTTCGTTTCTATGAAAAGCCATATGCAAATGCCTCTTAGAAGCGGTCAGAAAGATACCCCTGAAAACTATGGATGAAGAATGCTGAATTGCCACTTTCAAATGAAATTATTTTCCTCAATTTCTTTCTCCTGTCGTAAAAGCCAAGAAAAACAGTTTCCAATTTACCCATGAATGTTATGGGGTAAAGAAGTTGAAAGTATGTCACCGAACTGAGATAAGATAAGAGGATGGTACTCGAGAAGAAGAAAAAGAAGAAGGAAGAAAGATTTAGAATAGGAAAGAAGCACTGTTAGAGAAAAAATGCACGCGGGGTAGTGAAGTGGAACGAGACCTGCAGGTAGCGCTCCAATCTCGCAGATGAGTGTTCAGGGCCTTGCCCATCATACCCATGAGGAAGCAGAACTACGAGCCCAGTTTGCCGCAGCCATTTGGACTCACCGCTACTCAGAAACTGATCAAAGATTACTTGGGCGCCATTTGCGAAATCGCCGAATTGAGCTTCCCAAAGTACTAAAGAATTTGGATTTTCCATTGAGTAACCCAGCTCAAAACCGAGGACACCAAATTCGGAAAGAGAGCTGTAGAATAACAGTAAAAGAAATCAAATCAGATTATGCTAGTCCGCAATTCCTCCTCCTAACGCCCAATTCAAGAAAGCCATAAAAATTAAAATTTTGAGTGGGAGAGGGTGTCGAAAACAATAGATATAAAACACAACAAATCGAAAAACCAATACATGTATAATACAAAATAACATTCTCTGAGCCATTCAAGAAGAGAAATAACTTCAACCTCTAGGAATATAACAATTTTCGAAAAATTTATGCTCCAAAATGTCCAAACGTGAGAAATTCCCTAGAAGATTTGAATACCGAAGGAACATTTATAATAGTTTCATCAGAGAATACTTAGTCTCGGGACTACCAAGAAATATGCAAGGATGGATATGAAGAAACTGAAAATAAAAAAGGTATAACAATCTGCCACTGTGACAGGTGCCACACGTACCGCCACCAGGACGAAATAATAAGCAAAGAAATTGAATCCCGCTCTATTTTCAAGTGAGCAACCGGATGGAGAACAGAAGCAAGCGCAAAATGTACACTTAAAATGATTCACTCCAAATTGAGAAGCAGGAAATGATACGTGCCGAAAAGATATCTAATGCAACCATTCAAATGTTTGCACATCTCAAATTTAACAAGAGAACAACTAGGCAAAACCTGTTGCTGACAGTAAACATCTCTTCGTTCTGGTTGATGATGATGTGGTCCAAAGGACAGTGAATTTCCCCAGTTTCTTGGTCATGAACTACAGCATGTCGATGGCTGAAGGTGCCTCTTTCAACGTCCTGCCCACTCAGCCTTACATGGTTACCTTCCACCAAAAGTGTGGCAAAAGCCAGTGCTTCCGCAACTGCCCAATCAACACCTTCACCTGTTCGAATCATCTGGGCACGCTCATCAAAAACCCTCTTAATAACTTTGTGAGGCTTGAAGTTTGGAGGAAATGTGGTGATAGCTTCACCCACACGTTTCAAAATTTCAGGTTTAACACTGCATGCAAGCACGACGCATTACAGAAAGATCTCTACGAGATATGACTAAAACAAAACCTGAAAGAAAAGTGAGAACTTCACAGCATACCCAGTGTTGCGGATGCGGGATATCTGCTCAGGTGATTTGAACCCAGCCCAATAAGCTGACAGCCAGTCTCGCCTATTTGGAATGTTATCTTTGCTATTGTTGAACTCTTCATTCAAGATAGAACTCACTTTGTTGTGTATACTGTCGATATCTTCCTTGGTGATGTGTCCCAGTTCCAAAAGCCCGCTTTCATACATTTGAAGAGCACTGGGATGATTACGAATCACCTGATCATCACAGAAACGCCAGGAAATCAGAAGATTCCATGCGCATTCTCTAGAAACAATATCGTGAGAATCGAAGCTAATGATATAAACTAGCCGAACTGTATTCCAGTTCCCCAAGGTATGTCTAAAAATAAATAGCAGATTAAGATATAGACAAACGCCGTCCATAGATATGGGTATATCATACAACCAATGTTCTAAGGGCAATCCAAATCAAGGTCCCCAAAAAAATATAAAAAATAAATCAATGAGACCTTACAAGAGGGGATATTGAACTCACCTGGTACATTTTAGGTTGTGTGAAAGAGGGTTCATCCATCTCATTGTGCCCAAAACGGCGATAGCAAACAATGTCGACCACCACATCTGTATGAAATTTCTGGCGCCACTCTGCAGCAAGCTCAAAAACATGAACCACTGCCTCCATATCGTCCCCATTCACATGGAAAATAGGAGCATTTAAGGCTTTGGCCACATCTGTGCAATACTGAGAGGATCGCCCGGCTTTCGGATCAGTTGTAAATGCAACTTGGTTGTTCACCACAATATGAATGGTTCCTCCTATTGAGTAGTTCGGGAGGGCACTCAGATGTAGAGTCTCATAAACCACACCTTGCCCAGCAAAACTCCCATCTCCATGAATAAGGACAGCCAGGTTCTTCGTCCTGTCCAGATCATTGGAGTAATACTGCTTTGCCCGCGTCTTACCCATCACAACTGGATCTACAGCTTCCAAATGACTGGGATTTGCAACAAGAGATAGATGAATTCTCTTTCCACCTCTTGTGGGCCGATCATAAGAAGTACCAAGATGATATTTCACATCACCAGTACCACTGTATAAACCGTCCTCGTCGACCGCTTTTAATCCGCCACCACTGAATTCACTAAAGATATGGCGAAGTGGCTTGCGAAATACATTACCCAAAACATTCAATCTACCTCTGTGTGGCATTCCAACAACGATGTTCTCCACACCAAGGTCGGCTGCTCTATCGAACATCTCCTTCATCCCAGGGATCAGAGTCTCTCCGCCTTCAAGCCCAAATCTCTTCGCAGTTACCCATTTGGTAGCGAGGAAGCTTTCAAATAGAGTGCTCCAGATGAGCCTATCGAGAATCACCTTCTGCCGCTCCTTGCTGTACCCTCTTGGATTGACTGTTTCTATCTTGTCTCTTAGCCAGTTACACTGCTCCCTATCAGCGATGTGCATGTATTCATACCCCACACTCCCACAATAAGCCCGCTCGAGTCGGTTGAGGATCGATCGAAGAGTCTGAACTGGCCTGTTTTCAGATAGAAACCCGGACATCCTCCACACGCCGATGAAGAATTCCCTGTCCAGATCCGCCTCGGTGAAACCGTAGAAAGCCGGGTCCAGGTCATGGGGAACCTCACGGACCTCGAGACCAAGAGGATCCAATCTGGCCTTCATGTGCCCGTTCACCTGGTACGCCCTGACGAGCAGCAGCAACCGCATGCTCTCCTGGATCGTCTGCCCTGAAATTCCCGGCGAGGTGGCGGCCTGGCCGACGAAGTTCCGGAAGAAGTAGTCCCACGACTCGTCGACGCTGCTCGGATCGTCTTCCCAGGCCCTCTGGAGCTCCTCCAGGTACATACTGCTCGTGCCATCGAGGAAGCTGTCCGTGAGCCTCGAGAGCGGCACGGGACGAGGGACCGGCGCGGCCTTCGGCCTGAGGGCCGTCGAATGGAAGCCGCAGGCCGACGGCGGGATTGGACGGTGCCTGGTGACATCTTGGTAGGCCTGAGCGAGACCCCTCCTCCTCACGCCATGCCTGGCCACGCCCTGGACGACCCTGAACCAGGCCATATCCGACCGACCTCAGAGGCGGTCGCAGGAGGAAGACGATCCCTTTTCTTAAACCCTAACCTAAAACCCCGGGGTTTTTGAATCCACGAACTAACGGACAAAATCGGCCGTTTTATCCGTCCAACTCTCACGAACCCGGTTCGGCCTTTAACCCCCCACCCCCCCAAACGAACCGGGCCCCGCCCAAGCCTCCAGCATCCGCCGCCTTCCCAGCTGAGAGACAAGAAGGCGGGTTGACTAACTGGGCCATTGACTCTTGACTTGAAAAAGTCAAAAAAAGCTCAGCTGGTTGATAAGTCAGCGCCGAATTCTATTCCCGGGACGAGCACCAAGTCTCCAGTACATGAACAATATACACCACTACATATACATTTAAAGAAAGATGAGAATTTCTGCTACCTATGGATGAGCTGCTGGAAAGAATGAGTGAATCATCCCACCATTGGAGGCTGAGAGCGAGCTACTCAGGAGCTGCAGCAGGTTGACTTCGGCGGAGCTCCAGCGTCCACCGCCGCCTGGCCCGCTCTGTTGATGTTGATCATCCGATCCTGAGAGAAGAAGAAGATTGGCAGATTCTTCAAGCACAGCTTCGGAATCACAGGGTGGGAGAGAGAGAGAGAGAGAGAGAATGATCAAGAACGAAGAACTTGCCTCGGCCTTGGAATCCGTCTCCATGAGCCTCTGCTTGATGTCCCTGGCAATGGAGAAGAAGACCTGCTCCACGTTGAGATTCGTCTTGGCGCTCTGCAGAGGACGGTTTCCGAAGCAGGTGGGGATCAAGAAAGGGAGGATTTTTAGAGGAAATGGGAGGGGGGGGAGGAGGGGCGGTACCCACCGTCTCGAAGAACGTCATCCCGTATTCATCCGCGAGGGCCTGGCCCTTTGAAGTGGGCACCGCCTGGGGAACGTCGATTCGATCAGAGAAACGAATGGAGAAGTTCTGGCAGAGATGGCGGAGGGGGGGGCTCGGCTCACCCTCTTGCTGTCGTCCATGTCGGCCTTGTTTCCGACCAGAATCTTGTTGACATTGTCGGAAGCGTGCTGCTCGATGTTCCGAATCCAGTTCCGGATATCTGCAGGAGCATCGAGAGAGCTGAGCAGAGAGGGGCGGGGGGGGGGAGATGGAATGGGAGCAGGGAGGAGGTGGGTACTGTTGAAGGAGGACTCATCGGTCACGTCGTAGACCAGCAAGATGCCCATTGCCCCACGATAATAAGCTGTGCCAGAGGAGATAGAAACATTGAGAAAGTAGTAGTACGAATCTCAGAGAAAAAGGAGTACAGAGACGACCAGTTGTGATGGTTCTGAACCGTTCTTGGCCGGCCGTGTCCCAAATCTGCAGCTTGACTCGTTTCCCATCCAAGTCGATGGTTCTTATCTTGAAATCGATGCTACAAAAGAAGAAATAATTCTAAGATGGTGTATGGTTTAAAAGAGGGCAAAGATGGGAAGCCAATGAATCCGGTGAAGGAAGCTCACCCAATCGTTGTGATGAAACTGGTGGTGAAAGATCCATCTGAGAAACGCAAAAGAAGGCAGCTTTTACCCACCCCTGCAATAGCGAAACGTGTTGGCATGATGAAAAATAAAGGGCAAAGGTGTGGCGAATGAGTGCAATCAGGAGCATCAGGGCTTTAAATCGCCAGATGAAATGGATTCTCCACTCGAAATACAATCACTCATATCAACAGGCCTTTTTTAAGAGAATTTTGTTTGACCCAGTTTTAATATAAGTTATTTTTGTGCCTAAAAGATTCCTAGCTTCGGGAAAGTGACTAGCAAGATTAATCAACCAGAAAATCAACAAAAGAAAATGATCCAATCCAATTAGTAAAATAGAATTGCATCAGTCTCAGATATGTGTCACCAACAAGTACAAATTCAACTATAAGTTATAGTAAATCACATCTATTTTACACTATGAAGTATTAAATTATAATTTGGATTCGCTTTCCATGCGTATTAAAAAGTAAAATAATGAACAACTTAACATTAAACTGTAAGATACGACCTTGGGTTACGAATTCTATTGGTAGAAAAGGGATGAAAAATTTTAACACTGGTTTTACGTATTCTACCAGATCTATACAGAATCAGACTCATTATCACCTAAACTCGTCATTGAAACTCGAATGTCTTTAAGATGCCTACAGCCTCATGTCTTCTGTAAGGTTCTGGGCCCAGAACCTTGTTCCTTCGTGTGAGGGGTGTCACACCCACAACTTGTAAATTTCTTACTATTATAAAATGCTTCCAATGAGACAGCAATCTGTCAAAGAAATAGAAAAAAAAAATTAAAAATCATATTTTAGCAATACTCGTAAACTCTATGTTCCAATATGCCTCAGCAGCCTGTTTCAATAAGACCTCCGCGGCCTTTCAAAAATCTACAGTTTTTTCTCCTACGTGGGAACTGGCTCCCCCTTCCTCCGTTCACGTATGCAACTTTTTGATGACTTGTGATTAGTTAGAAATAGGATTCTCTCTCATTATCCACTACAATCCCCAGTCACATACCTCAAACCACTCCCTCTGCTAGATTTTTCACTTGCATCCTTACCCTCGTCTAATAGAACATAGGGGCAAAATCACTTATTTCATGGCAAATGTTAAAGTATAATTCCATGGGCCAGCAGCTTGTAACAGTTATGTGCGGTGCCCATCCATCCCATGAGTCTACTTGGCCACAGTGAGGATTGGCATCAGCTTCCCTAAAAACATGAAGAACACGACGGAAGATACATATTCTTCCCAGTATTTAAGCTGAATAACCGGAAATTTTCCCTAGAACTGAATTCCGCACACTATGCCCAAAATCCTGACCGCTGGGTCATTTCAATGCCCTCTCCTTGCGATTAAGCTCGTAACTGAGAAAGAAAACAGCCTTCATACTATAAGACCCGAAAACAGCCGACCAAAGGAAGACCTCCTCCGGTCAACCAGAAATACAAATACGTCGCACCGAGACTGCAGAATCTCGATCCTAGTTAATGCCTCGCAATTCATTCCGTATAATAAAACCCTTGATGAGGCGATTCATCTGTGTCCAAAGCAAATCTGAGCGTCATGGCTGTCAAGGGAGAAGAGATTGGCGAACCACTTACCGCTGTCACCGATCAGAAGCAGCTTTACGAGATAATCATAGTCCGCCGCCCTAGCCCTGGCAGGTGGAGCAGCCATCTACACACCAAACCAGAATGAAGCTCACACAAGATCCGTTCCTGCAAACAAATAAACACCAAAGCAACAGGGGCCAGTGAAGACGAAAACTAGCAAGGCGATCACAATCATCACGCACGTACAGAGGATCGGGACGGGGAATAAGTACCGAGAAAAATGTATACTCTAAGATCTCGAAAGAAATGAGAGAGAAAGAGAGAGAGAGAGAGAGAGAGAGAGAGAGAGAGAGAGAGATGGGAGGACGATAGACGCGTAGAACAAGGTCCCCCAGTGCCCGGGCGTTGAACAGCTCTCAGAGGATATTCAGATTTTCTGAGACTATATTTTAAAAATACTCATACTTTATTATTATTATTATTTTATTTTTTACAAACTATTCAGACGTGGACAGTTCCACAGTTGCTGGGGAGCTGAAAAACTAAGTCAGGATTATTTTATGAAAACATATAAAAATATTTAATTTACACATAGGTGCACCATAAAAGTACAATTGTAAATATGACCCTCTACACAACCTTCCTCTCGACACGCCTATTGGCCTGTTAGATGGGGCATATAGTGGGCCCGGATATCGGCCCAAACTATGTTTCAAACCGACGGGTTGGTGGGCTACACAGAGTTTAACTAGGCCCGACTCATCGAGGCCCGCATCGAACTTTTTCAAGGCCCGGACCCAGTCCAGGTAAAGTTATTGTAGCTATAGTCACCTGTGAGTTCACTTGATGCGGGCCGGGATGGGCTCGCTTCGCGAAAGAGGCAGAATCTTATCCCACCGTCCACGTGGCTCGCGCGCGCTGACGCCTCCCATATGGATCACCCTCCACCTTTCGTTCATCCGCAGGGCAGAACCCTAGTTTCTTCTTCCCCGTCGCAGAAGAGAGAGATAGAGAGACTGCAGAGGGTGGTGGTGCTAAACCCTAGATAATGGGTTCCTTCAACAACGGCAGCTACACCGGCTCTTCTTCCTTCGACAACCTCCTCATCCAGAATCTCATGGGGAGGCTGCAGCTCCAGCCGCCGTATCTCGGAACGAATTCCCTGCTCTCCCAGAGCATCGACGAGTTCCTGTTCCAGGACGACGCTCTCTCGGCGGAGGACTCCGATGAGCCCCTGTACGACGGCGGCGAGGGGAAAGGCCTCCTCGCCAGGGAAGAGGCCAAGCTGGAGAGAGAGATTATACGGATCGTCCGCTCCGGCGCCGCGCAGGAGATCCTCAAGCCCAACTCCGGCCAATCGGTCGCCGTCGGGAGCCACAACATCTGCGTCGGCTACCACCAAGAATCCGGATCGGAATACCGAGTGTGGGAGTGGCATGGCCATATCATGCTCTTCGACGAGGAGAATGGTTACGTCCCGGAATACATCTATGGGAATTACTTCGAGAGGATTCCGGTTTCTAGGGTACCAAAGGAGGTCGATCATGGCGGCAGCAATGGGGGGGAGGATGACGAGACGACCAAGGGGAGCGAAATCTCCGGGTTGAGGGAACTGGTGGGCGACGACAAGGATCCAATCAACGGAGGCGGGAGGGTTCTCCACAGGAACTCTGTGAATTCCAGATCGGCGAAGTAGTCGATGCGGATGAACCGATGCTAATCCTGCAAACGGTTGTAAGAGATTGGTACAATAATCTCCATATCATATCACAACCCTCTTCTCAATTGCATCTCAAATCAGATATGCTTCTCGATCAGTTCTTATCACACAGTTTTTTTTTTCTTCATTTGATCGACTGCCATTCTCAAGAAAATCGCGCAGTGGAGCTTGAGATGAATGTAAGAAGCTACCCACTGAGATTTATCAGAGGCCCTCTCGGGCTCCAAGAACTGCCCCTTATCTCCTCCTTCCCAGATGCTTATCATCTGTAGACTGCGTTGACTAAATCTTCATGGTGGTTAGATTGACATGAAAAATCTCCTTTTCTAGCTTTGAAATATGATTTATCACCACCTCTGGGTCAACGAGATTGGTTCTCTTTCAAGAATGGAGAGAAAGCATGAACATGACTGATTATCTTTGATTACTTTAGATCAGCTGAATCCCAGCGTGAGAATTCTAGACTCAGCTTGCTCTGATTCATCTGGGGATGGATGGATTCGACCCACTAAGCGCTATAAGGTAGGTCATCCTCCACTTCTCAGCTGATTGCTCTTGAATACATCTGTCTGGACATTCTTCTGATTTTAGAAAGAAGTTCATGGCCGTCTCTCTTGGACCAATGCAGTAGTTTTGACCATTATACTGCCGTAAATGGCAGCCCTTGAGGAAGGGGAGTCTCTCTCTCCTCCTCTCTCTCCCTCTCCTCTCTCTCTCTCTCCTACTGCCGCTAGTCTGGTCAGGCATGCTGAAAACCAAAGAGGAGTTATCTCCTGGGACAATAAATTAGTTTAAGCAGTTTATATTGGAAAAAAATATGTTAAAATGAAGAAAGGATATTTTTTGTAAATATATTAGTTGGGTGGTCAAATTAAAACTCTGTACAGACGGGAGGGCTGGATTTCTTTCAAAAACCCTTGACCCGCTGTCCCATCTCTAGCATCATCAATCCGACGATGATGATGACCTACCGCCACGTGTCGGCATCCCGACGATGATTGATTAGGACGAATCCTCGACTTGGGTTGCTTGGATCCGATTCTCTACCATCTGATTCGGGACGTATTCAAGCAGAGCGGATTCTACCTCGTTGAGAATCGATTCTGGTTAGTAAAATCCAGTCGACTATACCAAGTTAGAATTACACGGCCTACCAAGGACGAGAATAGGATCCAGCCATTCATTTGTCCGTCATCCAACGGTGTATATGCTGCCAGCGTAATGATCCGGATCTCTTGGTTCGCCCAATCAGAGCGTATGTCCATTCGGTATATATATTCCCAGGTGGTGCTCTGTCGCTCGTCGCTTTCATCGCCTTTCTGTTAAGAAAGCTGCTGCTTCTTTTTCCTCCGTCTCGCACAGATCTCGAGGTAATGGCACCCAAGGCGGAGAAGAAGCCCGCCGCCGACACGGCAACGGAGGAGAAGAAGACGGCGGGGGAGAAGGCTCCCGCAGAGAAAAAGCTGAAGGCGGGGAAGAGGTTGCCTCCCAAGGACGCATCCGGCGAGAAGAAGAAGAAGACGAAGAAGGGCGTGGAGACGTACAAGATGTACATCTTCAAGGTGTTGAAGCAGGTCCACCCCGACATCGGCATCTCCAGCAAGGCGATGGGAATCATGAACAGCTTCATCAACGACATCTTCGAGAAGCTCGCTCAGGAGGCTTCCCGTCTTGCTCGATACAACAAGAAGCCCACCATTACCTCCCGGGAGATTCAGACCTCCGTCCGCCTCGTCCTCCCTGGCGAGCTGGCGAAGCATGCAGTATCTGAGGGCACCAAGGCGGTCACCAAGTTTACGAGCGCCTAATTTGGTGCCGGATCACATGATAGTTCAAGGCTGCCCGACACTGTAGATCTCTAGGTTTTACTTCGACACGGAGTTTGATCCCCATCATACGCCATTTCTCTCTTACCTTCTCTGAGCCACGATGATGGGAGATGTTTTTTGATACATGTACATCCCTACGCAAGATTTTTTTTCCTCGTCATGCTTTCTCGACTCTTCAATCCAAATAACTTTGCTGTTACAAGAGAGGAGGGATGAACGACTTTATGCTGTACTTGATCTTGCACCATGGTTTCCGATCAATTGTTCTCTACAGTGGATGAGATTGCAGAGTATACATCATAAACTTACTAGATCTTCAATTGTTCTTATAAAAATTTACATTCTCGTAGAAGATCATCACCATCTTAACAAGCTCAGCCGGTGAATCGACCTAAAGCTGAACTTGAACATTAAAATCTTCGCTAATGTCTACATTCTTGATCATTGGTTTTCTAAACATATAATTTGGTGTCCGTTGTCTGCAGGTTGAACCTTTTCCAGGATGTAAATTCATAACAGCACGCAATTTCTTTGGGTATAATATCAAGAACCGAAAATTACAATGTACGACGTCTCTTCAACTGTAGCACGTGGCATTACTCAAATCAGGGAAGAACCCTCTCGTAAGCTCCGAATTAGGATGAGATTAATGGTACGTACCACATCACCGCTGTAAATTCATTGCTCGGTTTTCCCGTACAGACTGGCATACAACCAGTCCTCCAGAGAAAAGCCAGAAGAGAGAGAGAGAGAGAGCTGATATAGCTACATACGTAGGCCTTCTTAGGTGATTGTGGGCGATGGTGACGCTATTGACCAGTTTACCGATCTCCTCGTCATTTACCGATCTACATACAACCATTGACGTGCCTAGGTTGCTCTCTGTTGTTCTTCTGACATGAACCTGAGGTCCACTCCCCGAAAAACCCATTGACTCCGTCTCCCACTATTCGTGTGATTTCTCACAGAGTTTGCTCGAGGAAAGTAGCAAGGAAGTGCTTTAGGTCTGGACAAATTAGGCATCTATTTTTTCTGGCAAGAACTAATGTGGAAGAATTCTAAATATAGAATTTATTCCGTCATTCAGCTTGAGAGAAACTAATAATGAAAAACTATATCATTCAAATATATGTAGATAAATAAATATTAATAAACAAAGTTTGATTGTTTTAATGCGTTCACTCAGCTGCTAGAAGTCTAAAGCCTCTACATATTTTTTCATTAGCTTCTGATGGGAGTGAGTTTCATGGATACATCAAGATTATACAGCAACATACGGCTTTGACTCCAAAATCAAGGCTTAGACAAGGATGAAAAAAATACATGTTTAAATCTACAAGAGCTGATTTGAATGATATTTGAATACACAAGGAATAAAATTTATTGACTTTCGTGTGTTCTTAGGGCAAAAATCAATTGGAATGTCGTTGAAGATTGAGTCAACTTGGAAAGTAAAGTCAAAATACATTAGAAACTAAGACTCTAACTCATTATTCGCTCCCTTTTTTGGGCCTAGTTTTCCTTGTAATTCATGTTTCAGTTTTCTAGAATGGTTGGCCCATCAGTTTCGAGCTTCTTTTTATGCTATTCTACTTTAGTTTTCATTATTTTGGGCCTCCAAACATTTGTTTTCCACGTTTTTACGTTTTAGTCCCCCTTGGTAATAATAATTTGAAAAAAACCCCTTTTTTTTAACGACAATGCTTGCAACCTTTGTCTAATAATCTCAGCGTGTTCTAGGTAGACCCTCTCTCTCTCTCTCTCTCTCTCTCTCTCTCTCTCTCTCTCATCATCTTCCGGTCAAGCCCGTTGGGGATCAAGAAGATACGGACAGAGGTTTGTATGTGGCTCTGCATCGAAGCAGCGAGCGAGAGGGTTCTACGAAGCTGCGTCGTTTTCCCACAGTAGTCATTTCCCAAGGATTTCCATGCCCTGGCAATAAGGAAAAATAATAGAAAAATAATAAAAAATAATATGCCACTGTAAACGCTGAACATTCTTCGTAACCACGCCAATGCGAGAAGAGACTTTTGGCGATGGTAGAGATCAGGTAGAGAGCAGGCCAGCAATTACACTCACTGCGAAAGTCACTGGATCCCCGAGTACGGCGGCGAGGACGACCGGAACTGCTATCTTAAACGCCTTCTTAATCTTCGCTAGATTCCCCTCGGAACGGCCCTTCTTTTCCGTGAAGACAACCTCGGGCATCGCCATTCTCTTCTTCTCCAGAAAGTTATCCTGGAGCATATCCTTCATGCAGGATATATGAACGGCGACGGTCTTACAGCTGGAGACGTAGCACCACGAACCCTTTCCACTCTTCCCATTCATCCAGCCGCACTTGCAGCAATTGAAGGGCATCTTCTTCTTGAGCTCCAGTTTCAGGCCCTCGTAGGAAAGGAATCGGGGGAGGTTCGCGCAGGTGGGGTGCAGGTCATTGCCGCAGTCATAGCAGTGGTAGAAGAAGCCCTTTGCAAGTTTCAGGCAGGCGTCGCAGTAGTGCTCATCGGGTATCCGGCCAGATTGCACCCGTTGGAATCTACACTCTTTGAAGAAGTCGTGCTCGAGAACCGGTTGAGGATCGGCGCAGTGGCGATGAAGGCGGAAGGTGCAGGGCTCTTCGCACGAGTAACAGGAGTGGAACCCTAGTTCCTTGCAGCCGTTACACCGGAAAGGAGCTTTACTAGCCTTATACTTGAGCTCCTTTCGGTCAATATCACAGATCACTGGCTGACGGCTCATCTTACAGAGAGGAGATGATGATACTAACACGAGGAGAGGATAGAAGGAGAGAGAGAGAGCCGAGGGCAAACTGCGCAAACAGTTCTGCGACGCCTGCGGGGAAGATGCGAAGGGAAGATTCTTCTATTAAACTTTGACTGTGACGGATGAAGAGTGAAGCTCGGCAACATAGTACGTCAGAAGGTATTCCCCTCGGATGAAGTCATACCCGTCGCCATCATCCTCGAAGAGAACTCCTTCGGCTCTCCCTATGAAAGAAATGGTGTTAGACTACCCTGGGAAACAAACCTTATATTTTCATGAACAATAACAAAAATGTATAGATGAGATTTTTCCTCTTTTGGCCAAGAAGTCGAGCTATAAAAGAAAAATTCCCCTGGGAACCTCGTTATTTTCCCTCTCCAAGGCAGAATCATGCGTCGGAAATGAAATAAGAACAACAATTCATGAAAACGTGGCCTTTTCTTCTTATTTATGAAGAATAGATCAAGGAAAGAACAATGCTCCATGAATTATTTTAAGGTGTGGCAAAGAGATTGATATGTCAAAAAGATATCCGTGAAGAATTCACAAATCAACGAGTAGGCAATGAAAAAATCACAAATAAAAAATATTTCGGCTGTTTTTTTTTTATGAATTTCAAAGAATAACCTGCTTGCATATTATTAAAATACATGCAAATGCCTATACCAATTTTCGACTGCCCTATCTCTCCATGGAAAAATCTAGGGCATCTTTGCGAATTAATTTTCAGGAAGAAAAATTTACACATAATGACAGTTTAAAAACAAAAATTAAGACATTATTAAATTTATAGATTTTTCAGAAAAATCTAAGCTCATTTTTATGTTATGAAGAATATTGTTTCATAATCAAACATTAAGAACAGAGCTCTTGAAGGCTCTCTTTTCTCTTCTCCTTTTTTATTTTATTTTTTTATGGGGGGAGTACAGGTGGGTAAAAGGCTTCCACCATTGTTCAGGCAGACAATCTCAGTCCTCTTTCGCTCGTCAATGTCTCACAGAACCCAAAGGGCAGGAAAGGAGACTAAAATAGAAGTTTTGGAAATGAATCTATTTGTGACCCACAAGAAAAAAAGAATTTATCGGCATTGCCATCTTCACTAATAGTGAAACTAACAATTAATTCGAATGAAAATAAATCAAAATCAAAACCGAAAGACTGTACATGATAACAGAAGATTACCATTTTCGTCCAAAGCAATCATTAGAGACAGTTCATCAGTTCGATTTGCTTCTCCAACATGCTGAATAGCGGGGCCCATAGGAATTATTGACCCCCCTTGTAAATATAGAATTGGCAAATCCTGTGTTCAGGAAATGATTACCATAAAGTAGCGTAACCTATAAGCTAGATAAATCATATTGATAAAAACTTTAGACATAAATTTGTTGCGAGTCCTTACTGGATGTGAGTCGCAAAAATCAAAACGCAACCAGATGCCTTTTGGCAACACGAATTGCAACTCATCAGATCCTTTTTCAGGTACAGTGCTAAGAAAAAGAAGGCAATAAGAAAGTGTTCCTCTAATCAGTATAACTATTATGTGCTAATATTTCATGTAAATAATTAAAACATAGAGAAACATAGAAAGAGAATTATCAGATATTTTTCTTCTTTATCTATCATATCACAATTTTTTCTTGTCATTTCTTCTTTTTTGTTTCATATACATATAATAAACTATATACGTCTGAAATAATGTATGGAGTAGCCAAATAAGGCTTAGCTGATCTTATTACTTAGACAACATGAACAATTAGAACTTGTATATCACTTCTAAAATAGAAACAGGTTAATCTATGTACAAGCACAATATGAAAAATGTGTTATTCTGGTACCTAAGTTGGAAATATATCTTGACAGGGCTATTCTTCTGGGATCATACAAAAGTTGAAAGATCTTGCGAAGACAATATGCATAATGTGGTTTCCTGCTACCTAGGTTGGAAATATATCTCTACAGGGTTATTATCCTCGGATCATACAAAAGTCGGAAGGATATTACAAACACAACAGGCAAAAAACGTGTTATTCTGCTACCTAGGTTTGAATTATATCTTGACAGGGTTATTCTTCTCGGAGCATACAAAAGTTGAAGGATAATTTATCCAATACCTTGTGCATATTAAAAGAGGACCCATGAGGAAAGAGTTTTCCACTGATCTCAGACGTGGATCCTTTGAATCTGTGTGGAAAAAATCACCCATCATTCTA